GATAACGCCAGAGTGCAAAAGGTGGATGATGGACACAAGAGTGGACCAGCGGGAATTGATATATTCTCTGGATGATCCGCACTCGAACTCAACTGAATTTCTTTGCAGTACTTTCGTCAATTGAACCAGATAAATCACTTACTTTCCGTCTGAGAGGCTATAATTTGTATAGGATTCGAGTTGAGACACGAATTTAGATTAGATTACGAAAATATTTTGCATCATTGTCAGTAAAATTCACTGTTTGATGACTGATAATAATTTCCGCCTCAGTAAATAACTATGTCAAAAATCTTGTCATATTGTACTTTTGTGGAGCTTTCCGGAACTTCATAATATAGTTCAGAAGCATTATGACTGTTTTAATTACCCACATTGTATTTAATTGTGAACAGATGAACATAGATAAACCCTTTTAAGCCAGATAAATTGAGTTATATGCAACAATCTCCTATCTAAACACTCACCAACTCCGCTTTCTCCAGACGCGATAGAAGATAACATGAAAGATATTGCTGCAGACTCTTCAATCAATACTTCTTCGATGTTCTCCCCATCTTGTGGCGCTCAGCTCTCAACAGGAGCCACGTTATTGAGGTCATGACAGTGCTTCACCCCGGAAGCTCCTCGCAGAAGGTGAAAGTGACGCCAACAGGAAAAAGCTCTTACAACATACGCTGCTAAATCTCTTTTTGCCTACTTCCCCGCATCGTCATTAAATAGCACTTTTTGCCACAATCGATATCGCGCTCATTAGCATTTCTGTCACTGCCAAAGATTTATCTGTGCCATGTTCAATAGAGAGACTCAATCTAGATAGAAAATTCACTGAGGGATTTTGCGAGATGATTTCCAGAAAATTTAATTTGATCTCTTGAAAAACAGAGAAAATCCGCCGATAAAGCATGACACATGTGAGAGAGAGAGAATGAGTGTGTTAAAAAGCGGGACCATCAAATTTTTATAGTCACATTTACATGATCTTTTGTTTATGCTGGGGAAAAAGGGGGCAAATATAAATTGATGCAGCATAAAATGCCAAGAGGGAATAAATGTGAATAAGGAGATCTCTCGAGAGCTCAGCTTTTTGCTGTGTAGCTTTCAAGTTCAATCACTTCGTAAATCACAGCAGAACACCTGAGTTGAAGGCAAGAACGTGGCCGAGAAACTGTGGGTGGGATTTTCTCGCCTCTCGGCACGTTTTCCTCAATCCCAGAGGGAGAGGAAATTCAACTCACATCAATCCTAACAGGTAACAATTTAAACTTCCGCTTCTGCTGGATTTTCTGCAACATTCACAACGAGATTTATCAATTATAAAGTTGTGTGTACATATTGACACTGTTCAACCATGAGAACATGTGCAAAACTGCCATTCAAAATTACTTTTTAGGAATTACCATGGCAGCTTCAGAGGATGCGCCAATTAGCGGATCCCTCAGTTGCTGCTGCTCTCCCAGGATAATTAGGAAGCAGACAGTGGAAATCCACCGCAAGAGGTCGATGACTAGCATGGTGATTTAGAGATGCTTTGTCACACCCTTCCAGACAGTTTTATGTCAGTTTCCCCGAAAGTGCAATTTGCAAAGCTCGCCTCTTGGCTCGCCTCAAACTCGGGCTCCCACAGGAAATTATATATAAAGCTCTGCTTGGGCAGAGCAGCGATTAATCAAATTGGGAGCTTTGATGTGTGCACAAATATTTAATGGATTTTCGATGGTTGAGGGCATAAAATATAAAAAAGTATGACCATGAAAGACGCTCGCCCATAAAGCGGGCATTCAACGCAATTTAATGGGTGAGACGAGAATGGAATTGTACTGTAAATTTTATAGACCCTTTCACACCCACAACTTGCAATATGTCACCCCCGGCTCGATAAATAAGCACTGCCACACACAAATTTTCCAGCTTCAATTTGCAAAATCTTCCCTTTTCGCCAGGAATTCAATATGTCATGCCTAAGTCATAAATTAGTCCTAAAAGACAGCAATCATCGAATAGGGTAAATTCCATTACCACTTTCGATTAAGATTAAATGCCTTAAAGGCATGTTAATTAAATTGCCAATCCGGAAATTTGAATGTGGCTGTTAAATTCAATATATAAGGAGTTTGTATTTTGACGAACTTTTGACCCACTTTCATTTCATGTGGGGAAAGATAAATGTTCCTTAATGGCTTTTCCTTCGTCATTTGGGTGTTTTAATGAGAAATTAACCGAACCCAGACCAAAATCCAGACTGAAATCCAACATTCAATATATATACATATAATTTGATTGCAATTTCTTCTCGACTACAAGAAGTATTGCTGCAAAGCGATGCATTATAACGATTTGCAATTCTCAGAGCGGATTTTCTCTTGTATCAGCAAATCGCTTTTTACAATTCTGCTGCGCTGCTGGACTGAATTAAATGGCAAATATACATGAAGACACCATCGAATGGATGCAAATGGAATTTTCAAACGTTTTGCCAGCAAATCACGTCAATTTCCATGCACATTCGCATTATTTCTTCGTTCGCACAGCTCTGAAATCGAGCATTTTCCCAGTCATTGGATAGTTTTTTCTGCCCAAGAGGAATTTATTGTCTTTAATACTGGATAGAAAAAATCCCCTCAGCAAATTGAATTGATTTCAGCATTTGACGGTGCAAAATGATATTTCATTCACTTCCGCAGAAAACACTGAATTTATTATTCATTTTGATTTCTAGACCAACCCAAAAACATCCACGAAATGATAAATGAACTCAAAGAAACTTTATTATTTCTCTGCGGTGAGTGGAAAAAATTCATTTCCACCGAGTCGCTGATGATTAATTGTGCGAATTCTAAGAAGAAAATGGACTCACGAGAGCAAATCATTGGGCAATTCTCTCATCAATGACTTCTGACGGGGAAATTAAATATCCTGTGCCGCTTGAGAATTGTTGCTATTTCGAGAAATCTCATTTGTGCAAATAAAGTGGAAAAAGCACCTTCATTCATCACTTAAAAGCCACGATGGAAAATCCATCTCGTTGAAAAGAACCGTGAGAAGTTTGACAGATTTTTCTTAAAATTCCATATTGACGATATTCTTCAATTAACCGAGAAGCTAAATTGTTGCTTCTTTGATATTATTTGATGGTGAAGAAATGACTTCTCAACCACTTTCTCTGTTTTGCGTTGCGTAAATTTCTGTTTGACTTTGGAATTGCAAAGGAAATATTGGGATTAAGAATTCGCACTTCTTTGCTTTGTCATGGAAAATCTTAATTAACTGTTTCATTTCAGACATTCTTGTTTACTGTGCAAATTCTACGTGAGCGAATATTGTTCATAATTAGAATGATGTTTCAGCATAAATCTCTCTATTGACTCAGTTTTTTTCCTGTTGTTTTTCCAGTTATTCTTATCTTGAAGAGGTTCTTAATAAATCCGTCACTTAAAATAGAAATAGAAGCAAGAGTGTATCTTGAATACCTTGAGGAAATATCGAAGGAAAATCTATCCACTTCACAGACTCACTGTCTGCTCAAGATACCCCCAAAAACGCCCAGACATTCTCAGTAAAATTGATGGTATATTTGGGGTAATCGCTCGTTTTCCATTGAGTGCCATAGTGAGCATCTCAGGCGAGCAGAAGCTTCTGTCGGGACTGTTAATTTCCCCCGAAACCTCTCAGGCAATCGCCCTAACGACGCGAGGAGTTTCCCAGAGATTGAAGTGAGACTGGCACGAGAGACTCCCCGTCAGGGCATTGGAATATTGGGATCATTGTTGCATAAAATGAAAATGGTGTTTGCATATGTAAATGGCCAATGGTGCAATAAAAATGCAAATTGTACAATTCGCAGTTGCGCTGAGCCATGCAAATGTCTCCCGAATGTGTACGCAATATTGCCTCATTATTGTGCAATATCGTGTGCTTTTTTGGCACATTTCGACCAGGACATTTTCGCCTTCTCCCTCTCTATATGAAGCCCTCGAGAGACTATTGAGAAGAATTCTTATTGTGTCTGCGCTGCCATAAGTGCTTCTTTTGTCGTTAAATTCTATTTGGTATTTTTCTTCGGCTCCGCAGGGCTTTTCACCTCCGAGGGAAAACTACAATATATATACACTGGGAAATTCCTATGCCATTAGAAAATTGTCCCTTGTCTGCGCGTCCTTCTGAAATGTCTGAAGTGTGGAAAGGGGTTGGAAATTTGCGTCCCTTCGTCCAAACATCATGTTTTTCTTCCATTTCCAATAATTCACCTTCGTCGACAAACACATGCAAATTTATTCATTGGCGCTGCTGCGGTAAAGAGTCTTGGCGGAGGCGCAGAAAACACATTTCGCTGTATATTTACTGTTTGGGCAGAGCAACAAGCGCCAATGTCACAATAAATTATCCTTGTCTCTCCGGCACCAAGAGAGGAATTTCTCAATCTCCAGCCGCGCAGCGATGGTGAAAATTTCAGCGCGAAGAAAGCTCGTGTTTCCCACCTTTTCCCTCTGCACTCTTCCACGAGAAGTCAGTTCATCCGCGATGGCGAGGGTTGATGAAGAAGTACAGCTCTGATTTTATGGTGACGCCACGGAAAAGAAAAATATAGAGTTTGGTGAGATAAAGCGAGCTTGTCTTTTTAATTTACACCTCCTGTGCACTTTAAGTGTCGAGCAATAAAGTCACAAACTTTTACGACCGGCGACTCTGAGGACACCGAAAACAGGGGTGAAATGAACCCCAAGCAATTAGTGAAAAGTCTTGTACAACTTTTCTTGATTCAGGTGCGCACTTGATTCATAGACCGTGAGATTTCATCACTTTTGTGTAAGTTTCCAAGTTTTGATGCGCATGAAGAGTCTGAGGAATTTCTGACTGTGCGATATGATTTTTGCAAAGGTAAGAATGTGGAATGTTCAGAGTCACTTTTCTTATTGATTTCTTATTGATTATTGAAAATAAGACACTAAATAACTTGAAATCTCAATTTAATTCGCCACTTTTCCCTCTGATCGCTGGATTTATATTCCAGTGATCATCTGGATCCACGTCCTGTAGACGCTCACGCGCACAAAAACTGCTGGATTTTCGACTTGGCAATTCTCACTGTGAAACGAAGCCAGACCAACGAGAACAGTCTGCGAACGCACCATACCGACGAGGGCTGTGCCCTGATCTCCGGCGCAGAAGGTGCTCTGGTCAGTGGCTAGGCCACAGAAGTTGTTGCTGAGGAATCTGCCGAGGTGTGGGTAAGTCTGAGCGCAGACCTGATCGGTGGTGACGCGCTTGAAGCCCATGAGGAGCTGATCGGAGAAGGGACCGGTGGGGCCGGTGAAGCCGAAGCCGTTGAAGCGGCATTTATCACCCGGGAATGGCGCTTGAGTATCAGTTGGCAGTGGCAGTGGAATAGCCTGCACATGTATGCTGGAAATAAATGGCTTCACCATGAAGATGATGGCGATGTTGTTGTTCATCGTGGTGTAGTCGAACATCGGATGGACGAGAGCTAGAGTAGTTGCAGACCATTGCAATTGATTACGATTCACACTCCCAACTCCGATTTCCCAGTGACCGAAGCTGCAGAGAGATAAATTCAATTCAATACGAATTTCCGGTATTACGCCGTGCAATTTTACTCACGTTCGCACATTCTGGGCAGTGGTGAGAACGTGAGTCATGGAGATGAGGCATCCGCTGCCGACACGCGCTCCATCATCCTGATTCTGTCTAATAAGAATGTGAGCGTGATAAGGAGCCGATCCAGGAATCGCAGGTTGACCGTTGATCACGCGATTCGAGATCGACGGATTGGCCTTTGAAAATGAATTCAAAAAATTGTTTTTACGGAAGCCAAGTAGAGAGCAGACTAAATTACCTGGACGCTAAGAGCGAAGACGAGGAGGAGCACAGGTGAGTACTTCATAGTGTAATTTTTCTCAACAAACTAGCTCAAGTTTCGCGACGATGTCTTCTTTTATTGGTGAATTTCACGCCGTAACGCTGATTGACTCGCCAGTTAATTAATAAATTCTGCAATCTTGATAGCGGCAGTGCAGTGATAATGGCAAAAGAAGAACACAAATTACTCACAATTCTTCGAAAGTTCTTGGAAGCTCAAACATTGGAGATACACATTTGATAATAAGCTCTGAAATTCATTGAATATGAAAGAGAAAGCATATGATAAGAAAAGGTGTCAAAATCGAAATTTAGAAGTAAATTGACCTTCCATTATGATCGTCCAAATTCTCCAATATGGAATCCAATTCTGAATTTGTAAGCCAACCTTCATCTTAATCATTAATTAATCTTTAATCTCATTCAGGACGAAAATCTATTAGGAAATACATTTTCTTATTACTGAACTTTCTTAGTGATTTTTTCAATGTAAATACACATTTTATAACGTAAAAGCAGCAGAAAACCATGGAAATAGGATTTACAATCCAGTGTTCTGCTGAATCCAATTCCTGTAGGCAGTCACGCGCACGAAGACTCCTGGAATGTTGCCCTGACATCTGCCATCGGTGAATGATGCCAAGCCGACGACAACGAGTCGAAATCGCACCATGCTGACGAGAGCTGTGCCCTGATCACCCTGGCAAAAAGTACTCTCAAACTGTAAGCCCTGGGCGCAGAAGTTGTTGACGAGGGAATGGGCAATATGTGGGTAAGTCTGGGCGCAGACCTGGTCAGTGGTAACGTGCTTGATACCCATGAGGAGCTGGTCGGAGAAAGGACCGGTGGGGCCGGTGAAGCCGAAGCCATCGAAGCGACAGTGAGCATTTGGAAATGGCACTTGAATATCAGTTGGTAAGGGCATAGAAATGGCCTCTACAAAGAAACCAGCAATGAAAGGTTGCATCACAGTGATGATGGCGATGTTGTTGTTCAGCGTGTTGTGATCGAACAGCGGATGGGCGAGAGCTTGAGTGGCTTCGCGCCATTCTAGACGATCACGTTCTACATTTCCTACTCCGATTTCCCAGTGGCTGAAGCTGTAGAGGGAGAGACAGAGGGAGATTTAATACGAATATCTACCATTGTGTCGCTTAATTTGGTACTTACGTTCGCACATTCTGAGCAGTGGTGAGAACGTGAGTCATGGAGATGAGGCATCCGCTGCCGACACGCGCTCCATCATCCTGATTCTGTCTAATAAGAATGTGAGCGTGATAAGGAGCCGATCCAGGAGTCCCAGGGTGACCGTTGATCACGCGATTCAAAATCAACGGATTGGCCTCCGAAAATCAATCAAAAGCTTATTATTAGAGAAGGTATTCTTACGGAAGCAGAAATCAAGCAATTAACCTGGACGCTAAGAGCGAAGATGAGGAGGAGCACAAGTGAGCACTTCATGGTCTAACATTTCCCAAAAAACTAGCATTGCTCACAAAACGCGAAGGTGCTTTTATATAAGACTGAATTTCCGCTCTGACACTGATTAACTCGACAAGCAATAATCAATAAATTCTGCAATCTGAATGCAGTGATAATGGCCAGAGAAAAATACACAATTGACCATAATTTTTCAAATATTCTGGGAAACTCAAACATTTCAAGATACATTTGATGATAAGCTTCTAAATTCATTGCATATTAAAGGCTTACCTGATATTACGCCAGATAAAATATTCATTTATCTGAAAAAGAGAAATTAAAGGTCTGCCAGTCAAACTTTATCAGTTTCCCAGTAAAGAAGCTTGTGCGGAATCTAGAAAGTTTCTGAAATGTCGGCAAGGAATAAATTCGCGTGCGTATTCAAATGAGACTCGCCATTTTCGTTTCATTAATTAAATGTATCGGCGCCAGTGTGTAAATTGCTTGTTTTGCCAAGGTTCAATTTGTTCCCTAATATTGCTACAAGATTACAGAGGCGAAGGGGAAACCGATAGTTTACCTTTCGCAGATTGTGTGGAAATTTGCCGGAAAATAACATTTTCCCCCTATTTAGCGTTGGTAAATCCCTCATTAAAATGCTAATAGCTCACAATTATGCTATCGGAAAGCGTGCTTTGTGTCCTCTTCTTTTGCCAGAGACTTTATTTATAGTCTCACCCCTTCATAAATCTCCGCGGTATTTTCGCTAAGAGAGAAATTTCCAAGAAATGGCTTAACTGAAAGCTTTTTGAAATGTTAGGGAGGAAAATCTCATTCGCCCACGTCCACAAATCAAACAATTAAATTATTTTTCATCTCTCTGGGGGATTGTGTGTGGGCGTGACACAATTTTCAGGGTGAAATCAAAGGCATGTTTTCGAGTCGTTGACCTAGAAGTAGAATGGAAGTTTACGCGTAGAAATACAGCATTTCCAGCCATCTCTGGCCACTCTCCATCGGGCACATGTGTAGTTAATGTTGTGTTGAAAAACAATGGAGTGAATTGGCGAGGATCCGGAGGTGACCTCCTCAGTCAAGCATGTCCACCCTCAAAGTGGCTGAGCGCAGATGCTGCAGGGAATTGGGTGACGATTTCAAGAGGCATTCATGGCTCAAGTTGAGGAAAGCAAGGAGCAGAAAAATGCAGAGTGCGAGGAAGGGAAAACTTCTTAATTGAATCTTCTTGCTTCTGGCACTTTCAAAATTCCCTTATTATTGAATTTCTGCACTTCTTCGACACCATCATAAACATCGCTCAATTGTCATAAAGTGAGAAAAGTTTAATGGGATTTGATGAGCTCCTGGCCTTCTTTGGAAACTCATTCTTGCATTTCACTGGACTTTCAACGGTGATGAGAATTTCCTCTCTTCAGATATGCTAATAATGAAATTTATATGCACTCGATTCGTCTTCATAGCAAAAATATATTATTCTTCATTGTATGTACATCTATGCCAAGAGTATATTCCCAGATTGAGAGAAGCTTCAATTGACGCATTTTCCAACTCTCCTATTGAATTTCACTAGTACTGGATCACGAGTTCGCAGAACAAGATCAGCAGTGAAGACAACATCTTCACGTTTCGTCACCGGCGAGAGCCTGAACGCCATCAGGACGTGCTGCAGAACAGCCTTGATCTCCAGAAGTGCGAACTTCTGCCCAATACAATTCCTGGGACCGGCGCTGAACGGCACGTAGGCAAAAGGATGTCTGTTCTCCACATTCTCAGGCAGAAAGCGATCCGGATCGAAGCGCTCGGGATCTGGGAATTGCTCAGGATCACGATGCAAATCAAATATGTGGATGTGACTCATAGTCCTGATAGGAATCTTACAGTTAAACAAGATGAATTCCTCGCTAGTCTCACGAGAGACAAGAGGAACAGGCGGATAAAGCCGAAGACACTCCTTAATTACGCGATCCGTGTAAGAAAGCTCACTTAATTGAGCCATGGTCAGGACTTCACCCGGATTTGCCTTCACCAAATACTCAATTTCTTGGAAAACTCTCTCTTGCACATCCGGATGATGAGCCAGGAGGAGGAAGATGAAGGTCAGGGCAGCTGAGGTTGTGTCATGACCCTCAAACATAAAAGTGTCCACTTCTTCTCGGATTCCCTCGGTATCGATCAATCCATCAGCTTCAGCCGCCAAGAGAGTGTCCAGCATCGCGTATCTCCGTTTCTTCGTCTCATAGATATTCTCCCCGTGAGTGAAATCCACAGATCCTTCCGTGTGGAATCTCTGCCTTCGCTGCCTGATGATCTTCCTGGTGAAGTTGTGAATGGGAATCAGCGGACGATCGATTTCTCTCTTGTATCCCAATAATTTGTAGGGCAGGTCGAGATAAATCCACGGTTTGAGGATTCGTGAAATCAGTAATTTGCCGATGGTGTAAATATTCCTTCGATACTCATCAGGCTCTTCCATTGAGTCCAACTTGACGCCCATCGATGTCTCACAGATCGTGTTCAGGGTGAATCGCGAAGTGATTGGAGGCAAATTCACATCCTCACCCTTTGTACTAATCATCGAATTGAGCAGATCGACGAGCTTTTCACTCTCCTCGTGAAACACACGCAAAAACTGCTGCAAGATGTTAAAGTGGAAGGCAGGAGTGAGGATTTTCCTCCGTTGTGACCACTTGTCGCCTTTGCTGATCAGCAATCCTTCACCCAAGAAAGCCGAGAAGAATTTGTAGAATTGCCCTTTGTCCATGTGACGATTGCCTGAGAGATAAATCTGCAAAGAAACAAAACATCTTCAAGTCTACAACGCCGATTAGCACAGACAGGAGGAACTCAATACAATTTGTGAACCGATAGAAGCTTTATGATCAATTGGGAGTGATATTAGAGTTAAGTGGGCGAAGTGGATTATAAACTTAAACAGCTTTGATAAGAGCGAAAAAGATTGTTTGATTAAAATACCTGCAAATTGGCATAAATCTATGAAGTATTCAACTGATTTAAGAGGTTTTTCACTCATTTTCTACAGTAGATTGACTCAGAGATACTTAAAATAATGCTGATCAGATGTAAACAAATATAGTGTACACTTTGAAACGTGATTAACGAAATAAAAACACAGAAATCAATACATTTTTCTAGAGTGTCGCGACTCCCTCGATCTTATCACCTTTGATTCCACAATTGACGTACAATCGTGCTAAAATTACAGTAATTTATAATCTACAATTGCATAATTATTGGTCTGTTTGAGTGGAAAAACACCAACATTGTTGCACAATTTCTTTGCGGATGCGCAAAGTCTCACCTCGACTTCCTTGGCGCGGATCACGTTGATGGAGAGCCGCCCGAAGGCGTAGAATCTGTAGGTCTGTCCGAAGGTCTGTGCGTACTGTCTGAGATGGCCGAAAGTTGTCTCCATGGTCAGCGAGGCGAGGAACTTCATGGCCAGGAAAAAGAGCTGCACGGGCGGTCCATCGATCTTGCGGGCGACATCCAAATACACAGGCCTGGTCCTGAAGTAGATCTCAATGCAGATCGCGAGCAGGAGAATCGCCAGCAGAAATGCGATCATTTCGCTCACTCAGTCACTGCGGAACTGCGCGCGCGAGTGGAATCAATCTGTGATTCTGTGTTCAAGGAAAATCAGTGGAAAACCCGTCTCAATTCACATTCTCATGCCGAGTGCAAATGACAAACGGCCAGAGTGACTAGTAGAGAACATTTTCCAGCCGAGATTGTTCACCCTCAGAAGCTGCGTGATGCCCTTGAATGGCGCATTGTCTCCGACAAATACAACTGATATCGAAGGCAATAAACTCTCACATAATTAGAATTTATGGATTTCGATAGCGCGTGGGCAGGGAAGAGAGTGAAAAACACGGGCCATCCATTGCGTCTGTCCGTGTCAGAGTCGACAAAGTCCACCGGAAAATTAACTCGAGTGGCTGATTAACTTATTTTAGCTGTTCCGTTGTCTTTCACCTTTGATCTAAATTCGAACGAATTCAGATAATCGCCCGCGGGAATATCTGGATCACAGACAATACATTTATTGACCCATCTATTCTCTCTGAATTTCGCATATGAGCTGAATTGAGTCATTATCAAAGCCTTGACTTTGACCCTCTCAACACTGGGAATTATCTGATATGGAATTTCACTTTTATCGGTGTTTTCGCGCGTAAAATTATATCGCCCACGAACTCAATCTCCTCACGCGTTGTCACCGGCGAGAGCCTGAACGCCATCAGGACGTGCTGCAGAACAGCCTTGATCTCCAGGAGCGCGAACTTCTGCCCAATACAATTCCTGGGACCGGCGCTGAACGGCACGTAGGCAAAAGGATGTCTGTTCTCCACATTCTCAGGCAGGAAGCGATCCGGATCGAAGCGCTCAGGATCTGGGAATTGCTCAGGATCACGATGCAAATCAAATATGTGAATATGAGCGATGCAGCCTTCGGGAATAGTCTCATTCTCGATCTTCATATCCTCAGTCACTGAGCGAGTGATGAAGGGAACAGGAGGATAAATTCGAAGGCATTCCTTAATCACTCTGGACGTGTACTCGAGTTCGTTGAGCTCATTTGTAGCCAAGTGTTGATTATTATTGCTCTCCAAGGCTGTTTTTATCTCCTGTCAAAGAGAGCAAGAATTAGAGAATTTCCTGGACATAATTAGCAAATTCTCACTTCATAGACTTTCTCCTGCACGTCCGGATGATGAGCCAGAAGAAGGAAGATGAAGGTCAGGGCAGCTGAGGTTGTGTCGTGACCCTCGAAGGTGAAAGTGTCCACTTCCTCTCGGATTCCCTCGGCATCGATCAATCCGTCAGCTTCAGCCGCCAAGAGAGTGTCCAGCATCGCGTATCTCTTTTTCCTGGTCTCATAAATGTTGTCATTCTCATCCAGCCCTGGCACCTTTCCAGGCTCTCGCAGCGACTCCAGGAATTGCACGCGTCTCTGCTTGATGATCATCCTGGTGAACGAGTGCACAGGCACCAGCTGAGCGTCCAGCTTCTTCCTGTAGCCGCTCAGCGTGTACAATGTGTCATTGTACAGCCAAGGCCTCAAGAATCTGTGCAGCAGAAGTTCTCCCAGCTTCTGAATTGAGCTCCTGTACTCCTTGGAGCCACTGTAAGACTCCAGCTTGACGCCCATCGCAGTCTCACACACTGTGTTCAGAGTCAAATGACTGGTCAGAGGAGGAAGATTTGTCCCATCGCTCTTCGTGGTTTCCACTTTAAGCAAGCCAATGAACTTTTCACACTCCTCATGGAAGATTGTGAGAAACTCCTTCAGGATGTTGAAGTGGAAAGTGGGCGTGAGAATCCTGCGTCTCTGCTGCCACTTCTTGCCATTGGCCGTGAGGAGTCCTGTGCCCAGGAAAGGATGCAGGAAGAAGTACAGGAAACTCTTATCGCTGTGCTTCGAAGAGGACATGACTGTCTCCACATCACGGCAGTTTATTATGTTCATGTTTAACTGCCCGAAGCCCCAGAACTTGTAAGAGCGGTAATTGTACTGCACAGCCATTTCCCGACCAGCATTGAAAATTTCCACTGAACGGGGAAGGAAAGGCTCATGATTTACATGACATATTAAATTACACTCTTAATCACCTGCATTCATGAGTCTCACATGGCCAAAATTGCCCAGAATGGGCCAAATTGGAGTGGGTCCGGGCAATTTGAGCGCCTTGGCCAAATAATAATTCTTCGTGAGCAAACGAAGAAGTCGTGAGAGATAGAAAAACACGACAATTACCACAGCACTCTTCAAAATAAGCACGACAGACAGCATTTTGGCTCTCGCTTTCTCTGACTAAATCCCACTGACGACTGATTTGCAATTCCTTCGCAATTGGCGTTATCAGGCGCCAAAAAAGCCTCCACGAACCCTTATCAAAAGTAATCACACATCTTCCAATACAAATAGTCCCTGAAGTGTGTTTATTCAAAATATACATCTATTACTCTACTCCAGCTGCGAGGATAGCTGGTGTTTGTGCACAATTAAAGCTCTCAAGAGGCGCTAAAGTGAAACTGACCAGCTCTGATTATCGCGGCAAAAATTACGCACGACTTTCTGTGTTTATCTGGAAGAGACTTTTTGTCTCTGGCGCTCTGCCCAGCTTCGTCAGGAGGCCCAAGTACGCCTGTATGAACCAGTAGTGGAGTGACATACGCAGCAGCGCTAGCTCAAAGTGCAGACGTCTCACGAGATAGCGCAGCCCCATGAGAAATCCTCCCTCGCGATGGATGCTCTTCATGGCGTGTCTGGCCATCACTTTGGGCCTGTTCACAGGATCACCGTGATCTCTCGCCACGGCGCGAATGATGTTCAAGTTGCGCACGATGAAGATGAGATTGCGTGGCATTTCCTTTAGCGTCTCCATGATCAAGTCAAAGCGTTTCCGGGCGATTTTCTGCATATACGCAATCTCTTCGTCAGTGAGACGAGTTGTAAACTTGCCTTTCGCCTCCAACGGTCGCTGCAGCAGAATCTCAGCGAACCTGTAGTGATCTGAAATGCAAAAACATCCCTTTAACTCCTCGTCTAACCACAATTGATCCCCAGTTACCTTTCACATTGAGTTTCGTTGCATACTTCTTCATCATATCATGATCTCTCAGCACGATTGCTTCCCAAAAGTGACAGAGAGAGTCTTTCACATCCGGCGGCACTGTTTCGTACAAGCCATGATCCAGAAGAACCAACTCAGCTTTGCCCCTACTTCCTTGGCGAATCAGGACATTTCCCGGATGAGGATCACCATGAACGAAACCACTGTTGAAGATCTGCTCTGAGAATGTCGTGAAGATCTTCACGTCAACATCAGCCAGATCGAATCCTCGTTTCTTGATCTCCTCCGTTTGGTTCATCTTCACACCGTCAATGAACTCCGTGGTCAACACTTTGGTGCTGGTGAGATCCCATCGAACCTTCGGCACGTAAACATAGGGAAACTTGGCCAGCTCAGCAGCGCATCTTTCTGAGTTTCTTCCTTCATTCACAAAGTCCAGCTCCTTCTCAAGATTCCGCCGCACATCGCGAATGATCCAGCCAAAGTTGTAGTTCTTGTGTACAATCTCAATGATGTCCTGCAGAAAGATTATCGTGCCCAAATCCCCGGCGAATCTCTCCTGCAGATCAATATACTGCACTTTAACAGCCACTTTCTCGCCATCCCTCGTCGTGGCACAGAACACTTGAGCCAGACTCGCGGCCGCTATTGGCTCATAATTGAACTCCTGGAACAGCTCCTCTGGCTTCTGGCCGAACTCCTTCAGAAACACCTTCTTCACCTCGTCCTTCTTCCGCGTAAGGCACTCATTGTGGAGCTTCTGCAGCGTGTCTGTGTACTCAGGCGGCAGAATGTGGTTGATTGTGGCGAATCCCTGGCCCACCTTGATGTACAAGCCGCCGTTGGCCAGGCAGCCCTGCAGCATCCGGTTGGCGCAGCGCAGGTGAACCTCCTTCTTCTTCGCATCGTACTCCGGAGTGCCTTCCTGCTGGCCCCACAGCGACAGCGTGTAGTCCAGCGAGATGGTCGCGGCGATTCTCAGGGATCTCATAAATCTCGTCGCCGCTCCCGTGACACCGAACTCATTCACCACTCCGTCATAGGCCAGTCCGGAGGCCAAGAGCCCCACGAAAACCTTACCCTTGACAGGGCTTCTTCGCTTCACCGCCGATGCCGAGAACTTCCGCACAAATGAGCGAATCTGCAAGATAAGAGGGAGTATAGTTAATCTGCAGCAGGTGCAATTGGTGACACACTCACAAACATCACAGAATGTTTGGGTGAAAAACAAGCAAAAATGCAACACACAACAAAATTTCCAATACACTGTCACACTTTCTCCTCTCAGTGGAACTTGTCCCAATCTGTGGACAGCAAGGGGCCAACAATTGGGAGAATATATTGCAGAATAATCGAAGATTTACCAGAAATAAAGAGAGTGTTATTTTCACTTAGATATCCATTGTGCATTGGGCATTATTGCATTTACATTACTTTCATCACAAGCTGATGGATGATTTAAAAGCCCCTCGCGTGTGGAAACTGACGTCATCGTGTTCCAAATTTCATCACAAGTTTCGCAAATTTCACAACATTTCGTCTTGCGTTCGCAGTCTTAACAAAATCAACGCACAGAGCGCACGGCAAAAATCATTCCTCTTGCAAATCCATGAAATTACTGTGAAGTATTGTGATAATAATAGGAAAAACACACAAAGCAACAATGCCTTCGAAGAAGAAGACCACAAAATTCGCGAAAAGCGAATTCAGCGAGGATTATCGCAGGAAACGGGAGAGAAACAATGAGGTGAGTTTGTCAGGTTCTTTCTGCCCTTGCCACACTTCCTCATGGACATATATTCCTTCCTCATTCAGGCAGTGAAGAAGAGCCGCGAAAAGATGCGGTTGAACACCATCGAGACGCAGAAACGCGTGGACAATCTCCGGGTGGAAAACAAAGTGCTGGAGAAGGAAATTGTGGGTCTGAAGAAGAACCTGAAGCTCCTGAAAGAGCTCTTTATCGCCCAGGCAAAGGCCAAGAACAGCACCAGCCCGAATCTGAGAGAACTGCTCGCCAGCGATAGCGAGGATGATGAAATCTAGCTTAAGATTAGAAATTAAAATAATTTATTAATCCACTTACCATTTCCTCACTTTTGCTGCTGCATTCTCGGCGGCGTGATGAATTCGCTGGTGGGAATATTTGGCTGAGAGTGTGCAGAACTCGTGGTCGCAGAAGGAACATTTGTGCCGAGGAAGTTTCGAGTGCTTCGCCGAGTGTTCGCTGAGATGCTTCTTCGTCTTGAAGGCTTTGGGACACACTTGGCAGAGGAATTTCTTTTCCAAGCCGCTGTGATTGTATCGGATGTGTTTCTTCAGCTCCATGGCGTTTGAGAGAAGCTTCCCACACTCCTGGCAAACAGCAGGATCGGCTTTGCAACGCTTCTGGTGCATTTTAAGAGACGCTCGTGTGGCGTAAAAGCCTCCGCATTGTCCGCACTCCACTTTGGCTGCGATTTCTGTGCCATGGTACTGCTTTACGTGCCTCTTCAGCTGGCATTTAGTCGTGTAAATCTTCCCGCAAGAATCACAGACGAAAGTCTGGCCGGTCTTGTCGTGCGCCTTCATGCGATGATGTCTCAACTCTGATGGCGTCAGGAAGCCTTTTGGGCAATCGGGACATTTGTAGCGCTTCTCCTCTTCGCTGGCATGAAGCCTCCTGTGGAAGTAGAGCTTCTTAGCACTGGGAAACACTCTCGGGCAGCGATCGCAGATGAAAGAGCACTTCTCAGGAGACTTCGAGCATGATTCCACATGAAGACGCCTCGTGCGGTCACTGAGGAAGATTCTGGAACACGCCAAGCACTTGAAAGCCTCCGGATCAGCGTGAAGCTGCAGATGAGTGACCAAATTGCCCAGAGCGAAGAACTTCCGGGAGCAACACACGACGTAGCCTTTAACACCGTGCCGCGTGCGAAAGTGGAACTTCAGACTGTAGTAGTTTCTGCACTCTTCTGCACACACATCACACTTGAATCCCAGATACTTCCGCACCAGATCATCTTCAGTCTTCAGGACTTTCTGCTTCTTGGAATCCTCCTTGTCCTTTCTCGAGTGCTTCTTTTGCTCCTTCACAGGCACTTCATCAGCGGAATCTGAGCATGTTCCTCCCGTATCTTCAGGGGAGTGACTCTCCTCAAAATTACTGAAGATTTCCACCAATTTCTCCTCACTTTCCTTGATCTTCTGGAAGAAGTCAATGCAGTCTCTAGATTTCGTGCTGCAGGCACAACAAATCTTGCGTGGCCAAGTGTCTCTTTCTCGGAGCTGCGAGTAATCAACACAAAGATGGATAAAATGTAAGGAAAATAATGAAAATGTCTTGAAAAACACTCTTATTTACCTCCAGTCTGAAGATAAGATTTAGGTTAGCAACCAAATCTTCTATTTTCTCCTCAACACTCTCACTGTTTTGAGTACTTTTCAAATCTTCCAAGCATAATCTACACACAGCACCCTTCTTCATCTCTTCACTGCTCATTTTCCTATTTTTCACGGGATTTTCCACTCAGTTCCCACGATTCCTCGCAATACCCGCATCGAAACCAAAACAAACAGAAATCCGACAGTAGCGCCTCTCGCGTGAAAGCCGCACAGGCTTGTTATATAACAGACTCGTATAACAAGCGCGTTCAGTGGGGGAGCCGCGTGTATTTGTTGCGCTTTTCCCCGGCAAAGTACCCCATTTCAGTGAATTTTCAGTGCTTATCGCCTTCTGGACACCATGAAGGGCGTTTGGGTGTTTCTCATTCTGCTGGCGGTGCGCCTCTTGTCCGTGTTGTTCGTGAAGACCTCCTACGTTCCGGATGAGTACTGGCAGAGCCTGGAGGTGGCGCACAAGCTTGTTTACGGGTGCGTCCGGAAGCTTCTTCCACGGGCCTTTGCTAACTCTTCTGCTCCCTTTCAGCTACGGCTACTTGACGTGGGAGTGGACGCAGGGCATTCGCAGCTACTTGCAGCCCCTGATCTTCGCGGGCGTCTACAAGGTGCTGGACTTGTTCCACGTGAACTGCGTCTTCGCCCTGACGCTGCTGCCGCGGGTGCTGCAGGCCCTGCTGAGCGCGTACGCGGACTGGAGGTTCTACAAGTGGTGCCAGTGCTCCAAATGGTCACTGTTTGTCGTCGCCACGTCCTGGTTTTGGTTCTACACGGGCTCCCGGACGATTATCAACTCCGCCGAGGCTTCGCTGACCACAATTGCGCTGAGCTTCTATCCGTGGCGCGGTGAGAGCGCCTTGTACTTGTGGTACGTGGCCCTGACGGCCTTCATTCGGCCCACATCGGCCGTCCCGTGGGTTCCGCTGTGCCTGCATCACATCCGGAACTCGCGCATTCCCGTGCTGCGCCTCTTGCTGACGCAATACCTCCCGGTCGGAGCGGTTGTGGGCGTCCTTAACACGGCGGTGGACTACCTAGGCCACGGATCGCTCGTGTTCACGCCACTGCGCTTCTTCAAGTTCAACGTGTGGCAGAATGTTGGCAGTTTCTACGGGAGTCAGCCCTGGCACTGGTACTTTTCCGTGGGATTGCCAACAGTGCTGGGCGTGGCGGCGATTCCGTTCTTTTTGGGCGTGCTGGACACCCTGAAGAACGTCTCGGCGAGTAATTCCCGGCGCTTGATCTTGCTCATCTCCATTGCGACGACTTTAGTGGTGTTCAGTGCGCTGCCGCACAAGGAATTCCGCTTTGTGCTGCCCATTCTGCCCATGTGCCTCTACCTGAGTGCCGATCAGTTGAGTCGCTGGAGTCGCAAGGCCAGCAATGTCGCCATCTGGGCCGTCACACTGACTCTGCTCGTGGGAAACGCCCTGCCGGCCGGCTATCTGGGTCTGTACCATCAGAAGGGCACCACGGAAGTCATGCCTGTGCTGGCGAAGATCGCGAGGGAATACAAGACGGTCGAGGGAGAACGCGCCAGCATCCTCTTCCTCATGCCTTGCCACTCGACGCCGCTGTACAGCCACGTGCACGCCAACGTCACGCTGCGCTTCCTCACGTGCGAGCCCAATCTCACCGACGATCCCAACTACGAAGAGGAAGCCGAGACGTTCTACCGCAATCCCACCGCCTGGCTGGACGCCAACGTTCCCGCCTATCCGCCCAGCGAGATGCCCTCTCACTTGGTCCTCTTCGACTCGCTGAAGCCCAAGATTGTGGAATTCTTGAGCAAGTACAGCGAAACGCACTCGTTCTCTCACGCAAATGTGGTGAGTTTGTCCTCCTGACCACTCAATCTGACCTCTGATTATTAATGTCTTTCCTCTGGAATCTTTGCAGCTCCTCTCCGATCGGGTGGGCAAGAATGTTCTTGTCTTCGAGAGAAGTGACCAGAAGACTGAAAATACTCAACAACAGCCGAAGAAAAAGGCGAAGAAGGAGATTCACGTTGAGGAGAACTTGGACGCGAGAGACGGCGAATTGTAAGGAGATTTTAAACTTGTGACAAAAGCGTACAAAAGAATTGAACAAGTAACTTTTTTTAGAGAAATTTAAGCAAAAGTGCAAAAATCAGGGATATTATTAAAACGAAAAGCAATATTTGAGAATTCTAAATTATAATTCTTGGCGCGCGATTGAAATGCAAAAAATGTGTGCATTTTTTGTCCATATATTTTGATCCTCAAACTAAAATTCATCACATTGAGTAGAAAATGATTCATAATAAGTTTCATGCCATCAATGAAAAGGCGAGGCAATTTCAGAAGTTCTCTTTCTCTCTCTAACTTGTTAATTTTATTTTGAAAGTAGATTCTTCAAAAGACATGAATATTTCGAGTGAATTTTGCTGCCATTTGTGCAATTTACTACCAAGTTTGTAAGATTTACTGTTTCAGCTTCTGAAAATTGTCTACTCTTTGATTTATCAACACTCTTATCTCGAGTCTTATCTAGTTTTACTTCATGCGTGTTCAAAATGTAGTCTTAAGTTTGTATTTCTCTTTCATTTCATGACTTCTTTCTGTAATCACATTTGAACTGTTTTGACAAAGAATTGGAAACTCTTCTCGTTGAAGTGTTAAATAAAAATATAATGGACTTTTTAAAATACATGCTTTTTCTCTCTCTCTTTCTCTGGAAAACATATGAATTTCATTATTGTGAAGATCAGGCGAATTTCTGTACACTTTCAGCGTCTCTCGGTGACTCAGGAAATCTCAACTGAAGAAATAGGAATTTAAGGATTTCAATTTGCAAGCAAAATGTGTGACAGAGAAATAGAATTCAAGTGAAAAGCTTCAACTTTAGTGCTAGAAGAAAATTCAGTGTAATTGAAGCTGTTATCAGATTTTTCCTAAGAAGTTAAGCAATTTTAAACTTCTGTGGGAAATCTCTTAATTCTCTAATATCAAATTAAATGTTTTCTTTCAACCAATTATCAATACAATGGATTTTCACAAGCGACAGAGATTTCTCCTGAAACTTTTCATCTTTCTGAACATTTTGCAAACGTGCTGAAATCTTCAGTTTAGAGAGTCTTTGAACTGTTTTTTTTATAATAAAAATTAAGCATCTTTTACCTTAAAATTTCGTCACACTTACCAAAATTCCAATTGAAGCTCAGCGGGAAAAATTGTGAAAAATATTAAGTAAAACAACTCCCAACGAACTTCTGATTAACAATCGGTTTTTATGTCTGTTTTTTTTTCATCGCATAAAATATTTAAATATTTTATATTAGCAGCTTGCATTGCGCAGTGATGTTCATTGTTATTTACCTTTTACACAATATCTCGATATTTTATCTTAATTGTATACACAAAAGATAAAATCGATAAAATCATACAAATTGATCTAAAAAGTGTGACTTTTGTTTTTTATATTATTTTCTTCTTCTTTTTTTTTTCTTCAATTCAATAAATAAAAGCGGAGATTGAGAGTTTTCTTTTCGTCTCTCTTCTCGTGTTTTTTCTTCTTCTTGTGAATCTCTTTTCATTGTGTGGTTATTGGTGAGGAAAATGAGGCACAAAGTGAGGAAAATCTCGGCGTATTTTTTTTCATCATCAAATCAACTTCAATTTATCTGTTTATCACAATTTTTTTTCGTCAGTTGGTGTTTTTCAAACGCTATTGCTTTCAAAAAATGTAACTCGCTTCCAAAAGGGACTAAAACTAGAAGAATTTGACTGAATTCAAAGCTACGACTAAATTATTTTTTCTCTACTTTCTTCTGATTTTAACACTCTTTGAAAATTGTCTTTTTTAGCTGCAAGAACGGAATGTTTCTCATTAAGTACAATTGTTTTGTAGCAAGAATACAATTTATCTACCATTTAATAATTATACATTTCACTCACTAATCAATACTCTACGTCCTGCCATTTAAAATGCTCCAATGATGCATGAGGCCATTTATTTCTATATTTTATGCTTAAATTCCATCTGCTCCTCTTAAGGATTATATTTATTCATAAATAGGTTTATCTGAACATGTAAAGCTCTACAGGATTTTCTCTCGTCATCTAAAATTTTCATTGTTTCTTGTAGTTTTTCATGCATTTCATCATCTCTAAGTATTGGTTTTTGTTAATTCAACTATTTATCATTCCACACTTTCTTAACCCCTTTTTTTCACGTGATCGCGTTTTAACCAGAAATTTTTGTGTCATTTTTGAAAATCAATAAATTGGGAGAATTGAATTTTTGCAATACAAATTTTTATCTGTTTTCTTTTCTATTCTGTGAATTTCTGGCAGTAGAATTTTTCTTTTTCCTCCAAGTGCTTTCTCTGCAAAATGCCTTTTTTATCCATTTGATAAAACTGAGACGCAACAATCACTACTGGACATTTCTATGTCATTTATTAGGAATATGTTTCTCATAGATTTCTCACTCTACTTAAGTAAAAGTTGCATTTATTTGCATTGCAAAAATATCTTAATCTGGCTCTTTTCCTTCTCCACCCCGGGGAAAAACCACTGTTTTCTCACACCCCACCAAGTTATATTGTCTACCTAAGTCACACTAAGATGTGTTTTTTATTCTTCAATTTGATATTTGTCTCAGCATCAGTTTTCTCATTCCCTCGTCTGCAAATAATAAGAGTCTAGGATAGAAATAATTATGATATGAACTTATTTGCTCTTTAGTGCCGTCGCCAAATTGGCAAAATATGTCTTAGGAACTCGATTGCGTGCTCACTTTGAACATCTTCACATCTCCTAAACTGCTGCTCTTCCCGCGCTACTCTTCGTGAGAACGAATCAAGGGATAGAATTTTCTGATATGTTTTCTATAATCAACTCTGGACTGCTGATGCTCAAATTGCGCTCAAAGTGATAGAAAAAAAAGTTCCTTCTGAGATTTGCTTAAGTATTCTCTCTAGAAAACAATAAGTAAAGATAAAAAAAACGATCAAAATGGCTCCCAACTGAGGAAAAATAATGTCTCCGCTCGAAGGCAATAAATTAGTGTACGATTAGGAGGCGCACAGTGCGAAATTTGCGCTTCGTCCAGTTTCGGCTGCGCGTATTGGACGCCGGAGCGAATCTCTAGCAGGTCACGAAGGGATTCTCCGTGATGCGGATCTCCTTGGCGGCCATATTGCCGTTCACGCTGTTTGCGTAAGCGTCACTGAAGATGTCGTTGTTGTTGCTGGCGGCGCTGCCGGTGCGACTGCGGAGCCACCTGAGCGCCGGCGTCGCAATGAGCGGTGATGCTGATCCAATACCATTTTCGTTAGACATTAGTGTGTTCGTTGAATGGTGGGCGGATGTGTTGCGAGTGGGTGGTGGGCGGTGAATGAAGAAAGCGTGTGTTTTGGGGAGTAGGATTTGTCATTTTACAACTTTCTCTTGGTATTTTTCTCTTTTGCGTGATTTCTGTGTTTTTTTTCTCATTCATTTTTGTCTGACTGCGCTCTGTGGCATGATTTCTTTTAGTTCAGCATTTTTGTCTTTAAATTTTCTCTGTGGCCGCGCGCAAGGTGAGTCGACGAGAATATGTACAAAAAGAAAACCCATGTTTAACAATCTCATCAACATTCTCATCAACTCCGCTGTAAAAGCAGAGCAATTTCGGTATAAAAGCTATGAGAATCACACACAAAGAGCCACAAAGCTGGATGAATTGTCCTTTCACTCTAGATGACTTGTTAACCATTCATAAGGCAAGTTAAGCAATTTGTCCTAGTTTCAGGCGTCAACACAAGTTACAAGAAACATAAATATGAATATCAAAATGTAGGGCAGTTTCAAGATGTTAAACAACACGATCTATAGCATTAGTAGAAACCAGTTTGAGCCTTGAATCATTCAGTTTTCTTCTCACATCGTTTTTTGTGAGAATTTCCCAGCTTTCCAAAGCCAGTTTTTAGTATTCTATTTAATCCTTGAAATCCTGCCCCACATTTTAACACTCACATTTACACAATATTTATTATCTCTTGTTGTCGTTGAGCATAAGAATGGTTCTTGAAGCCTTCGTTGCCTTACAAAAGTTCAACAGAGTTGAGTAAGTTGAGAAAGCAGCAAAACAAACCACTAAATTCAGCATCAAAACTAAATTTTAATGCTGAATCGAGAGATTCTTTATCTCATTTCCAGCCAAAATAACTCAACAAACACAACTCTTCGTCGCCTGTTTTGCTGATTGATGGCAATGAAGCGATGATGATGATGTTTATGACGAAAAAATAACATAAACATGATGAATCCTCAACGTTATTCCCTAAAATATCTGCTGGTCATTTCTCGGTTTCACTGTCATCGCTTCGTCTTTTGCATGTTGTGTTCAGAGTGTGAAAACTACCAAATCAAACAGTGTTGAAAGAAGAAAAAAAAAAGCCACAAAAAGCGTGCAAAACACAAGATTATTTTCCTCAAACGGACTCAGTTTAATTTATCCAATTGATAAAGTTGATATAAATTGTTTCTTCATCTTTTGGGTAAGAAAGTTTAGAGCAAATATTTAAAGGTTACAAGAAAAGGATTTTTGTATAAATCTATATAATTTTGCTTATCAATCTAAACTGTTCCCGTTTGCAAAATTATTATTTCTCTGCAATCAAAACTGCATTCTAAAAACTAGTCACAAATTCTTAATACTATTTACACTACTACTAAAAAGAAAATATGATAAATTTTGAGCAATGAACAATTTAAAATATATCAGTAAAATATAAATGTGATATTTCTCTTCAATATTATTTCTAAACTCTAACAATGAATTATTTTATTATTGACCTGCAAAATTTAATTCTATAAAAGAATACAGAAAATTGTGTTAAATGCTCATTTCTAAATTCTGCTTCTTAACTATTATTCTCATCTCTTGAACTGCAATTTTGCACGAAAAGCCATAGAAAATATGTGCGAAATATACTCACTAAGAAAACTATTGCGTGTGAAAAGCACATTTAAATAAACACAAAACTAAACATAGTTTAAAAAAAAGATAGACAGAAAAGATACAATTTAAAAACTATTTCGTAAAAATCCAATTTGTATTTTGGTATGCGTTTTTCTTGGCCTAAACCTATGATGATGTTCTTCTTCCTCTCCTAATCTAACGATACATATTTCCTCTTATACTGTGCACAAGATAGTCAGGGCGTTAAGCTCTCTACGGTGGCGGCTCTAGCTAACTTTTGCAACGCTCCGACAGCTATAAAAGAAATAAACAAAATGTGTGTCTGTGAAAAAAGAAAATTAACAACAATTTTGTTCCTTTCGCAGCATTTCATGCCAATCAAAAATTGTGTCCAAATTGTAACGCAATTGCGCTCGTTAAGCAAACTCAAGAGCTTTGCTGTCTCTCTCTGTCTGTTTTCCACTGCAATTCTAGTGCAAACTGAATCAATCCAGGAAGAAATTGATAATCCCACTTTTGTGTGCTTTTGACTATCAAATCTTGTGTAAATTGTCGTCACGCTTGCATCAATATTTGCTGATATAATTTTCGACTCTTCTTGCGCATTCTTTATTTGTCTGTCTGTCTATTGCGTGCAAGAAATTAACCAAGACATGATAAAAGATTCATGCTAAAAATATCTACAAGATGCTCTCTAAGACACTTTGCAACTATTTCTCAAGTTTCTGTACATACCATCACTCTTCGCAAAGGCACTCAAATCACATTTGTTTAAGCATGTCAAAATCTGTTGGGAATTTCGTGTGTGATTTTTGTCCAATTTCATTTGCTCATAAAAAGTAAGAAAAAGAGTGTCGAAAAGATCATGTGCCAAAAGCTCTGCCAGAAAGAATACGTGTATTTTTGTGTTTTTCAACAGTTCAATGTATATAAAATGAAGAAAAAAAAAATCGCCCTAAAGATGTTTATGAAAACAACTGAATTTAACCAACTTCAATATTTATTCAAGTATCAGTTTCTCTCTTTTTTTTCCTTCTGTCATCTCTGGATTATATCATTCGAAAGCAATAAATATTTTCATTCTTTACATGGTAATGACAAAAGTGATTAATATACTTCATATATATTCTCTGAACATTTCAATAGTTATTGTTTTCTCATCCTTTAAATACTCTTTCAAACATTTCTTATGCAGTTTTTCATAGATATTCTCTCTCTTACTGGAAACAAAAACACAAGAATAAAAAGCACAGAAACAAGTTGTGAAATTAATGAAAGTATTTAGCGAAGAAACTCATAAAGAAAACTCCTTTAATGAAATGTTTATAGAGTTTTTCATTTTAGTCAATTTGGTCAATTTTTGATTGCATATTTTTCTCTCTCTCTCTTATTTTCTTTATAATACTTCTCATTTTTTCTCCTCCTCTTATCAATACCAAAGTGAAGTACAAAAAAAACACTTCATATAAAGCTTTCAAGCTAAGAGTGCTTCAAAAAAGAATTATCTAAAATAAAAAACTTTGCTCTTGTATTGCATATTCAAAGGAATGTGCTTCAAAACAACAGAGCGAAAAGAAAACCAAAAAAAAGAGGTAAGAAAGTGATGTTCAAAAGATATAATAAGAGTTTCATATTGTGCAATACAATGAGCGATTTCTTGCATTGCTGCAAAGCTCTCGACTCGTACAATTAACAATCCTCACAATGCAACCCAGTGAAGTGACCGAGTTCCATCTCATTACCTAACATGATTGAGCCTTAAATTGGGTATTTTCTTGAAAGCTTTTTACGATCTTCTCCTCCTCTCGACCATCTCTGTTAAATTGATTATCATTGAGTAACTGTGATGAACATAATGGTGAAGTTAATGGTATTATTTCATGAATGTGTCCCTCTCGTCTTAGCTATCATGTTTTTCTGCTTAATGACTTTCTCTTGCATTTTGTATTTTATAAATATACACACACACATAGAAAAAAGAGCGTCAAATGATTCTCTATTGATTCTCATATTTTTTTTTTGGCTAAAATACTGTTTGACATATGAATTTATGGCGATTTGGTTTTGCATTCTTTCTCAGCGCATATTTTTTATTAATTCTGTTACTAGCAAGAATTTAACACTTACCATAGCCTTCACCCTGAAGGAAAAGCCTGAAAGCTTCAGCCAATTTTCCCGGTTGCTCCTCAAGAACCATTGCACAATCTTGAATCTGTGTGTTGAAAGATAGGCAAAACAGTCGTTAATGCAATGTGTAACTCAGGAATAAGTCAAAAAGACAGGATAGAAAGTTTGCTAATTCCACCCACGATTCACTGCATCGTCACCTTATCATGCTTCAGTGCCGTGAAATTGCATTTTCCTCCTCCTCCTCCTCCTCCTCCTCCCCATGGCAATGTGCAGGAGACAATTTATTTATGAAAGTAACACAACTCTCTCTCTCGCTCTGCCTTCATTATCATCATCCCTCGAGGACGCGTGAGAAAAGCTATTCTCAGTGCTGCAACATGAACCCACGCTTTTGTGCCTCGAGTGCCCGTTATCAAATATAATAAAATTGACACTTATTTATAACCCCCACCCTTCTCGTCAAAATCCGCCCCACCGCCAAAACCGCTTCTCCTCAATTAAGCACCACAAATGATGGCACGGAGAGAGTCTCCTCTTGCAGTGTTATCGGGAATTGCGTCTCAAATTTCACCACATGAAACTCAGTAGAGACGAAGAGGTTTCCATTGGCCAAAGTGCTTATTCACACTGTAATTTCCTGCCCCCTTTTTCCTGCCGCTTCGCATCACAGAATAATTTACACACCAGCGGAATTTGGAGGTATCTTTATGGCCAATTCATCCTCCGCAAAGGCACTGCGCGTCTATAAATAAACCAAAAATACTCACTTTCATCCAACTGGAATTTGTCGGATCGAGACGTCCATTGAGAGTCACAGTGTCGTCGACGTGCGGAGAAAGGGCTCCAGTGATGTTGATGATCGGCATTTTAAGCGTTGTGCCTGCAAAACAAAGCCCAATGTGAAATGCCTTGGACACAGACAAGCGGAGAAGCCCGAGAGTCTCATTATTATTACTGTTCTGCTGCGGAGAGCCAGACGGAGTGCGTGCGATGTTGAGGTCAGTCCTATGGATGTACGAGTAGATCCACATGCCCAGATTCGTGGGATTGATGGAGCGCTCGAAGTGGTTTTTGTACATTTGCACCAAATCGTGATTGCGCTCCTCGAGATTCCTGCCAAAGTGATGCCACATGAGGTAATCCACGACGCCCTGTGTCATGCCCTTGGTGCGCAGGAAGCGCGCATTGAACGTCTGGTAGCCCCACTCGATCCATCCGGCGGCCGTTGACACGCAGTTCAGCAGACACAGCGCGCCCACCTTCTCCGGATTGGCCAAGGCGAAGCGGGCCAGGATGTTCCCACCCGCGCCAACACCGAAGCCAATCACGGTCTTCAGACCGAAGTGCGACAGCACAAACAGCAGCTGAGCCGCCAACTCGTCCATCGTCGGATAGACGTAGCTGAAACAGCGAGAGATTTATTAAGCAAAATCACTTATCCAATTCATCATACGGGAGAAACTCATTGCAATTTTCTCTGATTTCTCTGCTCTGAAAATGCTTTCAGCTCACACCGACAGCAGAAAGAAATAGATTACATCAGGTGACATGAAGGGAATTTTCTTTCTGCTGACACAGCACAGGAAATATGTTGAGAACTCGAGTTAGGTGGTGAATTATTGAGCAATCACAAACATAAGTATATACAATTCCCAACAACATATAAACTTCCACAGACATTCGAGACATTTGGGTCATATAAAGTGAGTATAAGCTCTGAATATTTCCACCAACTTTCCCTTAATTTAATTCTTTACAACTATTGGATTTTGCCAACTTTTCCCGAATATTGGATAAAACCTTCTTGAATGCTCTATTCAAAGTCAATAAAAGTTTGTGTTACCGCAAGATAAGCTTGTAAAATTATAAAAAGAAACTTCAATTGCGACTAACTTCACACGGTGAACAATGTAACATCTTATCGTCTACTTTTTACTATGTTCTGTCAATTCCTTTGCCAACAGAACAAGGAAACACAAAGAAGACATTTCCAAACACACCCTGAAGTGTTGGTTGCACTTCGATAAAACTTAATCACAGGAAAACTGATCCAATTATTAGGAAAGCGTAGTGCTTTCCCTTATCACCTATTGTCATTGTTAATTGTTGTCCTATTTTAATTATCTCAGGTGCTCAACTGACTCAATTGACTATGGATGATTTTTGCCCGTTTTCATCCCCTTAAGCTGCTTTAAAACTAATTACAGTGAAGATTAAAGCACTTGAGTCAAAGTATAAGTAACTTCCTGAAAACTTTCCGCTGCTAACTTGATAATAATTCATATGTTCATCATGTGCTCTGCACAGTTTCAATGATTTCGATAAACAACGTGAGCTTTTGTAAGCGCTCTTGTTCAACATTTTCCCATTGAATGCCCGCACAATGTTATGCAAATTTCCCCCCGAAAACCCCCGCGAGAGAACAACTTCAATGACTATACTCACTCCTCGGGCAGCGTCGGAGCGCCTTCCTCTTGCCCAGGAGCCGTCACGTGGTACACGCAGAAGTTCTCCAACAGTCCTCGCATTGTTGGATAGTTGAAGAAGCCCGCAAAGCTGGACAAGTCTGCAAGGAGGGCAATTTCAGTGGTGTTTCAGCCAGCGACAAGCACATCTTACTCACAATTGAGTCCAAGATCATGGTACGTGAGAATCGCCGGCTTTGTGGTGTCACCCTGAATGGCCACGAGGATGTCTCCCTTGTCCGTTGGCACGCGCCTCAAGTCGCAAGAGTCAGCTATCGAGCCACGTGAGTTGGGAAATTGCAACTGGACGGAACGCAACTCAATGTCATCCATTGGATCCACTGGCATAGCTCTAAATCATCCAAGCGTGGAGAGAAAAATTATCATTAGCACAAACTTATCATAGAAATATTGCTGGCAAAAATACAAGAGACAAATCATAATAATTAAATCATAGTAAAGGATTTATCCATTAAAAAGTACTCCATTTATTTCAACAATGTCTCAATCTACAGGATGTTCCACTCAACAGTCGAGATTTTACCCACAGGAGAGTGAAATGGGAGAGTTTATACTGTGAAAAATATCTCTCTCTCTCTCTCTCTCTCTCTCTCTTCTAATGTCATCATCCTCACGTAAGATGTTCTGGAACTTCTGATGAGCTTCTTCCGCTTTTCTTGATCAACATTATATCCTCAATCCCACGAGAGTTTTGCTATCGATTTCTTATGTCATAAGAAATTCCTTCTTTCCTTCATTATTATTAAATTTGCATGCAAAATTAAAAATTTATCACTCAAATCAACCTCTTCAAAAACTCCATCTTTCGCTAGAAACAAGACAAAGACGTTTTTCTTATTCTCATCACTTCTCAAATTCAAAATTCTCCAGCAAGAAAATTACCCAAAAAGCACATGCAAATTTTTTTCTGTTTAGTCCAAAAACAAATTTGACGTGAGACGCATTTTCGGATTGTGTGAATTTGTACCAATTTCTCAAATAGCCCATCGCACTCTATATTATCTGCCAAATGGCAAGGCAAAAGAGCGGGAAAATTGCGCCAAGACAAATCGTGAGGAATATATATTTTCAATGATTTTCCCATCACTTCCTTTGCCTCCCATTTCGATATTCATTCTTCACGACCAACAATTGCGGCACGTGAGAGGTGGTTCTTTTTTGCCATTTTCCCCGTTCGCTGCTCCATTTTCACACACATGACGACACAGTGGCGGGTTTCTATAGGAACGCGCTGAGGATATACAAAACACACACCCTCATTTTCAGCCGCGCACACAATGAGAAAACACTGAAAAGGTATTGCAAGACCTCCACACATCGTGTTCCTCAGTGCCAAAGCTGCCCTCGAGCACCTTCGCCAGCATAAATGGTCACAAAGCACACCCTCCCCAGACGTCATATTTTTTCCACCGAGAAACCGCCGTGCGATAAGCAGATTACAACCCGAGCAGGTCAACTCCCATGTGCATGTGTGACAGACTCCACAGAGACTCAATTACGAAGGTTACCATGCACAAATTATTAGTTCGACTTCCCATCGAGCGTATTATGCAATTTTCTCACACAACCCGAGCAATTTTCTCTCACGTCAACATCAAAAGAAGAGACACCCAACCAGTCATTAATGCAATTTCCCTCCATCATGAGAGCGCATGAGGTATTTTCCCAAGGGAAACCCTTCGCGATGACCCACTTTCGCAGCCGCTCCCAAAAGTATTCAACAGGATCGCCGCTCATCCCTTCGCAATCGCACAATAACAAGGAGTCATTCAATATCTTCTCCCCCCCATTGAAAATGCAATGGCATTTATGGCGCATTTTCGTGGAAAATTGAAATTATATTTTCCCATTTTCAACATGGACAAAAGAGCTGAAAAGCGATAAGGAAGAGCGAAGCAACTTCAATTGCCCCATTGACAAAATTCACAATATTGTAGTCAAACTGAAAAAATATGGTTTCAATATTTTCACAGGACAATAAATTCCAACAATTCACCCAATTTCCTTTCCAACGGACTCGGCAACTTAAAACAGAAATGACTTTGTCGGAATAAGATCCGTGAAAAGCCATCGATATCCTGAGATTTGTAAATCGCGTGAGTCTTTAATAATGCAGTGAATTGTAAAATAATACAATGAATATTCCCACAATTTGTTATTGACCTGAATTTTCTATGAACTCCTGGCAAAACTAGTTTTTCCTCCTGATCAATGAATGACACGATTCTTCATCTCACTGATTTTCTCACTTGTTCGATAGCCCTGAATGCCCTGGACATCTTCCCAGCCTTCGATCACAGCATTAACTGCCTCATTTTTGCGCATCGCTCTTCTGTGGAAAATTCAATTTCTGTCCATTTCCTTTCAACATTTGGCTTTCCTTGAGAAACATGTGTCCGCTTTGATGGGCAATTTGGCATCCCAAGAAGCTTCCCATCATGAACATCGACGGGAAGTTGCCTCCCAACTTTCCACTGTGCCTCTGGAGACAAGACAATGGCATCTGCTGAGATTCACACAGTGCTCTGCACTTTGTTCCGCAACCACCGAGTCCATTTTTCATCTCTTGCCGAGGAGAAACACAAACTGGGCCAATGATATTTTTCAACCCTTCAGAGCACAGAGTGTCATCGTTCTGGGAATTTATTAAAATAGCACTCCTCGTGGCGCACAATAAATCCAATTGACTCCGGAATATTCCCCAATTAAGGGTGTGACAATCAACTTAAATGCGTGTAATTGATGTCCTGTTCAAGACAATTTTCCCCAAAATTATTAATAAAGTAATTGACACTCATTTTTTCCCTCCTATTTTTATCCTCCTCTTCACGCCATGCACAAGAGATATCAAGATTCTGACTCATGGATAAACTAATTGGTTATAATTTTCCATTAAATCTATTATGCTTTCCAAATTCACTTTGCACCCCCATCTCCTCACAAATTCATCCCCCTTTTCCCTTATCCTTGGCAGTGGAAATTGGCACAAATTCTCACCCATTCAACACACTTCATCTCACATCCAATTTGGGTCAATTGAATTATAGTTTCAAATGCTTTTTATAGCTTCACACTTTTCCAATTTGATATTTCACATGAAATTCACACATTTTTACCTGAAATCAAAGAGACTCTTATTTTTCTCTAAAAATGCGCACAGCAAAGAAACACGCAAATAGCAATTTTGGAACTCTCATTTTTCTTCTTCTCCTTTCCTCTCATGACGATAAAAAAAAGAAACTTTTTATGTATATTATCACCTCAACATATGAACTAAATGAGTGGGTAAAAAAAAGGAGAATTTACTACAATAATAATTGTTGTAAGTTGGTGGTTTGGTGTGATGTGAATGATTAATATATTCTATCAAGTCACGCACTTTCAGGTGGACAATAATTACGCTCTATTTGATTCTGGCTTCAGAGCAAAAAATTAGTTTGAGAAAATTCCAATTCTAAAAAGGACTTCATGCATTTTCTATACGACCTTGTGACTTTCCAACTTCAAATTCTTATCATCTTAATGGCAATTTACGTTAAGATACAATCATAATCAAAAGGTAATTTACGGTAAAAGAGGCTCTCTAAAGGTGTGATTAAGAGTTAGGTGTGATTTATCTAAACAAATCAATTTAATTATACTCAATACTAAAGAGATGATAAAAGACAAATCAACATATAGATTACAAAAGATTATATACTGGTAAAATCATCGACGACACCATGAGAAATTGCTTTATATTCATGATGTCGTGTCAGATTTATTTATCAACAACTCTAAATTATTAATTAGGGTGTGTCTCAAATTTTGGCTCTTCTTGCAGAAATACAGAAAAAAAACAATTTGTGTTTTATTGGTTCACTGAAATCTTTCACCTTTCTTAAGTCTGTCAAAACAAAAATTGCCTGATTGATCTCTGATTTCCAATTTATCTTATCGAATTTCGTAATCACACTCTTTTCAATATCTGCCAACAAAAACAATAACCTGCAAAATGGAGACTGAAAAGAAATCCCTTCAGTCGCTTTAAATGTTCAAGGGAGTTTCGTAAAAGGGGACTTTTGCTTCTCTTACCCAAGGAGACGTGCCTCTTCGGCAGTGTGAGTCGGAGCGGATGGCATCCTGTTGTTCGTTGGTCGACCACTTTTGTCTCGGTCTCTGCAAAAAATATCACTAAACATGCAGGCAAAACACGCAAGATTTTTATATCTCTCTTTCAAAAAACCATTAAAAAAAGAGGTATTTTACATATTAAATCAAAAGGGGGAAATATTACAAGTTGTATTGTTAGAAACCATATTTGAAGATTAAAAAAAAAACACAACACAAATTTAATTCATACAGAGAATAGAGAAAATCCTTCTCCATCTTCGCCACTCATTTGCGATAGAGAAAGATAATGTTAATTAATTATAGGTAAGATAACAGAAACTTAATCAAAAATCTACATGTTATTTGAGTATAAATGAGGAGTATTTCTTTTACATTTCTACACTCTCCTTTAAATTTCCCCCTATTTCAAGCGCGAAAACCTAATGAGAAATTTCATCCATTCTCTCTCTCTTTCTCTTATGCTAATAATGACATTGTGGTGAAGGATTAGAAAAGGAACTAAAAGTGGCACAATAATTTTACCCAAACTCAGTCATATTCCAAACATCAAACTCTCACGCGAACTTTTATGGAAAATTTTATTCTTTCTCGTTTACTTTTCTCCAACAATTTCAATTCAAACCGAATCAATTGATAAATTTGTAAATTCCTCTTGATTCACTACTTAAAACCGGATTGTTAATCACATTCCCTGATTCAACCCAGAGATTATCGCGAAAAGCCAGCAAAAACATACAATTTTTGCGTGGGATGAAAAATACGACAAATTGATTGTAAATTTGACAACTGACTGAAGGCACGGTTTTGCATCTTATCTGTGCAAACAAAGAATCGCTTATCAAAAAGAGATCATTTTTTGCTACCATATCACTCCTTCTACGTCGATTTCAGTGACTTTTACACTGATTCCCGTGCAAATAGACACACTTTAATCAATTTGCTCCACTATTTCGAGCTCAACATCGCGAAACACAAGCCAACAAGAGCGCTGTGTTTGCGCACAAACACTCTCAAGTGCGCGCCCAATGATGAAAAATCACGAGCCTCTAATTAAATATTGAGAAATTATTATTACTAGCAGAAAGCGCGCGATTCTCAGTCTCTCTCTCACTTTTACAGGCCATGATTCTTTTTCTGCGATAAGATTCCTCAATGTAACCATGGTTATATCAGCAATAACAATACTCCAATATAATTGTGTATTTTTGGACTTTGTCGTGTGTTTGTGTGTTCGAACGTAGAGAGAAAAATTAAAATAAAACATACCTCATATTGTGGTCTAGCACTAATTGATACAGTAAGCAAAAATCGTGCATGCAATGAAGCGGAGAAAAAAAGCCACCAAGAAAGTCAATTTCACAATTTCGCCTTTTCTTTCAATGGGATCTTAGAGTGTGTGGCACTTTTGAAGCACATTTTGTGTCTTACGAAAACACAAATATTCATTAATTTTACATCCAATCAATATTTTCACCAATTTATGCTCATTCCTCGTTATACAATTTTGCAAGCATATTCGCAATTTCACCTCTATTTACAAGCCAACCGGAAAAAAATTAGCTTCATGAGAAGTTCTTGGTATTCACAGTGAAATTCACACAGAGAGAGAGAGGAAAAGCAATTTCCCTCATGATTGCGAAAATAACCAATAAAAATTCACTTTATAACCAAATATCAAAGAAGTCTATCAATTCACCTTTTAAAACATGTTTCTCATGTTCGTGAAAACCATGTGAGAATTTCTTTCCTATTTCAATTTCCTTGAAAAGTGTTATTGAAACCCAAAATTTATTTTCTCTATGTTTATATCAAATAAAGAATTTTATTGTGAAAATTTACTTTCATCTCTCTCTCTCTCTGTGAAAGTTCACGAAAAGCCTCAAATTCTGACCTGTTGAAGATCTCCAGCACCATCGAGAAGTACTCTTTGGAAAGATGCAATGCAATCACCACAGAAAGTCCAATCAAAATGCTCTTGAGACTCTCTGTAGATGCGAAAATTCCCAAGTTGTAGCTTCACTTTATCCGATATTCTCGCCAGCCCAATTGGGAAGTTTCGCAGAAGCAAGCAAAAGCATTCACAAAACACTGTCCGTTCCTCTAACCCTTCAACAAGCGACTCTCTGGATGACAAGGAAGGCGGAGAAGCAACAGGGAACAAGACTTACCTGGAGCTCACGATGCTGATGTTCGTCGACTTGGCGTTGAGCAGCGGCGGGTCCTGGTGCCCGCCGATCGCCTGCCCAATCGCCCGCTTCACGGACTCGAGCACCGACTGAGCCCCCGACGCAGGCTCCGTCGTGGCATTGTACACGGACCGAGGCCCGTTCTCCAGCGACACATAACCCCCCTCAGACTGGGGCATCTTCGCCACGCCACAACACCCAATTATCAATCATACCGCCCGAGCATCATTCGGCGATTGGCAATTTGATGAGTGACCAAATTCATAACAGAACATAAAAGGAAAGAAATATAAAACAAGATAAGAAATAATAGAAAATAGATCTTTCAAAAAAAAAAGAATCAAATTATATCATAATGACCAAAGAACAAATACAAGTTTTCCCTTCACCCAAAATCAAAAACAGATAAGAAATCTCCCCTTTGTGATACCTTTTGTTACATTATCGAACCTTTTCCGTGTTTTTTTACCAAAAGGAAATGTAGGATGAAAAATACAAATAAACAATTTCAAGAGGACATGAAACATTAAAAAAGAATTCACAATCCTAAAGTATAGACTATATATTTTTATAATTTTGTATCTTGATTTATTAGTTGTGGAATTTTTATTTTTAAAAATTTCCTTATTTATAGGTTTTAGATATTATTTAGGTGACTCTTTAGATTATGTTTTGTGTTAGATTTGTATCATGTGTCATAATATGTTTGTGATTTTTAAATCTATTCGAAGATTACGTGTTTCTAAACAAATTAGAAATCAAACAAAAATACTCTAGAAACGAAGTATAAAATAAAAATATTACAATTTCCTTTTACATTAACACAAAAGAAAAAAATATATATGATAATCGCGTGAAATGTGAGTGAAATGCGAAGGTTTTTTTAGCATTCTAATAAAATTTTACTATTCACTACGAAAAAAATTCTACCGATCTAAAGAATGAATTTCACTTGATTGTGCAGCATAAACCACTCAACAGTAAAGCTATAAATTTGAAATAATATTTACATTGGAAGAATGGAAAATTTCTCCTTTTCTTCAGCTACAACAAACATTTTTTTTTCTTTTTTATTTTTCTCATACAAAAGGCAAGATAGAGAGATAAATGAAAGACCTAAAAAATATAATGTACACAAGATACAAAAGGAAATTGTATATGTATAGAAGGAAATTTAATAACATGGAAATTCTCCTGACTTTTTCTTGCCTCCACTTTTTTATCTCTCTCTCTCTCTCTCTCAACTATGATATCCTCTTTTCTCTATATATTTACCATACAACAATCAAAAGTGCCAATATTAGTAGAATGTTAATAATCTCGAGTAATATTTCCACTAGAGAACACTCAAAATACAGCCACAGTGTGATGGAGGCACAAACAACACACACCAAATCTAATAAGAATGTACACACAGGGAAATTTGGGACTGAGAGTGGGTGGTGGGTGGGAAATGGTGTAAAATCGATATTTTTTCATTAGGGCCCACGACTTTCCGGAAGCCCCACATCGAGACCATTAAATCACACGTATTGGCGCGGCAAAAAATGATCCACATTGAGCAAAAGACATGAGAAAAATCTGTCCGATAAGGGATGAAACTTTCGCCCTCGCTTCTTTTTATAATGACATTTTTGCCATGCCCTCCTCCTTCTCTCTCTCTCTCTCTCCTTCACTCGGGATCATATCTTATGTGGAGAGTTTGAAACTTGAAAACAAGTCACGATCTCCATGGATGAAACATTCGGCAAAAGAGACGCAAAAGTTCGCAAAAGGTGGAACTTCCATTCAGCTTCACATACGCAAGAGATGCTAAAACTTCCTCCCCTTAAAACACATGGAAAATTCTCAACACGAGACATGTTCTCTTCACCAAGTCTATAGCAATAAATTACTTTTAATTCCATCCTAATAAATCCTTCGTCTTTCCGCAGAAAATTTACCTACATTATACACAATATTGATTAATCCACCCCAAACATATATTAAAGCTTCTTCACCACCTCAAAGTTCTCTCCTCAAATTCTTCTGCATGACTAAACAAATTTGCTGAACTTGAAATTTCACAGGCAATAGCGAATTTTAGGCCTTCAAAGGCCGACACCCCGCAATCACGCATCGTCACAAACAATATGTAATTAAGAAGAATATTTATAGAATACAAAGCGAAAGTCTTCCCCGCATTAACTTCCTTCGCTCGAGTATCGTGTAATTAATCATTCACCAAATCAATAACTATCAATTTGCCACGATGAAACATTTGAGAAGCATTGAAAGCATCTAGAGACTTGAGAGAGAGACCTATCTCAATGTTTACCATGTAAAAGACTCCCAATATCAATTTGCACCCACACAAGTTGACTCTATTTTTACACACACTAATTGAAATTTTCCCACAAATTTATGGATGAAAAATATCTATGTCGCACTTTATCCAATTCAAGACAATTCCCCAACAGAATAGACACTGGAAATTAAGATGAAAGAGGAAATTCATACGTATCACGAACTCCTATTGAGTCACATCCTCTCTAACCAATTTAACACTGATAAACACTCCACTGTCTCAAACACACGCCTCTCTTCGCTGCGTCTCTCTTTTCTGCGTCTCAGATGGAAAAATTTCCCATTCAACACAAATACTTCGATAAATACACACTGTCGGCCCGCACAAAATCAAGCCGGCATTTAGCAGATTGAACTGGATTGAGACAAAAATATCCAGATGCAATTCAGAGACAATTTTCACCACTATTCAGTGATTATCGATCGACTTTGCATCCTCGCTTGCTTTCTTTCTCCAGCCACAGAGGACCAGGAAAGTGAGATTAATTGATGCAAACAAAACCCACCCACGTACCAAAGAGCCACGAAGAGAGACACAATCTTAATCTTACATAGACAATTGAATTAAATTTCTCGTCATTTGGGTTGATTTTCATGCCTTGTCCTCTTTCCGCTGGGCTTCTCAAGAAATCACAGTTATTGTTGAGTTACAAGTTAAAAAAAGTCTAACATTTTTTTTTAATATATAATATAGAATATTTAGAGAAGCATAAAAATTGTTACAAATTGTAATTTTAAAATAATTAATTAATAATTGAAAATTGTGTGGATTTTCTTAGGACATTTTCAAGAAAGAGAATAGAATTTCCTTCAACACAATTCTTTAAATGTTTCTCTCTTCGTTTTGCAATAAATCACTGAGTTTCATTTGAAATTAAGCTCTTGAACTTGAAATCGAATTGTTCTTAGCTTTGACTCAGACATTTGTTCGTATAATTAGCAGAAAATCGTGCTCATTCTGATGCATGATGATGAATCATCGCTTTGCGATATTTGAGGGCCTCAATTAAGCTAGTACGAATCTCTACAACTATAAACTTTTCAGGCTGTGTCTCTGGTTTTATCGCCGCCCTCATGTTGTGTTGGCCCTCGGACAAACCATCAACAACTTTAATGCGCTCCTCATTGGATTATTATGACTCTCAAGCGACTTGAGGGAGACAAAGTGGCACAATATACATTTATTCTAGAGATAAACTCAAGATAAATGGAGCAATATTCTTTTTTCCACAGGCAAATCTCCCTCGCAGATCATCGAAGATTTATGTCCAAATATCATTCCTCGCAGCGTGATTCACCTGTATTTCACAAAATCGCACCCGAAATCGCACGTGAGTGCGAAACAGTGACGCAATTTGGCTCCACTCTTTGCATTTTGCCAAACGCTCGCGAAAGCAGCGCCAAAAGGCACGAAAAAATCGATCTACATTACACAATTTGCAAGACTTTTTCACTCGATACATACTTTTTGAGTGAATTTTTATCATCTCTCCAACGCTTGGATTTTATTGCCAAATTTATCTTTTGACGTCTAGACTGAAAAAGAGTCTAAAAAAGAGCACAATTCGTACTCGTGCCATTACGCTTCCTTACACCCTTTTTTCATTTGGAATAAAATGGATTATGCTGAGGCAATTTGTCGACGCATATATCCATTAATTTGGGCACATTAGCAAGTGTGTTCCCGCAAAAGGGACAATTGCGCAAGAAAAATGCCATTTTTATGGCTTGTCAGTCCTTTATTTAATCGCACGATTTATGTTCGTCTCTCATATCTCGCTAAAGTGTATAATCAGTGGGAATCATATCGACCTACATCTGTCACTGCGAGATATTAGACGAAAGAACGATGCTTTGTCCGAGTTGTCTAATAAAATCTGAGATTTCACAGAACTTCTAGCTCACTTATCAATTTCAAGCGTCAATCGCAATCCACTCACAGAAGTGCACACAAACCAATAAATTGTAACATGAATTATTCATTCATGCACTCATTCTTGTGAAACATGTAGAAACAGAACCTTGATAAAATAGTGAAATAAGACTGCAATGAATTTTTGTGTTTCTGATCAATTTTAACGCATAAATGTTGTGTAAAAGTATTCAGACTTCATTCAGCCCTTTTTCTCCTTTCCCACCCAAATACTCAAACAAATAATTAATGAGTGATTTCCAGAGACGCCAAAAGAGAGAAAAACTTTCCACGAACTCGTTCCACCTAATTGGCCAGTGGAAATGAATTTTCCATGAAAGACAGAGATTCAGAGAAGTACATTCCTTTGGATTTTTCTGCTTATCTTGGGGTGAAATCCTCTTAGAATCCCTAATTTTCTTTTGTTCAATTTAATGGCATTCTGAAAGCTCGAGAATCATCAAAATTTCATGCTTTTTCGATCAAACTTCCGGACACGATTTTTTTTTCCGGCAAAATGACTTGCAAAACAATAAAAGCCCCAATTGTCGTAAAAGCCCCCTAAATAATCTTCATTTTTGATGGTTTTTAACTCCATGCTTTCATGGGTTTACTTCCTAAATCCGGTACATCGGCACTTAACCGCCGAGTGGCTTTCGAAGCTTAAAGCTCGCCAAGCCTTCTTCGATGCGCTGGAGCTTTAAGGCGATCAGAGGCGCAATTTGTGGCAATTTCGGGACTGAAATCCCTTTCGATTTCCGAGCGGAAATCCGATGCCACCCAGGGAATTAGATGCAATTAAACTCCCATTCCTAATGAGACTTTTATTGCGTGCCTCAATTTTGCCACAGGGCAGTTATTTCAAGGCACTTCCGGGGAGAATTGTCTCACCCTCCCGCCGATGTTTTCCACGCGAATTGATAGAGCCTCGCGACGGCTCTTCTGGCGATGACAGCGAGTATCGATTGAGGGCTCTTCGCGGTGGCCGCTGGCGGAGAGAGAGACAATAAGTCAACGCCAGAAAGCTCCCTGAAGTGACCCTTGTGAAAAATCAATAATCAATGCAGAAGACTTTCATGGCGCGCTCAGTCGAGCAACCTTCGCGAAAACCGCGGAAAAGTCACACCATTTTCCACCACCACCTTTCCGGAAGTACCCAAATCACCTCCCAATACAGGGCAGGACACTGTGGATGGGGTTCTGGGACTAGAGCCTCATGGACAAAGGCCGGGAGTGAGGATGAAAGTTCAACTTTGGCAACATTGATCCAAAAGAGAAGGCTGAAAAAAGGAGGGCAAATGCCTTCCTCCTCAGGTTTGCCGCACTACAGCTTCTTCCAACAAACACATACCTTCGATAATCTCTTGGGAAACGATTCACGTGCTAATCAAGAACGGGCAGAACACTTTTCACCACAAATTTTCACTTTTCACGCCGGAGACTCTGTCTTTCACTTCCACTTCGCACGAAATTCGATTACAATTTAATTACGTGAGTACAAAATTCTGACAGGCAGCGCGAGATTATTCCGCGCGGCGCGCTGCAATCGCCTGAGAGGCGTCACGCCTGTGCCGGAGCAGCAAATGCTGCACGCGCGTATGCTGTACGAAATATACTCACTCTGTCGAATTCCCGCCAATTTTCTCCATTCTCTGCTTCGTGATGATTTCTCAATTTATGCAAAAATAATCCATTTTCCACCGCTATTCCTATGCAGAGACGATGAAGTGTCAATTTCACGTGCAAATTTTCCGGTGCTTCATGGTAAAACCTGTTAAATGGCACTCAACTTCACCATAAATCTGCACTAAAATGCAATTGCAATTACACGATTCCTTGTCACTACATCACGATCACAAAATCACTATGCAATCTATGGGAGTGAAAAAAGTCCAAAAATGATGTGACATAGAGAAAATCATGATAGAGGTTTATCAATTTTAATATTTCCTTGGAGACACTTGTGTAAACTTCATGTGAGCAAAGAAAAATTACTCAAAAATATACCAAAACTAATATTTTCGTATTTTGCCAACACAAATTTGTGTCGATGAAGAATTATGTGTTGGCAAACCATATACAAAAAGGAATTTATCGATGTGTGTCAAAATGGAAAAAGAAGATGTAAAAATATTCTTATCATGATTAAAAGAAAATCAAAAAAAAGTGTTGCATAATTTGAATTCAGACATTTTTCAATAAAAGAAATCAAATTCTCCACAGGTCAAATTTAATCACTTTTCCCACGACACATCAATATAAATAATTTTATTCACTAAAAAATGGATATATGTTGATCTTAAAATGCTAAAAATATTCCTCAGAATTTATTATATTTCACTTTATCCACCCATTTTTGGTGTCTTTGTTTTTTCCACTCTCAATAATTGACGGATTTGCAAGTTTTGCGTGCTTCTGATCCGACTTTTTCCACTGAACTGAGATCGTTCCGCTCGATTACGCGACAGATGATCGCGTCACCCATATTTCAATCTCCCACAAAAGATAATTCAAATAGGTTGGAATCCATTGAAAATCGCCACTTTGTACGTGTGCAAATGCGATGCAGTGGCACATAAAACTAGTGAATATGCTTGTTGGGGGATTTTCATATCAATCAACTCGCTTCGACTATTGGGAGTTCCCGGTTTAATTGTCATCAATTGAAGGGCGTATTCATCTAGTAATGATACTAAGTAGTGTCTAGCAAAGTGTTTGTGCAAAACAAGTCTCTCAGCTCGCCCAGCTTTTTCGAACATCAACGAATAATTTTGAAAAATCAAGTTGTGCTTTCGGTAGATTTTCGATAAATTCATCTTTCTCGCTCGCACTTGGGGAAAAGTCTCCGCAATTTGAGCCAATCTCTCTTCTTTACGTGGTCATCATGTGACTCTTTGGAGATTTCGCGTGAGTCTCTTTTACACATTTGCAAATGGAATGGTTGAAAAGCGAGATGAACAGATGCAACCTGTTGCTTCCAGGTAACGAGAATTAACTGAAATGCAATCATTACAAATGTTAGGATTGTTAAATGAGTTCAGAATGATATCTATTAAATATTTTCAAATCTATCTTTGAACACATTTCCCTGCAATATCCTAAAAACTCGCAAATGCTGTGCGAAGTGGCATGAACTTGTTCAGAGGGGAAATTCAACGTGGCATCACTGAAACTGTTGTCTGTCTTTGCTCCACGCCCAGAAAGCATTGTGCTGAACAGAGAAGGCAAGAGAGACTCTTTCCATCTCTCCATGTGTTTATTTCTGTTGAAATTCAGACGCGTGGAATCGGCACCAAACTTTCCACAAGTGCACGAGTGAGACAGGCGATCGTGAGCGCGAAAGAGTCTTCACTTTCGCGCCAGAGACAATAATTTTGAAGTCAGTTTTTTCGCGGACTCGAGAGGAAGTGGGTGCTCTTGAACTGTTGGATCTCCTCGTGTGAAATCTGTGAAATTTCCCAGAGATTTTTTCCCGAAAGAAAATCCATAGAGAAAAAAAGACGAGAAATCACAAAGTCTGTGAAATTATTAGTTGTTTAAGGTTAGTGAATTTTCCACCTTTGATTATTTTCAGCTCTCGCGCAATTGCCTCACCTGAGCAAATAACAGTTGTGCAGAGTGAAACTATCGCGGAATTTATTAGCATTTCAATGGGGCTCTTGACTCTTTTGTCAGATGCGAATTTATAGTCCAAGTTCAACAGTCAGAGTCTCTCTGCAAGTGATGACGAAGGCACATTTTTCTGCCTTCGCTCTGAAGCTTAAAAGAGGGTGTAAAAAAAAAACGTGATCTTGCGTCGAAAATCCACGCGATCGATGCACTTTCCTCAACGTGGCGCAACTTTTCGTCAACGTCACACCATCGCCGTGGAAATTGGCCATTGAACAGGGCGGAATGCGGTCCGCGATCGGGTCTTTGCGTCTGTGACACGCGCACTGATGCGCAAATCGGACGATGATCTTGAGGCTGAATTAACATTCACCGCGTCGAATTGAACTTTCCTTTTGTCCAAATACACTAACTGGCAACCGCCTGCAGTTTGGCATGGAAGATGAAGGTGGAGAGGTATTTGTAAGAGTGGCAAATGGAGATCAGATCAGGACATGCAATTGTGAATAATCTCCATTTTTCCATAGTTGAAATATTTGGAGTGAAATTTGGATAAAAACACGTCATGTTAGCGATAAAGTTCAAGTGAAATTTTTATCACTTCACTTTTGAATTGAGCAACAGGAAGCAAAGCGAGAAAAGCTCAGAACCGGTACGAGATCCGGCATTTGAAAAGTGAAACTGATAAGTCAAATATGCACATTTATTTACCTCCAGAGCACAAACTGAATCCGCAGCAAAATTTCCAATGTCAAGAATTATATATCTCACATTAATCGCCTCTTATGTAGGCTTTGAAACCAGAAATGCCAAGACTCATTTGACGAAAATATCAAAACTCCGAAGGACAATTTGAAAAGAATTATGCAAAAATCAATACAAGGAAGTTCAGCAGAAGATTTGCAAAATAAAGGAAAATTCGAACTTGAGCAATTCTTAATTATTGTAATTTTGCAATGAAGAGTCACAATTCTAACTACATTTTAAATAGAATTTTCAAATATTTTTTAAATGATTTAAATAATTTGTTGTATTTGTCGTTTTTATTTATAAATTCAGTTTATTTTTCGGTTCACAATTTATTCATACTATTAGCATTCTAATATAATTTTGGTAAATTTTGAATAGATTACCTCATGTTGAAATTCTCTTTTAGACTCAAATTAAGACAGTGATTGATAGCAAAATCACTCTATTCTAGAAGATTGATTTTATCGATTAATAGGATAGATTTATTGGTCATTACTGCTCCGAAAATCAACTTTCACATACTCAATAAATTCATTGTTGAATTGTTCTCAACATACTTTGTTGTCGTTGCATAAAATGCTTATCAACTTCCAGTTTTCCCCTCGAACTTCCATTCTGTAATCATGTTTAACCTTGCAATCTGAACTGAGCGCGCTTATCTTGTTCATTTCGAAATTTGTCCATCATCTTTCAAGCCCTGAGTTGAAATTTCACAATGCTGATGTCTTGCGTTGATTGAAGGTTCTTGAGAAATTGTAAGACTTCTCAACAATATCCGTCGAGGCGCGCGTTCGATGAATCATGCCGAAATTTCCCGCCAATCGACTGGCAAATTTGTGTCGATATTGCGATGGGAGAAAACTTTCTTTCACGTCGGATGCAAAAAGAACCAGAAACCGCAAGTCTCATGAGAAATTCATGCATGCGTTGAAATTCGCTGTGTGATGCTGGAGAGGCGAAAGAGCCGCAAGATCTCAAGATGCCTCTCCGTGTGCTGCCGCCCCAAAAACATGAAGAGCAACAAGCATCAAAGGCAGAAAGCCCCTCGAGTTTTGTATGTTTGGAAGTTTTGCTCTCTGTGCACGGAGAATTGCACAGAAAACTTTCTTCGGAGCACGTAAAAAGTGAAAGCGCAACACACACCAAAAATTCACTGCAAATAAATCGCACTCCGTGCCTTTTGTTGCAAAGATAAAACCGCACACACAAGCCTCAACCGGAGTGAGATTATTGCCGAAGAAGACTTACTGATTAATTATCTCTGGGGCGGTTTGCGGCTTACGGGGCGAATCCTCGAGTCTCCCCACTAAACACCTCACAAATTCCACGAGCTTAGCTCTCGCAAGCTCTGAGCTTTCATCTCCGGAGGGAAGTTGTTGGCAGCATTTTTGGCCAGTGCAGTGCTGTTGAAAAAGAAGCAATTGCCGTGAAATGCTCATTGCGTGCCTTTTGACTTCTATCCGGAAGTATTGCGATTAATTGCGTTAAAGCGAGCTCCTAAACCTACAAAAAAACTGCAGTTTTTTGACACCCTCTTGAACAACTTTTCAATCAATCCACATCAAATCATAATGAGAACTCGTTTTTTCAAGGTTTCTCCAATTCCGGCATGTTGAACTGCATTTCCGACTTGATGATTTTTTAATTTTTCAGCTCCATCAGTTTATTATATTAAACTGGATAATTTTTTGGTGGAAGTTTTTCGACAGACGCTAACATTAAGAATTGTGATGAATAATAACAAACGATTGATTTGATTATTTAGGAATAAATCATCAAAGCAGAATGGCAAATATAAATATTATTCATATTCTTTTAAAATCAATGAGTCAGAAAAAGATATTCAAAAACAAAATTGCTTAACAATTGCGTATAATCGATATTTTCTTAAGTTTCTCTAGCTCTAAACATTGGATTTAAAGAAAATCGAAACTGCTACTTTAATGGGGAAATTTTCTCATACATTTGCTAAAATAAATAAGTTTAGTGTGAAGTTTGAAAAATGAATGAGTCTCAATGGTTTAAACCTCTCAGGTTCATGATCCATTGCGCTTAATCGGTCAATTGTTGAGGATTGTAAACAAACCGTTCAATTACGTGATTCACTTACGCGTAAATCCGTAATTGTGGAGTGTAATGTGCAATTTAACACTACAAACTTGCTGGACAATCCACAGTGGAATTGCTAGCCGGAAGGCGCAGTAAAAGTCAAGATGTGCGTGGCTTGGAATGAAACAATCAACTGACCTTATCTGGAAGCGTTTTCAAGTTTCCAGTCGGTTTTTTCTTAATCACGCCTCAACCTCGCAAAGTGGTGAATGGCTATTTTTCTGCTGATGAGCGCGCGGACTCTGCAAAAATGGGACATTAATTCTCGCCACATTCACTGTTTCGAAGTAGTAAAAGCTATGATAAAGAGCGTGTGTTATCGCTGGACAGATAATCGTAGACACTTTGGCTGATTGGGCGCTTTTTTCTCTTGTCTTTCTTTGCAGATGCTTAAGTCACTAGTTGTCGTATCGTGCCTTGTGGCGGTCATTCGCTGTGATTCAGGTCTCAAAGTTGACGTGGTCAGTGTACCGGAAGTGTGTTCCAACAAGTCGAAAAATGGTGATATGCTCACAATGCACTACACCGGAACCCTCACAGATGGCAAGAAATTCGACTCAAGGTAAGTCCGCCACACTTTCGCCTCCGTTCTTCGCCTCGAGATCTCTTTTTTGCTGACTCTCGAGCAGTTTCTCACCTTTTACCGAATTTCACTTTAGAGCATCCATTAAATTTGTTTATTAACCGATGGCAATTTTTGGCCGCCAGACAATCAAATTTCTCTCCGCACTGTGACTCATTGACAATTCCCATTTCAATCTGCAAGAAGATGTTATTACCAGTGGTTTTGTGGGAAATTTGCACACTTTCGATCTGACGATTGTGTGATGAGATTACGAAATGTGGCGCTTACTAAGTGTGGATGATGACCTGTCATTTCACTTTTCCATTGAAAATTCATAAAATCCCATTTTTACATAACTTTCCATCGCGCCGCAATCTTTGAATATTCATTTATCGACAGTAAGCTAAACGCATCTGCAACAGTTTCGGGCGCAAATGTGGATTGGGAGTGAGGTCTAGTGACCTGCTGATCGCCAGTACACCGCTGAGTGCGGGTGCCTCGCCTTGGCTGGCTTCCTCTAAAGAATGAACTCGCCAGAGTCAATAATAATGATGATCAATCTGATGGGCGGTTGAATTATGATTCTGGCCGCCAAGCGGCGAAATTGGGCGGGTGGGGGAGAAAATGCATTGTATTTCTGGTCGTTTTGAGGCTGTTTTTCATGCGTTCACACGGACAGGCCAATAATGAAACTGCAATGCGTCGATGCGATAAAGCGCCACAGAGATCCGAACTCTCACCCATTGTTGGGAGTGCTTCTTGAGTGCGAGCGAAAAGACAATTGAAGATGCTGCTCATTAGAAATCAGGGTGGAAAGAAATTTCTCCCATCCAAATGACAAATTACAGCGCGCGCGGCAACAGAGCCTTAATTAATGAATTAATTTATCCGCCAGCAATTGCAGGAATATTGCTTTCAGTGAATCAACAGACTGTATCATTTGTTAATTGTCACAATGCAGGGCATTGGGTTGAACAGGGAGCTGCGCTCACGCCCCCCCTCATAAGTAAATTTGCGTACAACAGAAAAGACACAGAAGAAGGTATTTTCCATCGCGTGGTGCAAACAAACTTTCCACGGATGCAGGCCAATTATAATCTTTCGTACAATTAATCAGGCACGTTCCTCGTTAGCGTCATCTCTGTGGCCATGCCTTGTCGTCCCCCTTTTACATTGAGCAAACAATTGTCCACCTTCCTCAATGGCTTCACGTTTCTGGTCCAAATCTCTGGAGATGACACTATATGCTTGAGACAATGCGGCGAGTTGTTTGAGATATGAACAAGTCTCGTCTCAAGACGCATTGTGAGCCGCGGCGGCCAGAAGTCTTAGGACAATCACCTGTCTAGGAACGAGGAATTTGATAATAAATTAGAAAAATACCCATAAACGCTATAAAATGAAAGAAACCGTCTGCTAACATTCGTTTTGTATGTTTTATCTCATTTTCCTTGGACAAAATAGGACTGTTTTACGACATTTCATCAGAAAATCAACATATTTGATCTCAATATTCAATATCAATTCTGTAAATCACCATATTTATTTACATAATAACCTCATATTCTTGAAATTCCTAAAGGATTAAACCCTCTTTTTCAAATTTATATAAATTCTGGTCTCTGTTGCTGAACAAATGACTATTGTTAGCCAATCTGTTTTTCTCTATTGGGCATTTTTCTTCGAAAAGCTCTGGCTAAAAGCGCCAAGCAGGACTTTGAAAAGTGATTTTTCCGGCGATTTGGTGGACAATTGAATTTCTGCGAAAATCCTTTGAGTCGCTTTTCGCCAAATAAATTTTCCAGCAGCCGCTCACGAGAGATAGGCAGCAAATTGCCATGTGTGTGTGTGTGCGCTGTGAGCCTTTTGCCACCCACTGAGAAGGTGGAAACAATGATGCTCCTGCGGGAGTGAATAAATCGTCCGAATAGTCTCGGAAAAGTGCATCAAATGTGTGAGAAGTGCGCTTTTTTGTGGCACTTTAGCACGAAAGTGCTTCTCAAATGTCCATTTGGGATTTCCTTCGGCGTGCCATTAGACACTTGAGCTCGTATGTGTTTAATTTGAAATTCACACAGTCGTGGCGCGTCCGCCACAAATCACAATTTCCCGATACGTATGCGAAATTGAGAGGAGGCTCTTTTGGCGGCGCAAGAGCTCCCGGCGGCCACACTTGGAGGGAGCATTTTGGGGCCAGGACGTGGCGCTCGAGTTCAACTTTCCACTTGAGACTCCGTCGTTTCCGCGCGTAAATAATTAATGATGGGATTCACATTCTACACGTCTCACTTTGCAAGGAACGACCACAGAGTTGAAGCTGTGCTGCGGATGAAGGTGCCTTTATTCGGCCAACGCACAGACAAATTTGCAGATCTGCAAAGTGAGCAACTCTGGTAATTGAGAAGATCTTCTGAGGTGTGTGTGTATGTGTGAAACACTGAACTACACGGCCGAAATATCGGCGTCGTGTCTTGTATAAATCGGGCAAAGAGGCAGAAATGGATGATGGCATAAATACACAAACCCCAAATTCAGCCCCTCGATTTTACTACCTTCTCTGCGTTGGAGCGCCGAAGGAATCAGTATGCGAAGCACTTCTGTCTCCCATCTGAGGATGCAATTTCCAAATTTGCCCCTATCGACAGGAGGAGAGGCGAGGGAATCAAATGCAGGTCATCAGTGAGATGAAACTGGGGAAGTTGGAGATGTTCTGGGCCATCAATCCACCGGGAAGGCTCTTCAATTTCATCTATGGAAAATGAATGTGGGTGTGGGCCGCTGGCCGAGGAAAAAGTGCATGAAATATCGCACAAGGAGACTCTTTTTATTCACCCCAGCCGCACACATTCGGGAGTCATAGGGCGGATATCTCTCTCATGGTTTCTTGTGTTGAAGAACACACAAGAAGGAGAATATTGGGTTCTGCCTTGGCGCACGAATAAATAATGCAAAATTGATGTGAATTTTTCATAGCAAGTTGAAAAACACGACGAAACTTGGCGAATAACATGTCCCAGAAGGCAATAAACAGAGACTTGAATAAAAATTCAGTGAGAGCAGCAGCAGAAAAGACTTTTCTGTGTCTCACAGGTCCTCTCCAGGTTCTTTGGGGCGCTGTGGGGCCAACGAAATGAACCCCGCGTCTTTTCTATGCATTTGCACTGTCTTTTCTTCTCCTCGGCCACGAAATTATCGTGACCGAGAGCAATTAGATCATGCGCTTTCTACTTTCTTTGTCGGCACTTTTGCTGGCGAGAAAAATAAAACCGAAACACAAATATTTGTGATCTACTGTAAAGTGTTTTGCTCCACCTGCAATTGTGAGGAGAAGAGGGTGGAAAAATAAGGGTGCAAGTGGTGGCTTGCATTGCGTTTTAGGGTTCTTAAGTAGAGGTTTAACATGTGAATTCAATTCTACTTAAAAAATTGGTGAAGCTTTTTCACACACACACACACGAAAACCATTGAAATGTGGTCATCGTGTGAAATTTCAGCACATTCCAATGGTATTTTGCTATGCGTTTGATATGCAGTCTGCATTCAAACTGTTTTTACTTGATACAAATTTCACTTTTCTTCTGTATTAACCCATTAAAGCTAGGTCATCGATTCACTGATTTACACCATTTTCAGCTAAACTTTCCGAAGATCGTGTAAAATTGGTATGAAATCTTTAAAGTAGCCAAGTAAAAAAGGATGTGGAAGCAGAGAGTTTGTGAGGTTGATGACCGACAAATGAGGAAAATTGATTAATGCTGAAGGGACAGAGCGAGTTATTTCCGCGTGTCAGAAATAGTGTGTGGGAAAATTGAAAAAGTCTCCACGAGCGCACATTTAACCGAATTATCTCGGTCCCTTTGTGCTGGCTAAAGTCTCACACACACACACTCTTCCTCATCCTCGGTAGTCTCATTGACAATATTTAATTAATTCTGAGATTATTCACCTTTTGACATGGGTGCAAATATTCGCAATGTCTAGCTGGATGGTTCTCGCAGTCATTTTTGCGCCAGAGCGCTTAATGAATGCCGCTCTTGAGGAAATTTACCGGAAATTAGCTGGGAGAATCCTTTGTAGGAGGAATTTCCATGCTGTGCACATGTTTTGAGAGTCTCACTCATCGTGAGGCTCCGGGATGCGCTGCATAAGCGATGGCTTCCTCGATGCAAAGATGCTGAGAGTTGCGTAAAAGAGTGGTTTTGTCTGTGCATCCAACTGTGTGGGGAAAATTGCACAATCTCTCGTGCAATTCACAAGAGGTTGTGCCGCATCCAAAAACTGATAGCAATTTGACCCCAAAAGCACGCCACAGAGAGATTGTGCCGGTGAACTTCACACAGAAGAGGAGCCTCAAGGTGGCAATTCGGCAAACATTCCTGGAGAGTCCTCTTTCTTTTGAACTTTTTCCTCATCCGCACGCTTTTTCGCGACGCCGTCAAACTTCCGTTCTGTGTCGAAAGACAGCATTTAGAGAGTCGTTTTATTTTGCATTTAATATCGCACGCGCGCCAGTGCGTAAAGACACACTCTATATATTCATTGCTGATCGTCCAATAAAAATTCATACAAATGAGTATCAACTTTTCAACCCCCTGCCGCGGCTTTTTCCGCACCACCTCGTCAGGGTGACAAACCATCAGGTTTTCTGGCGAGGCAAGAACAAGCGAAGGAAAAATGTCACAATTTTTTACGCCACTTCACAATTGTTAAGGGGTTTTTTCGCCTCTCGCAGACTCTCAACGAACAGCTACAATTCACATTAATTCCCAGTGGTGATGACTGGGAGATGTTTCCTCGACATTCCGAGACACATTTCCCGCCTTTTTTTCCCCCTGACAAGAAAATTGGGAAATTGAGGATAAAAGTTGCTAATTTGCACCATGTTTGGCTCAGGAAATTGCTCAGTGAATGACAAACAACTGAAACATGAAGTGTGAATTAAATTTATAAGCTGAAATTGCGAGAGAATATTGCAATTCCACTCTTTGCAAATTGCCACAGGAGTTACTGAATGCAATTGACTTTTGGGTTGAGAGTGTGGATCACCACAAATTATCAAAAATGTGTGTGGAAAGCTTGATTATCTGCCGAATTATCTGATAATCTTTCTCCAAATTGCCTCGTGAAATCCCTCGAGAATGCTCTTCTCGCCGAGAAAGCGTCAAAAGTTGAGCAATTTTTTACTTATTCATAAACGATGCCCTGAGAAAGAAGGCGGAAAAGGGGCCAAGAAGTGACTGTTATGGTGGTGAATTAATTAAAATTGATCTCAATGATGTTTTCCCACCTGAACTGGACGCTGAAGAACAGAGAGCGGATGAAATGCTAAACCACAGCGAAAGGTGTTTCATTACAATACCCATAAATTGGCACCCAAAGCACCTAATTAGACGTCAAATTTCCCGCCCCGCAACGCACATCCTGCGTCCTTTCGGGATGTCTTGCTGCGCTGCAAGGAGATTCCCTTGGGAGGGGCTGAGAGATGTGTGTGTGTATCACGTTTTATGGAGACACATTCCTCCATATTTTCCCCATCATTTTCGCCAGAGAGCAAAAATGATGCCATCCTGCGAGACACTCCAATGCGGTTGTTGGTGAATTTTGGATTTTATTCACAATTCGCACAATTCAGAAATAAATAAATCAAACTTGACTTCCACCAATTTCACTTTATCTTCCCCTCAAGAAACGGCATGACCAGAATCTGCTGCTCTCAACGTGTTTTGTGCACACAATTTGTGTGCAGAATTCTATTGCTTTCAGAGACAAAGCTTGAGTTGCAATTTGAGAATTTGAAATAAAAAAAAATGAATCAGAAAGCTCTGAAAATGGACAAAAATTTATTATAAACTAAAATTTGTAAGGGTTGGTAAAATTTAGCTCAATTTCTAGTATTATTGTATTCCAAATAAGTGCATTTCATACAAGTTTAAGTGTATGAATGAATGTTTTTGGGAGTTATTTATTTACTAAACTCGTTTAAAATTAGTTGCGTATCCTAAATTTGTGATGCAGGCCTAAAAAGTGATTAAAATTGAGTATTATACGAAAGAAATACAGTAAAATTCGAAGACTTCTACAATGTTTTCAGCAATTCTTTGCACAGGGTTCGGGACAGAGCGTGAATGAGAGTGTATTTCACCCTGGCACGGATATAAAACAGGGTCCCTCGTCCAAAAGCGAACAAGGCTCGCTACTCAAGGTGGAAAATTCATGCATTTTTCCGTGGTTAGGATTTTTATGGGTCTAAACGATGACGAAGTTGAACGTGAATGTGGCGTACATAAAAAGTCGTGTATATGGCAATATTTTTATTGATATTGGGTCACTCTCGATGGGCACTTGCGATCACACTCCCGTGGTCCAACGCAGACTCCTTTACGGCCCCAGCGAAGGCAATAAAACATCTCCATCATCTTTCACTCCGCAAATCGAAAAAGCGTCTCTTCTTCCACATATGGGAATTGAGTGGAAAATTGAGAAAATGCGCTCAATGAAACTAGCACGAATTTGTCGGTGAATTTTATGGGTCTATTGTTCACATAGACTAAAATCGCATCTGGGTTACAAATGTACGAGGAAAGTGTATCACACTTGTAAATGGAATATTTAACAAGTAAAATTCACTGAATATTTTATGACATTTTAAGGAAGTGTGCGAACACATCGCACGCTGAGCATCCTGAGAAAGGGGTGAAGGCGACCCGCCAGAGTTGAGGCGCTGCTAGATGGGATTCGCAGCATTGCTGCTTAGTCTGTCATCTGGTTGTTGGTCAACTCTGTAGATCTGTGTCTTCGGGTCGGGGAAAAAAGAATCTTCGCTGTGTTGCGATGGCGAAGCAGCAAATGTGAAAATTATCTTATAGGATTAATTTACGAGGATCCCTTTTCCATTCGCCACACGGACTGAGAGCCATGGACTGAAGGAGAAGTGATGAGACAGGAAAAAGGAGTTGTTCGGGAAGGAGTCACAAATCATATATTTTTTTTAAAAGTGTGCACATCCAGTGCAGAGAAAAAAGTTATTTATGCCAAAGTGAGGAGGAAATCTGTATATTTGCCAGAGGCTCTATTTATGATCCGGGCGGGGACGAAGGATGTATCAAGGAGTCGTTCGCCATAGCACACATTTCATGCAATTTTGATAAGGAGAAGCTACGGAAGACGAGGTCGGAGGGCCATAAGTATGCAGGAGGCGCAGTATCAGGAGCCGGAAAACTATCTGCTGAGTGGAGCAAATTTGCGGAATGCAGAGGGGCGTGAGCCCTTTGCCTCTTCTGTGTGTGTGTGTGTCTAAAATCATATGGAAATTGGAGGAAAATGACGCTGAGATCGCCCTTGTCTTTGGTTGAAATGCTTTTAATCCAACACCTCGGCAAATTCAATTAAATTTCTGTTGACCTTTCACTCTGTTTGCCCAACCATCTGTACTCCAATTTTCCCCATCGAAGACTGCAAAAATTCCCCACGGAAGCCCACTGATTGGGCGAGGTGTTCACCCTTCGGCGCCCCCCCCAGATAAATTTCCTCCGAAGAAGTGTGTCTCCTGCCGAGGCATCATCGGTTGATCCAGTGTGATTCGACAATTTGCAAGTCGATTTTATGACACCGCACCAAGATGGGATGTTTTCACAATCTTGAAGGGGTTGCGAGAGGGCGACCCGTGAAGATTGACATGAAAAACACCAATTCACACGTGCAACTCACGCTCCATCAATATTGGAGAAAATCCACCCCATGAGTTTTTATTTCACATCGTATTGGGGATTTATTTAAATTGTGCATTTTATCTCTCACACCCAAGCGAATACACACGAAGCGCCACACTTTCACCAATAACTCACTATCGATGGAGACACACATCGGGAGAAGAAAAGCTTTTGGGGTGGAATTTTTCGGGGAGAGAAAAATCCAATTTCTGACTATTTATTTCGTGTATTATTCAGCATCTTGTGGAATGTGCATCGTGAATCTTTGAGTGATAAATAGTGGAGAGTATTAACCAATGTCAGTGGCGAGAATATGAATTTTCTATCTTCTCGACTTTAGAGAATAGAATTTCTCTTCTATAAACTCTCTGTGGGCGGAGCTTATGAATGGGCGGGGCTTAGAGTGATTCTTTTGGATTTTTGCACTGATGTAGAGCCTTTTCTCTAGCAACTGACAATAATTCACATTAAAAATTTGTACAAATATGTTTTGAAGCGAAATTTAGCTCATTTCTTTGCTGTGAGAAATCTGTATGCGATTGTGTGGAAATTTGCCAATTTACTGTCCTTTGGAGACTTGCAAATTGTAACATTTTCGCAAAATTCAAGAAACGTCGAAAGAATAGGTGATTTTGGGTTAATTTTCCTAAGACATTTTACTCACGTGATCCATCAAAATTCCCAGACTTTCGACATTGTTTCCCCAATTTTAGAAAATAAAACAAGTGCGCTGGTTTAGAGGAATTTTAAAATTTAATTATATCTCTCGTGTCCAATTCTTCTGAGTGGATTTTTCATTCCATTCTTCTCTCGGAGACAATAAAACATATCTTCTCAGTGTGGCGAAATTTACAGCCACAAGAAGTTCTTCTTTTGGACACTTTTTGGTGCGCTTTTTCGGGTCATGAGAAGACAATCGAAGGTGTGAATTATGAAAATGTGACTTCCACGCTTAACTGGTATCGTGCAGTGTGTGTTTGACACGCTAAACTCTTATCATGTTTGTGTAATTTGAGATAAAATCTAGATAAATTGGCTGTTGAACTTCGCCTTTGATATTTCATCAATCTACTGAAAAAGCTCTTCTTCCGCCTGAACAACTTGCGAAGCGCCCTAATTTTTATTTATATTTGTGTCACTGTCACTCGAATGTTTTCCACCCACAATTACATGTGACAGCTTTATCAGGTGGAAACGGTGGAAAAAAAGAGGCGAAAGGAAGGAGTTCTCGAAAAGGAGACACCCGAGATCCGCTGGCATTCCCTTAAACAATGACAAATTATTGCAGAATTCCGCATATTTTGGCATCACACGGCATTTGAGGGAGTGAACGGAAGCTCAAGCATGACATAAAAACTGTAAGAAATTATGTCAAGTGTAATCCTAGAAATGTTCAACACACACACATAGAAACAAAGCGGGAAATTTCATTTTGCAAGCGGAAGGAAAAGAATGGCTTTAAATTTCTCACCGAAAAGCATGAATTGGAAGCAAGTGTTTAAAATTACACGATGTTTTTGCGGAAAATTCATCTTGAGAAATGTGATTAATGGGCATGCAATTGCGAATGGGGTGAGAATCTCGAAGGCTTGGCGCGCATTGAGTGTGAATGATGGGTTTGATTCTTGCGCGCTGCAATTCGGGTTGAAGTTCGGCAATTTGACCGGAGAATTTTTGACGGGGCGGCGGGTAAAACCTCAAGGGGCAGCAATTTTCCAAGGAGAGCAGCGACGAAAAATGAACTCCTGCCCAGAGCTTGATCATTTATTCATTGGACCACCCAATGGCGGGTGCTGAATACTCTTTACACAAGTACACACTCGAGTATTCACAAAATTTCCCCCCAAAACGCTGCACAAAACTCCGACAGAGCGCAACCTAGGACGTGGTTATCATCTTCACCTCCAGTCGAGAACTTGTGTAGACAAAATGTAATTAGGATCGGAGAAAAAGTGGGAAGAAATTCGGGTTAATTTCAGCATCTTATTGGAATGCCTGTGCGACAAATTGAATAGTTACGCGGCCAGTTGAGAATGAGTCACATTGGCGCGCAAAAGAGTCATCAATTCCCCATCTCTGGCACTTAATGTGGGCAAAGCTCCTTGTATCCACTTAGCCCAGGTATTTATCGCCCTATGGATGATGTGGAACTGCACCCGCCCATTTTCCGTGCTCTCGTGCAATTTTCATGCACATCTCCCCAAAAAGTGCTGCAAACTCTGCTCGATGCCACCGCACAAGAGCTCCTCAATTCACACTGTCTCACTCTCTCTCTCTCTCTCTCGCAGCCTCGACCGAGACCAGCCCTTCACGTTCCAATTAGGCGCCGGGCAGGTCATCAAGGGCTGGGACCAGGGCCTCTTGGACATGTGCGTGGGTGAGCGGAGGAAGCTCACGATTCCGCCGCACCTCGCGTACGGCGACCGAGGCGCCGGCAACGTGATTCCCGGCGGCGCCACGCTCGTGTTCGAGGTAGAGCTCATCAACATCGGCGACTCGCCGCCCAGCACCAACGTCTTCAAGGAGATCGACGACAACAAGGACAACCAGCTGAGCCGGGAAGAGGTAATTGAATATGTAGGGAGTATTTCATTTCTTTTACCCATTCGGTGGCGGGAAATCCTCGTGAAATGTATGAAAATGCCGCCGTGGAAATTTTCAAATGTAGTCCAAGAATTCAACACTAAATTTTCTTTCGTAATTTTTTTTTAGAAAATCAATGTCAATTTTGTAGTTTCTCTATTATTTGATTTATTTTCTGTGATTCTTATCAGAAAAATGCTATTTTTGTAGAAGAAAACTCTTTGAATCATCACAATCACATGGGAAATCACTTAGACAATCATTCTTATAGACAATTTACATTCAATTTTCACAATTATGCACCGCTTTATCACACCAAAATCATCCATGAATTAGTCAAATTGCTACCCATGCACACAATCTATTAATTTAGCATTACTTTGTGTAGACTACAATTAGAGAATTTTCATTGCCTCCAGCAAAATGCATCTGCAAATTTTTCATTCATTTCACAATTGTTGAAAATTGCACGATTCCTTTTATTTTGGGCTGATTTATTATTTATTACATGCTGCTGTTTAATTGATTTCCACACTAAAACTCGTGCTGCTTTCCTTTGCAGGTCAGCGAGTATCTGAAGAAGCAAATGACCGCCGTCGAAGGGCAGGATTCGGATGAGCTGAAGAGCATGCTTCAGGAGCACGACAAGCTCGTGGAGGAGATCTTCCAGCACGAGGACAAGGACAAGAACGGCTTCATTTCCCACGATGAGTTCTCTGGCCCGAAGCACGATGAATTATAATTGTCCTCAAGCGCCCAATCATCGACAGTTTTATTTTAATCACATCTCTTTTGTTACATTTACCATTTATGGAAAATGAATGTTAATTAGGTGTAAAATGTATGAATAAGTGAGAAGTGTATTCACGACTTTTTCTCATATGATTTTTCTTGGTTTTACTTTCCGCCTAGAATTAGAAAAAACACACACACGGAAAAGAGATCGTAATTCTGTTTCGGGAATCTTCATTGAAGGACGCGGAGAAGTGACAGTGTTTAAACCCCAAGATATTCAATACTGTATACTTGATTTGTTGATGTACATATTTATTGATGAAAAAAAAATACCATGCGAATCATGCAAATTAGGTGGTAAATAGAGGACTTCTTGTTTCCTTACATTTTATTGTAACTCATCTTCAAGCGCAGAACGATTGCAAATGAAACGAAAACATATCAAGATTTTTGTACGCCCAGAATATAATGGAAACATTTAGGAATTTGTGAGCTTTTGTACATGAGAATATTTCTTATCAAGACAGCAATGTAGAACGATAGACGAGTTTTCCAATAAACATATTTTCAAGTTTCCGAAAAACGTCTTTTTTTGGCGCGACAATTTTCAGCGCAGCCGAGACACCTTTTGTCAGCGTTGTCAGCGGCCAGGCGGCGCTGTGAGCATCAAAACAAAGACGACATAACCTCAAGAGGTGAAAGTGCAAAGAGTTTTTCATGAGGGCAGGAAAAATTGCTCACTATCTGGCAAATACTCAACAGATTGTGCAATTTAGGTGAAAAACTCATTGGCAAGAGGATGAAGTGTCACTACGAGGTGCTGAGCATTGAAAGGTCGGCGGATGAAGGTGAAATAAAGGCTGCGTATCGAAAGCTCGCCCTGCGTTGGCATCCTGACAAGAATCTCGACGATCCGGACGGTGCCAAGGCGCAGTTCCAACTCGTCCAGCAGGCATATGAGGTGCTGTCGGACACCCACGAGCGCGCCTGGTATGATAACCACCGGGAGCAGATCCTGCGCGGCCGACAGACAGACTACGAAGACAATTCCCTGGACGTCTTCCAGTACTTCACTGCCTCCTGCTATCGCGGCTTCGGGGATGATCCGGGCGGCTTCTACGCGGTGTACGGAGGGGTGTTCGAGCAGCTGGCCACAGAGGAGATAGAATTCCTGGACGACGAGAGCGACTTTGAGAAGATCCCCAAGTTCGGCACCTCGGAATCCGACTATGAAGAGTTCGTGCATCCGTTCTACGCGTTCTGGCAGAGCTTCTGCACGAAGAAGAGTAATCCAGATAAAACCGACACCGCGACACGATACTGAATCTGTTGTTTTTTTTGCAGGTTACGCGTGGTTATCGCCCCACAACATCCATGAAATTCGGGACAGACGAATTCTCAAGGCGGTGGAGAAGGAGAACAAAAAAGTGCAGCAAAAAGCGCGACGAGAACGAAACGAGGAGATAAGGAACCTCGTGGCGTTCGTGAGGAAGCGCGACAAGCGAGTGCTGGCGTACAGGAAAATACTGGAGGAGAGACTCCAGCAGAACCGCGCAAAGCAGGCGGAGAGTCAGTTGGAGCAGCTGCGGAGACGCAACGAGGAGATCGCCACGGCGCAGCAGAAGAAGAGTTTCAACGCGGACTACGAGGAGCAGCTGAGGATGTTGGAGAAGTCGTATCTGGAGCCAGAAGAGGCGGAGGACGAGAGCGGCGAGAGTGACGCTGAGGATGAGGAGGCGCTGGCCGGTGGAGTGGCGGAAGTGAAGATCGAAGCAGAGGAGATCGATGAGGGGGCAAATTGGGACGAATTCTACTGCGTGGCGTGCAATAAGACGTTTAAGAATCAGAGTTCTTACAGAAATCACGAATCGTCGAAGAAGCACAGAGAGAATGTGCAGCGAATCAGGCAGGAGGTGCAAGAGGAGGAGGAGGAGCGCGTGCAGAATTGTGATTCATCAACAGTGAATGGCTTCACGTCGGAATCCGATGAGGAGGAAATTGTGGAGATCAAGTCGAAGGCGAAGAACAGCAAGAAGAGGAAAAACCAGCGAATTGTCGCTCTGGGATCTGACAGTGAGTGCGAGATGGACACTATTGGGAAGCTCTCGGAGACGGAAGAGGACTGGCAGGAGAACAGCAAGAAGACGAAACCCAAGCAGAAGATCTTTAGCAAGCCTAAAGTTGTCGAAGAGCCTCAGGCAGCGCAGCAGCCGGCGAGTGTGGAAGCAGAAGTCAGTCCGTCGTGCGTTACGTGCAACGAGAAGTTCACGTCGAAAAACAAGCTGTTCGCGCACCTCAAGAAGACCAACCACGGCGTGCACATCCCCAAGGCGGGCAAATCCGGCGGCCAGAGCGCGAAGAAGGGCGAGAAGGTGAGTAAAAGAAAGGCGTAAAGTTTGTTAGTTTGAGGGGTTTTTATTTCCACGTATATAAAATAGTATAAAAAGATATTTTTGCTTGTAAAATACATTGAGAAAAACTACCCTTAAGTTATGTTTTGAGTATTTTGTGTGAGTACGCTGGAGTCATACAAAAAAGCTCTCGAATACATTGGCGGTGTGTGTTATTCGTCCCACTCTCAGTGGACTTAAGTTCGCGAGTCTTTGGGAAGTCGATGGCCAGCGGCTAGAGGAAGAGCACGAGGCGCTCGCCCGCCTCGACGCGCCGCTTCACGGAGGCGCTCATGTTGGCGGATTCGGCCTTGAGGCTGATCAGGGCGCAGAGGAAGGCGAGGCTCATGCCGACCACGGCGCAGTACAGCGCCCAGCCGATGGCGCAGTCGCCTGGGTAGAAGGCCTCGGAGTCGCCGCAGAGGCGCAGCACGCGCGCGGCGCCCCAGCCGAGCGGGTGCAGGAAGAGAGCGACCATGATGGAGATGCCGGCGAAAGCCTGCGCCGAGCCGGTGATGGTGTGGATGCTCTTGCCCAGCAGCGACTGCCGGCAGCACGTGACGAGCGTGAGGCAGACAGTGACCGACAGCACGAAGAGTCCCAGCGAGATGAAGAACATGCAGGCCTTGAACTCGGTGGGGTACACGGAGGAGTCCGTGAAAAGGCCGTCGAAGTCAAAAGGGCCGCAGTGGAAGTGTCCGTCCACCATCATAGTGCATCTGCAGAGGATTCCATTGAAATTGGCAATTTTAGAAAGCACAGATTTTTAATTAGAGTGCATTCTGAGATCAAGAAGAATTCTCAGGATCTTCTAAAATACTTGGCCAGAAGCTTAGCCAGTAAAAAGGCCAATTTGCACAGAAAAATGGTCAAATATTTCCTCTCGTTTGTTCTCCACTGAAAACTCCGTGAAGAGTTATCAAGGCATTGTGTAAATGGAGCAATTTGCCACTGATAACGTGCTTATTACTGTACTCAAGACTTACAGCCAGTTCTCTTCTCACCTCGTGTAGATGCCGAGCGAAGGGCGGCGCTCCTGGGCCGTGAAGTTGTTCTTCACCACGAACACTTCCGGGCCGATGAGCCACTTGGGCGACACGACGGCGGAAACGGTGAGCATCGCCGCCACGAGGCTCAGGAGGAACCAGAGCAGACTCCGGCCGGTGATGATCACGTAGCACATCTTGGCCGGAGACGCGGCGGATCTGGTGAGGAGGGAGAGAGAGATTAGAGGTCACAGAGTGACATTTCTCCTGTCACTCGCGGGCAGTAAATCACTCCAATCTCTCGTGTGATAGCTGTGAATATTGCCTGCGCGTCTCTGCGTTCAGTTTCTGGGTGTTTTTCCACGAGGTAAAGAGTTCTGGGCGACGAGAGTGGTTTGGCGGAAGTGCGGATTACTCACCAGAGATTCGGAGACGCGCAGAAGACGGGAAGAAACCTGAGCGGAGTGTCTAATTGAGTCCTCTCATTGTTCCGCGGTACACAATAGACACACCCTAATTCAATTTTTTATTAACATTTTATTGCGCTGGGTGCTTCTTTATTCTCCTCTATTTTCTTTCGCCCATCCACAGAGGAGGCAAAAAACACTGGCCATCTGTCAGAGCGCGCCCTCCTGTGGGTGTGTGAGAGAGTGCACGAAAGTCTCTTCCGAATCCCGCAATCTCGCGCGTTCACTTTTTATCTTCGCAACTTCCCCTTCGGAATGTCGCTCGCGCGCGCGCATCAAACTTCCCGCCAAAAGTAACTCTTTCGCTTGCTCTTCCAGGTCCGGTCGCGAGGATGGCCAGCTCGACACTGCGGCGGTTCTTTGTCTACGGCACTCTGAAGCGCGGCGAGCCCAACCACCAGCTGCTGACGCGGCCGGAAAACGGCGTCAGCAAGTTCGTGGGCCGCGCCGAAACAACCGTGAAGCTTCCTCTGGTCATTGGCACTCGCTACAACATTCCGTTCCTGCTGAACCAGCGTGGCACCGGACACTTCGTCAGGGGTGAGATTTACGAGGTGGACGACGGGATGATGGAGAAGCTGGACGAGCTGGAAGGATATCCGGAGTTCTACGACAGGGAAATCCAGGAGATGAAACTCCTCGACGATCCGGAACAGTGAGTATCATCGTGGGCATTTCTCTGTCCTGAGGATTTGACTGAGGAATTCATGCTGAATTCAGTGATAAATTTATTTACAAACATTTCGTAATCATTGTACAAGTTTGAGTTCATTTCTTGCTTTACAATTTTATCAGTTTACGTAATTTCTGTGCTAAAATCAAACAAAAATGAGTTATTTTTACAAATGAACTTACAGAAAAAAAATTAGCAATTCTAATTCAGTTGAATATTTAGGTTAATCCCAAAATTCATGGAATTTTCAGTGTTTTTATCAGTTTTGAGTTTAGGCCTGCTTATCATAGTTTCCATTCCTCAAATTCACGTTTCTTCATTGGTCACAATTCCAGGAAAACTCTTCCTTGCTGGGTTTACTTGCTGCGCTCCTTTCCTGACCACCTGCTGGGCTTCGAGATGCTGACTGAGTATCGCGACACGCCGGAGAAGCGATACTGCGAAAGGTCTAAGAGAGATGCCAGCATCTCAGCCAAGGATGATTTGGGCTTCAGCAGGCATTAATGTCGCACTTTCAATTTGCAGCTACAATGAGAGCACTCCTGAGGATCTGCGCGAGGACGTGAAGAGGGACTTGCAGAAGTGATTGCGTGTTGTGCGGGAAAATTAATTAAAAGCGCTGTTATTCTGGCCAAAACAGAGCCTTCAATTTGTTTGTGTGGGGCGAAATTGACACGCCTTATCAGGCGCGTTTGCAGTTATCTGGGCCATTTGGCTATCGCGATAATTACAGAGTCCCAAGGAGGTATGATTTTTCGGAGAGCAGCGTCGCCTCCAGCGATGCTCCCATTGATCCCAAATTGACTCCCAATGATCTCGCGATGTCGCGTGTGCTGATCAGACAAACATTGCTATTTTTGTGGGCATTTGAAGTTACAGCATTGGCGGATGGAAAAAACGTAAATGAGTTGGAATATTGATAAAAAGACTCACTTTGCGATGGTGTTGGAAACGAGTGGTGTGACCAACACAGAGGCGCGCGGTGTTCGCATGTGTGGCGTTGGCCAGAGGCTGCCTGCCAAACTCCGGGCTTCAGTTCACTCCCAACACATTGCAGAGGTGGAAGGCATCGCGGCAGACGTTTGTGAGCCAAGGTCAGCCAAAATACAAACAAGCCAGGCAGAAAAAACGGGCACGGAAAGTAACAAAGAGACAAGTTTGTCCAGAAACTCCCTGCAAGAGCGCAATTGTCGCGTGTGATGAACTGAGAGGCCGGAGAAATCTCTGTGAATTGTGAGGCGCGCAAGAAGAGCTGAGAGAGACTCAAGGAGGCCATCATGAGCTACAAGGTAGACGACTCATCGCTTAATCTCTGCGAAAAGTGTGAATGTGGCAAATTCAGACGCATCTCGAGTGGCTCCACTCGGAGGCTACGTGCATCCGCTGCCCCCCATAAAGTCTCACACCTTATCGCCGAAGAGCATGTGCAAATCCAGTGTTGCGGGGCCTTCTTATCTCCAAAGACACCGCACATTTCACTGTCCGGCTCTGTTTTCGTGTGGGCTTTCTGTGTGTGCAGTGAAAATGGGTGAATTTGGGATGGAAATGCGGCTGCTCATTCCCACTTTCCACTCAAATCTTATGTAAGCGATGACACACAATCTCTCTTCCAGAACGCACGATCCGCCCTGCAGAAGCTCTTCGTGTACGGGACACTGAAGAGGGGCGAGCCGAATCACCACTTCTTCAAGAACTCCAACAATGGATACGCCAAGTACATCTGCAAGGCGGCCACCACGAAGAAGATGCCTCTGGTCATCGCCACGCGCTACAACATTCCCTTCCTGCTGGACAAGCCCGGGCAGGGCAACTACGTGGCCGGCGAGATATTCGAAGTCGACGACAGGATGATGGACAAGATTGAGAACCTCGAAGGGCGCGATCTGCTCACGCGTGACAAGCAAGAGATGAACATGGGACTGCAAGAAGGGTGAGAATGATGATGTTAAGATCATTTTGCTTTCAATTGTTGCGTCATGATTTAGTTATTTCACTCGTGATATTCACAACTGCATGTGTAGAACGAAATGATAACGATGAATTGTGATTTTCTCTATTTTTGAGCAGACATTCGCTCAAAACAAGCTCAGAACACGTAATTCAACTATTTTTCACTCCCTTTCACACTACAGAATTTCATAGGCAAACTTATGATTTGATTGAAATATAATAATTCCACTTCGTTGATGATTTGATGAATGTCTCTCTGCAAATCTGAGAAAGAGAGCATCAAAATACTTGGTCAGCTTAAGCTAATCTACTCTAAATTTGACGTTGAATACTTCAACTGCTTCCTATTTCCTCTGATTGATGGTCATATTGATTAGTTTGGGTGTTTTATAATGAACTTTCTTTGGATACATTCAATATTCTGCATAGGCGCGCCTCGTTGAGAGTGTGTGAATGCAGTTTTGCCAAAGTTATTATCATAATCCTCTGGCCAATTTGAAATGCAAAGCCATTATCTTCTCATGTCTTATCTCCATTCGCACAATCTCCAGTGGAACGTGTGAAAGTGACTCTGAACTCACTCTTCCTTTCATTTCCAGAATCGTGCCATGCTGGGTGTTTCTGCTGAAGGACTATCCGGAATACCTCGATCAGCTGCCGTACTTGTCAGAGTACAAGAACACCGCGCGACATCCTTACGGCGCGCGCTCGGAGCGCGAGGAGAAGGTGGCCAAGAACGACTTACTGTACAATCTATTCATCTGAATGTCCTGTGTGATTGCGCAGGTCAGTGCCTCACGTTTCCTCTCTGTTGAGTATTTTCTGATTTGTTGAGAGTCATGGATTAAATTTTGTATAACAAGACATTTATTCAACATCACTTTGGGGGAATTACTGGTATACATTTGGTGTGAAAAGAGGAGGATTCTGCGGAGGTGGGCTTATTTGTCCCATCCGTGGGATCCGGAGGAGGCGAAGCCATGCGATCCCTGCCATCCGCTGGATCCGGAGGATCCCAAGGATGATCCAGAAGATCCGGAAGATCCGGAGGCGAAGTCGAAAGAGCCCGCCCAGCCGTGATCACTGCCGTGATCCTCAACGTGGTGCTCCTCGACGTGCACCTCGTGCTTTGGCTCGTGGTGCACGTGAACTGGCACGTGAACGGGTACGTGGACGGTCTTGTAAACCGGGACGTGCTTCACGACGGGCACAGCCACCTTCTCAACGTGATGATGGTGGTGGTCGTGAGTGTGGTATGGCACGTGGATCTTGAAGTGAACACTGCAAGAAGACACAAGATCAGATTTTTCTCCCAAGAACACCCACAATTTCCATCACTTACTGCTCTTTCTTGCCCAGCGAAGCGCTCGCGATCGCGATCATGGAGACAATGAACACAATCTGAAAGATCCACAGTGAATTAGCAAAGGAAGATCGCTGAAGATCACTGATAAGAATGTCCTGCCACTTACGGAAATCTTGCTAAGAGCCATTTTTCTGCACGTTTTCAATTTGCGCTTTTCTTTGCGAAAAAAGTCACACAAAATCACTTGAAGATCTCGGGAAGAGTGAATTGCAAAAACTGATGTCAATTCTCGGACGCTCGTCAGCTTTTATAATGGTGAAATGCAAAAGAAATGGCCCCACCAAGGCATTGTTTGCCTCCTCTCACTCTTGATTTCGGGTAAACTGCATTAATTGGATTACTCCATAATTTCATATCTTCCCAGTCATGTTAGATAATAATGCTTGGCGTCTTGTGGAAGAGAGACACCTGAAGAAATGAAATGAAAAGACATTTTATATTCAGCCAAAATGCGGTCCGGAAGTTGACCACTGCAGATCACGTGTGATTTGAAGGAGAGTTCATTTGCAAAATTATATCAATCCAACTTATGTTGCTCGAGAAAGTGATCAGCGCTATGCTGAAATGGCTTCCCTGGCGTCATTGTGCAATCTCTGGTGGGCCAAATGACGCAATGTTACCCAATGATAAGTGGGATTACAGTTTTTGGGACATTTCTCCGGTCATTGATTTACTTTCTCCGCGCGCTCGTCAATGTCTTTTTAATGACTCTTTTTGGGGGCTCTTTTGACAGTGAACACACATTATACATTTTTTTTTATCTCATGCATAACGATCACGTTTATTAATAAATAAATAAATAGGATTATTAAGCTATTGGATCGCTATGTTATCGTTGACAGGGTATTGTCTATAGTCGCGATCACTGATCCGCTGATCGTAGACTTGAGACGCTTGAGATCCTTGATGATATTTGGGAATTTGGGTGTGCAGTCGTGATCGAACGTGCTGTGTGAGCTTGTGATTTCCGTACTCTTGGTGATTGTAGGGCTGATCGGTGGTCTGATGGTTGGTAATCATCTGCTGGCTGCTTTGCTGCGTGCTTTTGGAAGGATCGTGAGCGTGATAGTTGGACACCTTCACAGTTGAGTGCTCAGAGACTTGCTTATCTGTATATGGAAGTTCCTCCGTTGACTGGGATTTGACCGGGTGAAAGTTCTCAGGCTGTTCGTGGCTCATTCGACGCATTTCGGTGGAGTAAAGGCCTTTCCACTGATCGTACATCGCTTGATCGGCGAACTGAACATCAGCCGTTTGATGGCTGCTGATCGGATAGAAGTCGTCTTGCGAATAGTATTTGGTAGGTTGATAGAATCCATATGAACTCTGGCTCTGATCACTCCATCCGGCATTCTCCCAGTCGTTGCTGTTCACCAGCTGTTGAGAGCTCAATTGTGTGTATTGATTGGTGTTCCAAAGACTGCTGTCCTGCTCAATTGTCGGTTGACTGGCGACATGGTGAGCGATATAGACAGGAACTGGAAGCTGAACTGGCTTGTAAACCGGCACTTGGATCGTCTTGTAGACCGGAACTTGCTGCACAACGGGAACATGCTTGACTACAGGCACAGGAACAGGGATTCTCTTCAAGTGGTGCTTGTGAATTACGTGATACTTGTAAGGCACGTGCAATTTCACCCTAAAATCGAGTGGAAAATCAACAAATCATCACTTTTCACCGCTCGCGATCTCACCTATTCTGTTGCGGGTACGCAGATGCACAAAATGCCAGACACAGCAAAAAGACGAGTAGCAAGTAATTGCACAAAACTGTTTTCTGCAGATACATTTTCTTAGAATATTATGTTAATCAATTAGCAAACAGATGCTTTCAATGCCAATGCCACAGTGAGACTGATCGATTGAACTTGGAAAAGGTTCGTTTTATATATTTTTTCAGCGCAATAAAATGCGTGTCAATTTGCTCCAGCAGAGAAATTTCGACAATGACCAAAATGTTAACCCATTAGGTTTCGCTTCATTAATTTATTTTCACTTTGCAGACGATACGAATGTTGAGACACTACACAAGATGTGATTTTCTCTCTGGATTTGCTTAGGAAAATAACTCCTTTGAGTCACTTAAAGAGTAATTCACAGACGAATGGCTGCTTTTAATAACAATTTGCTGAAGATAATTGTCGTGATAATTAGGAATAATAAAGCTAATGTGGAAATTGGCGCAAAATGATAAAACAAATCTCGCATAAATCTTTGCTGTTTGTATTTCCATTCAGCATCTTGCATATCTCAAGTTAATGCCTATAAAATGCACTCATTTTTAGGATTTTACGATGTTTTTATTAAATATGAAATTACCCTAAGGATTCTTCTCAATGAAGCTATTAATTTTGCAGTTTTTCTTCCGTTAATCAATTTATTGTAATCGAATATTAATTTTTAATTACTCAGAAGCAATGCTCGATAAAAGGATATCGAAGTAAATTCAGCTTGAATGTAATTTTCTTTGTACTGAACCTTTAAGAATGCCTGTAAGTCTAGTAATAAGTATCAAAAGAAGAGAAAGAAAACAGCAAACTATTCGCAACTACTGGCAGATTCTTCCTGTCTTTTAGAAGCATAAATTTGTATGCTTTTAACTCTCATTTATCAGTCTCTCTCTCTCTCGATATCTTCCGGATAAACATTTTCATCTTTTTCTCATGAATTGTAGAAAACGAAATATAATCTTCTTGGATAAGACCAATAATTTTCACACTCAATTTATATTGTAAAATTGCGTTTTTTTACGGAAAATTTCCATTTCAAATACGTATTAGAAAAACAGATATTTCTTGAGGCAATTTTTTCGCATTTATTTATGTAATGTATTTTAACGTTTGACTCAAAACTGAGTCTATTAATCTAATAAGTTCAACTCACTGCATATTTCTGTGGCTTATGACTAAGTAGCAAAGTTTATTCGGATAAAATGGGTGAGGAACTTAGGCTAAGTATTTACAAATTGGCTAAAAGCTCTTTGGTTGCTCCCACTTCTACCAATAACCACCGGAATAGTGTCCGCCTTCATGGGTCTGGGCGTGTCCTTGCTGCTGCCACTGCCAGGCGTCGTTGTGGTAGGAATCCTGGAAGCTGTGCTCCTTGTGAGGCTTCTGATAGATCACGACCGGCACTTGCACGGGCACGTGCACCGGGACGTGCACCTTCTGGATCACCGGCACTTCCACCTGCTTCACGACCGGCACCTCGACTGTGTTGTACACGGGAACCTCCTTCACGACGGGCACCGGCACGGGCACCTTCTGGATCTGATGGTGGTGAACCGTGTGGATTTTGTACGGCACGTGAATGATTCTGTTTGCGAAAGAAAGTGGGTTTTATAATTGGCGTATCAACTTGTGTTCAATGTAATTCTTGCAACTCACTTGCGAACATGCTCTTGAGAAGCTGAAGCGACCACAGCGAGGGCAAAGATCACGGCCTGAAAGATATTTTACTCTCAATCAATGATAAATCCTTTAGGGGTGAGTGTGAAAATCCTACCAGAACTCTGAAGGCTTCCATGTTTCCGATGGTATTGCTAAATCCACTGTTCAAACCTGAAATGCGACTGATGCCAATCAATCCCGTCAACACAGTTTATATACGAGAGGAAATATTTGAGCAATATCACATTGACACCTCCAATCGTGTCATAAAACCTCCCCACAAAGCCTAAGGAATTTTTGATCGATAAAAACCACCCAAGAATAACGAATGTCTCTTGGCGATTTTCAACTTCTTTTGGCCACAACTAATAAACAGCTAAAAGAGACATTTATTATTCAATGCAACACTTTCGCTTAAGTTTTCATCACTTTTTTTCGGGAATTTCACACTTTGCAAGTTTTTGAACTTGCGAAGGGTCCATAAAATGGCAAAAGAAAATTGGGCTCAAATCAAAGTGAAAATTTCGAAAGGTTCTCCCCATCAAAACACGGAAGACTAACAACTAACAAAGTAATGTGTTTATTTGAGCTAAAACCTGATCGGTTGCATTGTTGGGCGCAGCTGCATTTCGCTGATTTGCTTGTGCACACAAAATCTCTTCCGCAGAGCCAAAAGGTGACCAAGAAGCCAAGTGATCGAGTTAAAGATCGCACTTTCGATCGCGTTCACACCATTCATCACGCGAGGAAAGTGCCTCCAAACCTGTGTCAAATCCTACACTTACGCACAATTCAGCAGCAGGTTAACCACTTGCAATTTATGATATTTTCCGTGATCCAACAATTGATTTCCAGCGCATTTGACAATCAAGAAATTAAAATTATGCAACATTCTCATTTCTTCTCAACAAGGATTTAACGCAGAAGTTTAATTTTCCCTGTTATGAAAATTACAGCCAATTTAATTAAATGTTATCCAACTTACAGTTTTGGTCCAAGATTATGCATGAATCCTTTGAGAATCCTTTTTTTTTACCTACAAATGTTTCTGAATATTTTCACACTTATGGCTCCGCCTTCTCGAATGCTCCGCCCACAAGCAAAATTACTTCCACTCCTTATCTCAATGATAAAGACATTGAAGTTCTTGAAGATCGTGAAAGTCTCAATGCATGAGATTATAATGAAATCAATCATCATATTTATACCTCGTAAACAATGCGACAATTGTTCAAAGCAATTGACATGGAATATCATGCTTAATTCATCGTCCAAAATTGCACCTCGTAAATTAGGAATGGAAATTGGTTGGACAAAGTGGAATTTCGAGCTATGTTCACTAATCCAATGATGAATTATTCAGTCGTGCGCCGCGGAGAATGAAAAACGCCTAAAAGTATGGTGTTGTTTATCAACATCAACGACGAGTGTGTTTTATTGCATCTCAGCGAGAGACTTAATGGTTACAATGAGAGGAAATCTGCTGTGTGGAATCAACGAGCGATCTCACCGGAGCGTGAGAACATTGAACTATATGTACAGGTGTGCACTGCGTGCATCATTGGCACTTGACTGTGACTCTCGCGCGGGCACGCGCTCGATGGCCTACCACCAGCCGCCGTGCCAGCCGTCGTAGTGAACGTCGTGATGGTGCACTGGGTGGTGGATCTCCTTGTACACTGGCACTGGGACGTGCACGGTCTTGTACACGGGCACGTGCTTCACCACCGGATAGGCGATCTTCTCCACGTGATGATGGTGGACATCGTGAACGTGATACGGCACGTGAATGACGACGTGTTCGCTGCAAAAAGAGGGCAAGAGTGTGAGTTTTGGCGGGAAAAGTCTCTTGGTGTATTACTGATCGCAGCGTTATTCCTTTTTTGGCCATCGCGCACGCACTTTCAGCTGGAATTCCTTCGCGTATTGGCGGACAAAATGTCTCTCTTTCTCTTGTCAACCATTTAGAAAAAAAAATGGAAATTGATCTTGATTGCTGAAAAATGATCGCGCGCGTAATCTCGCGAGTGCATTTTGCTACCATTCCGCAACTCTTTGATCGGTGTAATTAGATAGGAAAATGATGGAGAAATTTCCGTCAATTTCACTATCAATGTCAATTAAAAGCTACTTATAGGTGTTTCCCGTGATCGTGCGCTCACAATATTACCCCAGAAGGAAGAGATCTTTGTGAGGAAAAGATCACTTAATTGACCAACACGACAATCAGCGTAAGTGCGTGTGCCATAAAAAGAGATAAACGGTGTCATCGTTCGATGAAAATGCAAGTGTTATTCCACTCTTGTCTCGATCGCACGATCTTTCTTTCACAGTTAATGAGCACATTTAGTGAGACGAATTGCAATTTCTGGCTCAATTTGCCACACACGCACGTAAAAAAAGCCGTTGCAGGATGGCCAATTGGCTCACACTTACTGTTTGTTCTTGAAGAAGATCGGCGCTGGAGCACAAGACGCCACGGCCAGCATGCAGACCACGAAGATGGTCTAGGAAGAGATCGGAAAGAGATCAATTATTACACTTCACACTACACTGAGAGCTCCTAAACACAAATCCTGCGAGAGCTCTGCGTGACACTTACAGCGATCCTCAGGAGAGCCATTGTGTGTTGTGTGTTAATTGGCACGGTCGTGAATTGAGCGCGATTGACTTGACTTGGTGAGTGATAGTCGATGGAGTGTCTGCTCCGGTTTATATAGGAGCCTCTCCTTCTCAAGTCGCGATTATGCGAAACTCGCGGCTCAGCTTCGCGCGCAATGTCGTAATGCAGTCCATTCACAAAACTGCGCGGCAGACAAGCTTCCTCGCCGGCGCGCGGCGGCAAAAAGCCCCCGAAGGAAGTGGCAAAGGCTTCCTCGGAAGGAGGTGCGCAGCCAAGTGTCTGCAGAAGAATTTCAAGATTGCACTGATCTTGTGCGGAATGTCAGTTTCTTTTGATGACGATAATGCAATCAATAAGAAATTGACTTCTTTCTTGCTGTTTTTTTTGTTCAATAAACTGGTTTTCCTGCGAAGCACTTCCGCGTGTTTCACTGCACTTGGAGGAGGTTTCGAAGAGTGTTTTGATCCTGAAAACGGATGAATTTGAAATAATTTACATTATGATCTTCCAAGCTCTAGAAACTGATTAAAAACACATTTTTGATCTTCATCTTAATTGAACGCCTTGGAAATGAAGCTTCAAATTTATTTCAATCTTATTTCATTGAAATTTATCTATAATTTCGTCAAAAGCACAATAAAGTTTGGTGGCATAATTTTTTACAATTATCCAAAAGCAGAAAATTCCCACAAAGAAAAGTTTAAAATGACATCAAATTTAGCACATTTTAGACACATCGCACCATAAAAATGCAATAATTTTCCATATTAATCACCGCGATCACTTTTTGTGGCCCAACATGAATTTTACTGGCAATATTGTGGATTTCCTCATGTGTCGATTTTCATGCACCATTGCTAATTGCCTGTTGAATCACTCTGGAGGCCTCCCAAAAGATTTTTATCTCTCATCTGCAATCTAGAAACTCTTGGCCACTCTTCAAATTGTCGCAAAGCGTTGGCGCGCATCTCCAAGTGTGCAGAAGTAAAGTGGAAAATTGCCTCAAATAAATTCATTACATCGTGTGTGATGTAAAATTTAATGGTATTCGCCGTATTCGCAGTATTTGCGCGATTGGACAGATCACATGAGAAAGTGCCGCATCAAAATTGTCCAGAGCACATTAATCAGCGCCTCGTGTCGCGGTGTGTCGCAAGTGACCCGCGAGTCTCGTGATTGTTTCTGCATTTGATGCCAATGATGTCAATTAATCTTCCGCCCGTTTGCCGGTGAGCTGCTCTTCTGCCGCGATTGCGCAAATTTGGCCCATTGACGATATGGATTCCGCCACGGCTTATCTCGAGACGTCGCGCGATCGAATGTCTGTCAGTGTGCCAAAAAGTCTGTGGCTCACGTTTTGGCCGGAAAAAAGTGATCATATTGGCAATTCCGAGCGCACACAACTGGATGAGAAGTGGTACATGCATGAAATACCTTAAATTTAAATCATACCACGTTTTGTATGAAATGAGAGAAATGTGAGTTTTACTTTCGCTTATGCAATCGGCAAGTTGTTGAGATGTTTGCGGCCAATCTCGTTGCCAATTGCCTCGCGCGCGCTACTCAAGAGACCTTCTCCGGGATTAAATGACTCGCAGAGACGCGATCAATTTCAAATGCAGCCAACAAGTTGCAGGTTAGACCCGAGAGGAGCTTCTGGGAGTGGTGATTTTGAGTGCTGCAAGTTCGATGGACCGAAATGTGTTATTGCAGTGCAATTTTGCTCGCGAAGCATCAATATCTGTGGCCACGTGCGTGGCAGAGAAGACACGCACTCGATGCAATCGATGGAGCAACTCTGGTGCAGATGTTAATCGCGGAAACCATCTCGCGAAGAGGCGATGAAGATGATTTTCCAACCCATTCAAATCTAAATCATTTTATTAGCCTCGTCGCAACCGACTTTTTTTTTACTCTCCTGCGCGATTATCCAATCGCAATATCGCGACATCGCGCTGCTTTTCTGACAATTCTCGCTCTGTTATTCTCTTATTATCGTTGGCGGGAGAAAAAAAAATGGATGATAAATATTGGAAAGGGTCATTTGCGTAATCACACACGAAAGCTCACATTCCAGCCCTCACACAATTCCGTCTCGTCATTTGAGGCGCAGCGGTGCAGAATTCAGGGCAGCAAAGTGAACGGAAGACAGACACTTTTCACTTGAGCGCCGCCGAAGAAAAGGTCCTCGAGTTGCACATCTCGTCACCTTGATTAATCCGCGAGTGTTGCAACTGTAAGTCTTCAATTGCTGACTTCTGATCCATTGCCCCATTGCCCAATTAGTGGGTGGGCTTTGTCGCGTGGAAAAGTGGTCCAAAAGCAAGATTGCGTTGCGTGATTTGATGGAAATTCCCGCATTTCTGAATGCTCAAAGGCCACAGTTTGAAGATTTAATAATAACAGATATATATGAAAGGTTACGCAAAAGGCAGCAATTTTGAAAATTTATGATTTTTAAAAATAAGCTTTTTGCATGCAAAAAATCTGGGACAATTGCATTTTGTGTCACAAATCATGGAAAATCACTTTGAGCTTCGCTCTTTTGAGATTTGAAGATTGAACGGCAAATTGAGTAAACTAAAAACTATAATGTTTAAGATTTATTTATAAATTTCTATACAAAAACATAAGATTTCCTAAAGTAAGCTTCAAAGGCTGAAACTTTTTTCAAGCATTTGACCCGAAAGCTTTCTTCTGCATCCGCAATCGCCTTATCTGCAATCTTTGCACTCGTCGCGCATCCGCCGCGAACTTGCTAGTGGGAAGTGCGCCAAGAGTCTGGCGCGACTGAGCTTCTGGCGCTCTGCATTCTCCCCCGCAACGGGCGTGAGCCTCTGGCTTATTGCCTCGCCATCGCGCAGACACTCAGGAGAGTCCAGTGAAAGTAGGTTCGCGGACCAGAGACGCGATGCACAAATGAGATCGTCCGGCAATGTTGGAAAAGGAAAAGACTCAAACTAGTTCTAGTTTTCACTTTCATTCACTCGCCACTCGATTTCCTGCAATGCGCGCGAGCGTCTTAATCCGCCAAAAACATGTTTCCACTGTTCGATCATGTTTTATGGCATTTGTTTATGAGATCATTTTTTTATCGCGTTTCCCATCAAACCTCCTCATGTCACACGGAATGATCAAATGGATCTGACCAATTTTCCGCTCGCGCAAAGCTTCCTTTTTCGGCGCACTTGCACAAGAGATTTGCAGTGCAAAATGTGAATCGTCGCGACCAAACACGCGTGATAATGAGCTTCCTGGCAACATTTCTGAAATCCTACACTGATTTTCGCGTGAAAATCACACAGTGATATTTTTAAAATAAACTAATGGTGGATTTGCTCAATTCCTCAGTCACATTTTCAGGTCTTGTTGTCCTAATCCTACTTGATATTCCAAAATACTGATGATAAAATTAACCAGTTGGATAATTCTTCTGTGATTTCCACTCTAAAACGTTTGTTGGATCAAAATCAATCTTTGAATATTAAAAATTATAATTTTGCATTGATTGGCGGACGCATAAAGCATCATTTGGATTCGTGTGAAAATGCTCCCTCAAACTTGAAATGCTTTGTATTCCGATGGCCATGGGCAAAAAGTCGCCGCCTCATTGCACAATCGTTACGGAATTTCGTCTGGAGCACGGAAATCAGGTGTTTCCTCTCACTGCCTCGCGATGCTCGCGAGAGTGACACAAAAGCCCATTTAGGAAGCTCACCAAAGTGGCCATTCAGTGCCATTAGCCTATCGAGTTTTTTTTCTTCTTCTTGCGCTGCGACTGAGCATTAGAGCAAGTATAAAACGTGTCAGAGAAATTAAATAACACTACATTTTAGCCTCAGGATTAGTGGATCAGGTGAAGTGCCCTTTTTGTCGAGCGCGCGCGCGCGCGTCGTGAATGAAAATGTCAACGAGGAACTCCTCAAAAACCAATACATTTCCTCCATCGGCGATCGTGTTTTTTTTGTCTCCATGTGCGCGGAAAAGAGCGCAAACACGGCAAAATCCAAGTTGCAAGTCACACAATTGCATCGTTTGGGATTTTATATGATCTGCGCGCGATGGACACTTGTTGATACTTTCTACTTTTGCGCCAAACACAATTGTCCGGCCGCAATTTATTGGCCGCACTATAAATTTTCCTTGGCGGGATATCTGAAAAGGCCCCCATTTTGGCCCGAGACAGCTCGCTTCCGCATCTGGATGGGCCGCAAAACACCCCCCAAGATCGTGAAAATTGTCAGAGAGATCATGCAGAGATCTCACTTTACACGAGATCGCACGGTGTTTGTTATTTAACGAGATCGGTGAATGCCTCCAAGAAGTAACAACATCGCGAGACACCCAAAATAAGTGGTTCACTTATGTAATTATCACTCTGCCGCTCGACTGTGTGTAAAAAGGTTTTGCAGAAGGAGTTGAAAAAAACACTCATTGGGTAATAATTAAATAAATCCGCGGATTTTTGATATTCAAATGGACATTTTACGCACGCATGTCAAGCATTTGGCGATATAACGATAATGCCAATCGTCGCAGACGCTCTGCAAATTGCCACTCGCGTTATCTCAGCGGATATAACTAATCGCGATCCTCGCGATCACTGAATTTTGCATACCTTCCGGATTAGGAGTTCATGACCAGAGCGCAAGTCAGATCCTCGCCTTGTGTAGTTTTGAGGAAAAGATATTTGAGAAATGAAAATTGATAAATCAGTTTCTGACCTCAATTTTACTTAGAAAAAATGTTTTTTTAAGATTTTATATAAAAAAAAAACTCAGGGAAAAAGGTTCTTCAGCTTCTCAAAGATGCGGAGATCAAGGATTTGCTGATCGACGGATAAAAGCTTCTCAGAATCAAAAACGACGTTATAACCTTCTCTACTACTCATTTATTTTCACTTTTCCTCCACTTTTTCATCCAATTGAAGCAGTTTCACGACTTCATCCTTGTATCTAGACAAAGTAGAGTCACTTTCATTCCTATTGAGAAGATTCTCTACAGCTTTCTTGAATGAACTCGGGATTTCGCACTTCTCATCGTCCTTTTGACCCCATTTCACGATTTTCTCAGCAACTTCTCTGGACTTGTTGTTCTCCCAAATGTACTCCTCCATGTCCTCTTCCAGCTTCAGGTCCTCCCAGGGCTCTTTTACCTGTGAAAAAGACAGAAATCTCAGTGCCTTGAATCACATTTTGGCATTGAGCGCAACTCACCCAGGATTCATGGAAAAGCGCTGTGACAAGATACATCGCATAGTCGTAATTCTGCTTCCGCAGCGGACAGCGATCGGTGACAATGGTGAGAATATCTGTCTTCGGATCGTATCTGTCTCCAACGAGCCTCAGAAACTTATCCTTCGCGTGCTTGTCCAGCGGCAGCCGCGAAAGCCTCAACTTCACACTCACAATCCTCGCCAGAGGATTCCTGATTGTCGGCAGGGCGTGACAGTAGTCCGAAGTGATCACTTTCACCGGAAAGTGTTTCTCCACGTCTTCCTCTTTCTTCAGCTGCTTTGGCCAAGGCGTGCAGAACTTCTTGAGCGCCTCCGCCTGTCGCTTAATCACTGGCGGCGTCAAATGCAGGAAATTCGGGATCTTCATGAGTTCCGTGTTAGCCACTTTGCTCGGCGGGGCCTTTCCCTTGGGTACCCAGCCCTGGCGGAGCGGCAGAGGCACGGTGGCCGGGTGGAAAGTCCTCGGGCCCGGCCAGACTGCACCCCAATCTTGATGCACCGACATTTGTTCGCTCCTGGGCGGCGGCACCGGATAACGCTTCACCGGCTGCCTCTGTGTCTTCTGCTCTCTCGTGTTTCGCAGGTTTAGGACGCGAAAATCTGGGAAAAACCACAAAAATGATGAAGGAAAATGTGAGCATAACCTCACATTCACGCACCTTCTTTTTCCATTTCTCTCTCGTCCGCTTGCGTGGAAAAACACAATGTTTGATATCGGGAAGATGCGAGAATAGGCACTTTTCCATTTTCACGGAAAATCCTCGCGATTAGGGACATATTTCACGGGGAAATGCAGAAATAAACAGTGTGAAAATATATAAAAAGTTTCGACGGGATTTGCGATGTTGCCAAATCGATCAGAATGAGATAAAATATATCGAAATTCAGAAACGATTTTCCGCCAAAATTTTGAAGAGGATTTAGAAAATTGTGTTTCTTCGTGTTCTATTTGCTTTGAACAGACATAAATCAACTTGGATTGTTGTTAATAATCTCGTCAAAAACACTCCTTGGTGACAGAGAAATGCAAGACAGGTTCACTGGATGAGATAATTGAGCTTGAAAATCACATAAAAGCAGTGAATTCTTGCACAAATCCATCAGTTTGTATTTCCTATAAAGTCTGTGAAAGATGCTGAAGTTCTGCACGGTTGTGTTTCTGGTGAAATTCTCCCTCGTCAGTGGGAGATTTGTGAAAATACAGCCACTCTCTGGCCACTTGAGTCCGCCAAAGGAAGAGGACGTGGTGAAGTTTAAGATGACAAACCCTTTGATGGACTTTAACAGCACGAAAGCGAGGAATGAGACTCAGAACCATGGAAGATATATAACTGATAGCGTTATTGACGACGTCCTGAAGCTGATCATCCTCAAGAACACCTTCTCGATGATAAATCCACTGATATTCAAGGAAGGATTAACTGAGAACCATGCGGATCTCAACACTGGCGAGAATTCGAGATATTTCGGAAATCCTTACCAGGACGGATTTGGGGCAGGAGCAGGAGCAGGAGGATATGGTGGAAATCAGCTCATGTCGGGAATGCCTTTCATGTTCGGCGGTACAGATTTCACTGGAAATGGCAACAATCCAATGATGTCCTCGCTCTTTCTGATGGGAACTCTTGCCTTTGTCACCTTCCTGATCAACTCAATCCTCGGCTTGGTGGGAAAACTCCGTCTTCCTCTCTTGGGCACGCGCAATGTACTCGACGGAAGCGACGACAATCGCTTCTTTCGCGTGCTTGAGAGACTGGACGGCGACCCGAGGAACTCCAAGACAATCATGGACATGGAGCAGAAGATCAAAGAGGCGATTGCTATTCAGGAAGAGAATAATATGAAGATGCAGAACCTTCCGTAAAATGTAATCATTAAATTTCATTTCTGAATAAAGATCGCTTTTTGAGTTTAAGAAGTTATTGAGCATAAAATAATCACGTGCAAGGGTTAAATCCTGCGATTCGATATTTTAGACGAGTGAGCGATATATAAATATCGACCATATGATTTCTGGGCGAGTGTCAGATCAACAAAGAGAGACAGGAAAAATGTCCAGAAGTGATAAGAAAACAGTGGCTTCTCGGCTGGAAAACCTTTAATTCCCATCTGTTCACCCTCAATCTGATCCACAAGACAGCGCTTCGGCTGAATATCTGCGCAATGGTGAGTGAGATTCGTGCGCTGGGTGGAAAATGGGGTGGTTTTGGGCGTCTGACCTTGAAAGGGTGTCTTTTCTCCCTGATTAGAACTACCAGGAGGTGGAGGAGCGCTATCCCAAGGAGTACACGTACGGGGAGGAGTTCGAGGCGGAGCCGGGCGTGGGCACGCGCGAGCAGAAGCCCCGGATCCTGCTCATGGGTTTGCGGCGGTCCGGCAAGAGCTCCATCCAGAAAGTGGTCTTTCACAAGATGTCCCCGAACGAGACGCTCTTCCTGGAGTCCACCAACAAGATCGTGAAGGACGACATCAACAACAGCAGCTTCGTGCAGTTCCAGATCTGGGACTTTCCCGGGCAGATCGACTTCTTCGAGCCCACATTCGACTCTGACATGATCTTCGGGGGCTGCGGCGCCCTCGTGTTCGTGATTGACGCGCAGGACGACTATCTGGAGGCGCTCACGAAGCTCAACCAGACCGTGACGAAGGCGTACAAGGTGAACCCGCGCATCAAGTTCGAGGTGTTCATCCACAAAGTGGATGGCGTGAGCGATGACTTCAAGATGGAATCGCAGCGCGACATCCACCAGCGCGCCACGGACGACCTGGCGGACGCCGGCCTGGAGCAGATCCTGCTCAGCTTCCACCTCACGTCCATCTATGACCACTCGATCTTCGAGGCGTTCAGCAAAGTGGTGCAGAAGCTCATCCCACAGCTGCCGACTCTCGAGAATCTGCTGAACATCCTCATCTCCAACTCCGGCATCGAGAAGGCCTTCCTCTTCGACGTCGTCTCGAAGATCTACATCGCCACGGACGCCTCGCCGGTCGACATGCAGAGCTACGAGCTGTGCTGCGACATGATCGACGTGGTCATTGATCTTTCCTGTATTTACGGGTGAGTTTCTGACGAACGCAAAGAACTGAATCTGTTGTGATTTTATGGCCTGGAATCTCTGTAATGCTTTTAAATTCATGCTAAATATTCTCTGAAAAGCATAGAAATGCTTTCTAGTGATATTAACGATGTTTATTAGCTGACCAAAAGCCTCTAATTCGCCATCTTTCTCGCTCAGTCTTCAGGGGAATAGCGAGATCACCGCCTTCGACAATCAGAGCTCCAGCTTGATCAAATTGAACAACAGCACGATTCTCTACCTGCGCGAGGTGAACAAGTTCCTCGCCCTGGTGTGCATTCTGCGCGAGGACAACTTCAGCCGCCAGGGCGTCATCGACTACAACTTCCTGTGCTTCCGCGAGGCGATTGAGCGTGTCTTCGAGCTGCGACTGAAGCACCAGAAGAGCCAGTTTCTGTCCCACGAGGACGACTTTCTCGATCCCACGATAGTCACCAATGGCCGCGGCCAAATGAACGCCTCCGACGGAGAGTCCGTGGACGTTATTGTCACATGAAGCGCCATGAGTTTTTTATTTGTTACATTGTGTACGCGACTAGAGGGAAAAAGTCAATACTTTTGGAGCGGAAGTTTATTAAACTTTTTTCTTCTTGTATATTTTCGACTATAAAAGATTCAATGAGGCTGTAAATTGCTTTTAAAATGTGTCAACGGCGCGGCGCTGTGGTAGCATGAGGATTTCCCTGGTCATTTTGGGACTTTTCCTGGTCTTCCTTCCAATTCTCGCTGAGGAACCGTGAGTTTATCTGAGAAAATCAGCGTATTTGTAAGCAAATCGCATTTTCTCCTTCAGATTCGTCTTTGATGACGCCACACCGACACAAAGCATGGACATGAGAGCATTTCCAGCATATTCGGGCAGCTCCGACATGATGCAGAGCGAGCTAAACGATCCAAACTCAAACATTCCACCGGAGCTCGCTCTCTAGGCTCCTCCTTCTGTACCCAACGGACAATCATTTCGAATAAAATCGCAGCTCGTCTAATCCGCCCCCCACCAAGAATTCGATATGCCAATGTTGCCTGCCATGTTGTTTGACATCAATTTGACATCGCGATTGCTGAAAGTTGGGTGATTCGTGCTTTTCCATTGTCGTGATAAATCCCCAAAAATAGCAGAAAATCAAAAGTGTTGTGATTATTTTCCCACTTGGTAAGTGCATTACATTGTCCTCTGTCAATAACACATGTGAAAAGTGAAAATTTACCAGTGAAGGGATGTGAAAATGCCTTGAACTGTCCGGCTCGTCTTATCGATTTTCCCTTTCCATTGTTTGCGGGAGCATTTTAACCCATTGCGAAACTGAGCGTATTTTGCAGTATTTCGAGCATTTTTTGCATTTTCGCATATACTAGCACAAAAGTATTGCGATGTAGATGGAAATTGATGATTCTATGCGTCAGATTGCCAATAAACCGTGCTCAGTTGGAGATCTTCTGAACTTTGCCCTGCAAACGTAAAAGACTTTATCATCGTCACTTTTTTGTGAACTCTCGATTTGTTTGACGTAGAAAAAACTGTCCGCAAATTGCTGTTTACTGACTCTTTATCGTCTCACACTAAATTAATTGGCAAAATGCTGTCTGCGTCCCGGATTCTATGAAAAAAAAAAGTGGAAAGTATTGATTGTGAGGGACTTTCGAGGGGACTTTTTTTCGCCACATGCAAGGGAGAGAAAAAAAACTGAAGGTGACTCATCAAAGAGTTTTCCTCTGAGTCTTGCCATTTCCATCGATTTTCTCTTCTAATTCATTGTCTATTGCCTCTATTGCTAATAAAAAGACACTTCAGTCACTGGAACGTGCTTGAGAGGTCAGGAAAATGCATATTTCACGAGAAGAATGTATTTTTTTTATTGTCTGTCGTTTTGTCTTATTGCGAAAGTCGTTTGAAGGGCTTCCTTTTATAATTGCACTTCCCGGCAGTTTTTATGTAAAGAGCGTAAAAAGTGATTATTTGTCACTTTAAACACTTAGAATGGACAATTTATGAGACTGTGCATTAATCATCTGCCGAAATTAGCAAATGGTTATGAAATGTCCCATGAAATCCTATGACAATCATCGGATTTTCCACTTATTATTTTCAATTAATGTTTTCATCACTATATTTCCCATTTTCATGCTCGATTGTAAGCATTGTAAGAGGAATTCCTCAGTAAAACAACCCCAGAGAATTACAGTGTGGAATTTGCGTTCTGAAGATTGAACTCTCAATTAATGGAAAGTGAGAATAAATTAGTTTCGCCGCTGAAAGTAACGAGGGAAACCGACAAACGGAGCATTGACTGGTCAATATCACTTTTCCATCTGTTGCACGGTTCATTATTGCTGTTCTCCCGGCAGAGAACATCAATTGCCGCGCCAAATTGGCACAAGAAATGCTTGGTTTCTTTCGTATATCAAAGAAAAAAAGACCCACAATTCCAAGGTCGACGTATTGTCTCTATTAAAAGTTATGATTCTACGCAAATTTCGACCAATTAAATTGTTCTACTTTGTCAATTGCCACTTCTTTTCCTGGGTCTATTAAAATTCTGCTGCTTTAATTATTCTCCTCTTTCTAATTAGTAGACTAAACAAAGCGAAGAGGGGCATTTTGCTGATTCGGATTATCAATTTTCAGTGCGAAGAGTGCGAAAAGAAGGAATGCCGACAATCTCCGCAAGGCCGAAGAAAGAAGTCTCACGGCTTGTTTCCAAGGAAAAGCAACATTGATATTACCACCGAATTTTTTGGGTCAAAAATATAAATTTGACTCATTTATTCGATGCGCGGTGCAAAGTTCATGTCACTGGATTTCGCATTAAATTGAAGAAGTGTGTGCAAAAATAGATCCATTTACACATTCTTCGGCAAATCTTGAGTGGCGGCCAAGTGGGAAAATTTTCAGGAAAAGAAAACACGAGGCTCAAAAGAATGTTCTGCGAAGATGTGTGAAAATTCGCGTGTGTATTCCAACCACTGAATGGATTGTGCGGTGATTAATTGCCTGATTATTCGCTTGAGCATAATATTGTAAACACAATAGAAAACAGGGGAATAATAATAAAAAAACACTCTCTTTCAGTTGTGGAAATAGCATTTGAACCAAATTGTGCACTTTCGCTGGCGGATTTCTCTGGTCCAGCGTTCAGTGATCAGTGTGTTATGAAATCCATGTCGGCGATCACGCTGCGCGTCTGGGCGTGAGGAATGGGCCAGAGGTCACTCGTGGCGCGATAGTGAGCGTGATCGGCTTTTGTGAGCTGCAAAACAAAGGCATGCTCGCGATGTGTGGAGGGGAAAGCAACGAGACGCCAGCGGAGACGTGGCGCGATCGACGAAAACAAGTTGCAATTGGCTGAAATTGAAGGCTCGACTCTATCCGGACTCAATAAGCCAGTGACGATTAATTTATCGTGAGATCACAACAGTGCCAATCAGGCTAAATTGGCAATGCAATCGACAGATATGCTAATCAGGCTTGCGCCTACCAACCGATAGAGGGATTGTTGTTTGCAAGCACAGCCAAAAATGTGTGCGATTTTTCTTCCTGGTTTGCTGTCCTCAAGCCTGAAATTTATGTCAAGCGACCGTGATTTTCTATCTTATTTCTCAATTCCCGAAAAATTCACTTCACGATCACCTTTTTATCTCTTCACACATGACGGAATTCTGTTATTTTGATATAAGAGAGTGTAAATAATTTATTAGCATTTATCATGTGGGCTTTTTATGTGGTCGTTGTGCGATGATGACAAAAAGAGTGGCACCCAGTGTTGAGCACAGTGTGTTTTCGTGGGCCACACGCACAGAAAACAAGGTCAATGCGATGGGGAATTATTAGAAGTCGCAAATTTCACAAAATGCTTGGGTAATTATATCAAAAATTTCCGTCAAGTGAGATTTTTTCTCACTCTATTCTCTAATCTTCAGCCACTTGTTTATCAGCGTGGATGGGAAGAAATGTGAGCAAAGTGGCAAAGTGCGTAGCGAAAGATCGGAGAAATTTTGGGTGCAAATTGTGAGTTTTATTGGAAAATTGAAGATATTCTCTTCGTCAAAGCAGAGTTTTTGCAATCTAATAAAGTATTATAATAATTATGTTAGTTTAGTTTCTTTTTTCAGTGAAACTGAGATTTTTTCAGCGATATTTGTCCAAAACTGGCCGCTCTTCTCTATGCACGTATTTTGTATGATGTTGTTATGATTTCCAAAGCACGTTTTCGTCCTTCACGAGATGTCGTCCTACCCTTGGATGAGTTTCTTGGCTTCTCCATTTTACAAACAAACTTGTACATTTTTTCGCAAATAAGCCAGTGACACTGATTTTGTTAAGCAACATGAGGAAATTTGATTATGTGACATTCTTGTAAAGGTCAGTTATCGAACAAAGGAGTTGATTGAGCCTTATGCAAAGCTAGGCAATGAGTTGCTAAAGTTCATCTGCGACAATTATATGCCCAGGCAAAGGCAAGTGAAGATAAATATTGGCCTTTGTTGCATCGCCGATAAATGAGAGTTCATTTTATCACAGTGTAAATATTATTGTTGCGACATTCCAATAATTAGGTGTGTGTTTTGATCTCGAAATGCAAATATGACTGCGTGCCAGCCTCTTGGCCTATAATTGAAAATTAATCACTGGCTTATTTCGGTGCGAGACGCCGATTGCGGCTGCAAATGTGTTGAGGATGTTGATGACTTTGTTGTGCATTAGAAAATGCAGTGCAACCAGGAAATTCATATAAGTGAACGTGGGCTGTTTCGTTTGTGTGGTTGAGAGCAGAATTTTCAAGCCACTTGAATAAATAGTAAACAAGTTGTTATTGCTGCAAAGCGTTCAATTCCTCATCCATCTCAGCCAATGTGAGAGTGCGATAGAAAATTATTACGAAACGATTGCGTCGCAAATAAACAAAGCACATTGCTGGGCTCTTGTGTTCCTTTGCAAAGTGAGAAGAGAGAGAGAGAGAAAAGGTGGAAAAAAAATTAAAACCCGTGTTTATGTTTGACTTTCGGGAGACTTTGTGGGGAGATTAGCATCTTATCATGCGCGCAGAAAATGCCAGTCGAGGGCATTTGCTCGCAATGTGATGTGTATTGATTCCTGTCCGCACAAGAAAGTGATTTCTATTTTCAGGGACCGGAAATTCTCTTTTCCGGCTGAATTTATTGCCGCCGTGCGGCTGAACAAACGTGCTCAATCTCAATTCTATATTCGTCATAATCACAAATGTTCATGCAGACGCTCATCAATTCTCAAGCATAATTCTCAGTCCGTTTGTGGTCTTTAGAACCGTCTCTTTTTTTTCCACTGACTATAAATAGAATGAGTCACTTGAGGGACAGAGAGAGAGAGCGAGCGGCTTCGCTGGCTTCAGCATGAAAGTGATTAAAAAGAAAAGCGGCAAGTGAATATGAAATAGCGTGACGTCACAATCATGCGATCCATTCAGACATGAGTTAAGAGTCTTACGATGTTTCTGCTCTTTCTCCAAAGTATTACACACCGTTCCGTGTCCAGAGCCAGTTGATATCCCCACTCGTTGGAAGTCACCTCATGCCGAGAGGAAAACGTGGTGTGTTACCAACACATTGGCCGCGAGGTTGAACTGTGTTCAACCGCCTTTTCACGACCACACACCAAAGCGAGCAGTTTCATCCAATTGACATATTGGCAAAGTTACAGTCGCTGGCGGTTAGATTGCGGGCAGGTGTTCCAATAAGAAATCCTCCCATAATTTTCCGATTCAAGCTAACTGTGAGATTCCAGCTGTTTTCTTGTTTGATTCCTTTGATACTGTCTTAAGCGGATTCTTGAATGCAAACTCTTATTTAATTACTCTGTTTTGCTAACTAAAGTCGTGAAAATTGTGTGACTGTCGTATGAAGATCACAAGAAAATTGTAGGACAGTCGGGTGATCTATGCAATTCTACAAAACAAGATTTCACAGTTCGTGAAGAAGACTTCAGCTCTTTATAAGATTAGGAAAAAAAAGAAATTTTATAATCAAGTGATTTGTGTCCATCATAAGACAATTCTACCAATTAAACGTCTTGTGATTAGCTTAACACTTCCAAAAGATGCTGAAACGAAATACCTAGAAATAAACAAACGTCACAAGACTCTTTGATCGATTTTGCTTTAGCTTTTGAAGTGATGTACTGTAAAACATATGATTAAGATTGCGACATGAAACCACAGTCTGACTGTGTGTTGGGCGAGGAAATATGAACGCAATTCTCCCACAAAGTGAATGTGTGTTTGGGCCAGACTCAAAGCCAACCAGCGAAGCTTCGCGTGAAGTGATTTTGAGACATTCGTTTCAGTTCCACTTTGAAAGTCGTAACGATTGAAAGCGTTTCATCGTCAAAGTAACAATTCTGTTTTGTGAACCTTCAGAAATTGTGTATTTTCACTTTAACATTTCAACATTATTCTGTTCCTCGCTAAAGAGAGAGGGGCCAGAGTTTGAAACTCCTTTTGCCGCCTTTTGGATGGGAAAATTGTTAATGTGGAATGTGTGAAGTGACTTTGTTGGGAGTTCAGGGTGTTTTGTCTTCCTGAATGGACATTCTAGTGCGAGGCAGGAAGAAATATTTTATGAGAGTTAGCAAAGTAGTGATTAGTGCTTGAAAAGCAGTGAATCTTTGGACTTTGGAGTGACTATTATTATCGCAGAATAGGTGGTTTTACGATGGTCAGTGTGTGTTTTCTTCATTAGAAGCTTCTTATTTAGAATTTCTCGGTCACCTGCCGCCGCTTTTTTCTGCTCTGCAACATCTGCGCCTTCGCTTGGGCACTTGATTGTCTGGCGAATGCCAAAATTTCCCTCATTCTTCTGCTGTTCAAGCGATCGAGAGCCACGAGAATGAAGATCGATGCCAAAAAATGAATCATTTTTCTCTCTTGCTGAGGATTTTATTCACTTTGGGTTTCTTAAAGTGGAAAATCACTCGCCGAAAGTGTGACGCTTGAAGAAAAGAGACGGGGAAAAAAGTGGGTCTTGTGCTAAAGTCAAAGGCATTTCATCAAGTGTTTGGAATTGATGAAAATGAAGGAGTGTGAATTTTTGAGGTCACAGGAAATCACTAATTTCTCAAACTCTCTTCAACTTGATTGTGATTCTTGCTTCCTATTTAGCCTTCTCAAATTGAATCGATCATGATTATGAAAAGCTGCGAGAATTTGTGATGTGGTTTTGGGTGGTTTATCAGTGCGGGAAACAAAGAGCAAAATGTCTTTAGATTAGAAATTTTATTGGATCAAAGGTCGATGAGTAGTAAAATTGCTTCTTTCTTCTTGTCTTTTTGCAGATTTCACACCTGAGATTCTGGCATCTGTGAGGTGATATAGTTTTGTTAATTTAACTTTGTGATAAGTTAAAGAACAAAGACGGTGGCTCGAAAGTGTTAAGAAAATATTCTTTAGTTTCCTAATAGCGCGCTTTGCCCAGTTAATTATTCTTTAAGAGAGTATTAGCCAGTCAAAATGAATAGCCTTGTAAAGGTGTTTAGCAATTTCAAAGAGTTCTACAGTGAAATTAATGGTGCCACACTCACGGGGGCCATCGATGTGGTGGTGGTGGAGCAGTCCGACGGCACCTTTCTGTCATCCCCATTCCATGTGCGCTTCGGGAAGCTCGGCGTGCTGCGGAGCAGGGAGAAGATCGTGAGTATATTCCTGGCTGAAATAATATACAATTTCTGCCTCTCAGCTGCACTTTCCGGTCAAATCCAACGCGACGAATGTGTTCTGAGCGGTGGCCGAAGGAGAAAAGACACGATTTGTGTGAGGCTGATGACCTCTTCTGTGGCTTGATAGCCAGAGAAAGTTGCGTCATCGGCGCGATTAGAAAGACATTTCGAATGGAAAGCTCTCTCGCCACTGATGATGATGCTAGAGAATCATGCTGAGTATGCAATACATACTTGAGATAATGAGAGTTTCAACAAGTTTCCATGTTGAGCCATCAGTTTGAATCTCTTTAGGCGAGAGTGACATAATTTTATGTCTATAATTTCATGTATTTGTGCTTCTTATGTGATCAATTTCTGATTGAGGTGCCCCAGAGATCTCGTTGTTTCAGCATTTTCGCGTGATTTGGTGTCAAAGTGATCAACCTTGACTCAAGTGAGATTGAAAGTGTGCCTCAAGATAGATTTTCACTGGAAAATTCCTCTTAATTTTCCTTCTGCTTTCACCTTGAAAGTTGACCATTCACCGTCAAATCCAAAGCACTGGCGTCACAAGACGCTGTTTCGATTTTTTTCGTGTTAAATTGAAACTCATTAAAGTATAAATAAGCACAGAAGGAAAAGTCAATAATAATAATTTGTACAATTCTGTCCACTTTTCGGTCAATGCTACTGGAATCTGAAGTACTTTCAGTGAAAGAATAACAGTCGCGTGGCTTTGATTGCACAATATTATTTCTCTTGGTAACAGAATTGATAGTTTTATACTTGTTTTTACATTTCGGATTTCTTCTCTGGCGACATTTTTCAGGTGGACATTGAGGTGAATGGAGAGCCAATTGATATTCACATGAAATTGGGTGAATCTGGTGAGGCATTCTTCGTGGAGGAGTGTCCAGAGGATGATCTGGAGGAGCTGCCATCGAATATGGCCACATCACCAATTCCGTCCAGTGAATTTTCCAAGTTGGCACAAAATTCTGACTTTACGTGAGTGTTTTTCATCGCCTTGTGCACGTTCACAACAAACACATTAATTTCGTTGTTGTGTGTTTATCATCTTGACGACAGGTCGAGTTCCATGAAGGAAGAGGAGATGCAAATGCCTAAGCCTCGACGCAATTCCATTGACCTCCTAATCGGTGACAGTGGCGAGAAGGCGGATTGCCATCAAGGCAAGAAGTATGAGAATCAGGTGTCCGATTATGCTCATCGGCGGTACACGGACAACACGATGGAGAGGCGGGATCTGGATGTGTCGAAGAAGGAGTTCACCACACAGAAGATCCGGCAGCAGTGGGCGGAGCAGCAGCAGGACGAGGATTCTCTGCTGGCGGGAATCCAAGAGAGTGGCGACTGGCGGAACAGCACGACTGTGGAGGAGACCAAAGAGGCGGCCAAGGTGGTGGAAGTGGCGCTGGAGCCTGTGGAGGAGGGCGAGCAGGTGCCGAAGGAGGAGAGCAAGTCGAAGAAGAAGCGGCGCAAGAAGTCCATCATGAAGAAGAAGAATGCCCAGAGGAAGAACTCAAGCAGCTCTGGTGGATCCAATCCGCCAGAGGCGATCGAGGGCAGTGTCGAGGCGGAGACTCTGACCACGTCATCCACCGAAGAGAGTCCCATTGTGTCTAGTGACGTGATCAAGGCTGTTGAGAAGCCCGCGGACATTCCCATAACGTCCAGTCGAGGATTCGATCTGGACATTCACTTCTTCAGCGACACGGACGTGGCGACTGGCATGAGTCCGCGCACGTCGCGCCCCTCGACGCCCATCCAGAGTGACACGGAGTTCGAGGTGTCGCAGCGCGAGAAGGGCGAGGCCAGCAACTGCATGACCAGCTCGGCGTCTTGGAAGTGGGGCGAATTGCCGACGCAGGACGACATAGTGACGGACGAGAATACTCCCGAAGCGGCGATGCAGGCGCAGCGCAACTCAATGCTCAGCGGGATGTTTAGCTTCATGAAGCAGAACAAGAAGTTCCGCAATAGCGCCCCTGAGGGGCTCTACCTGGCCGATTTGGATGCCGAGAGCATGGATCCGGAGGTGGCGGCGCTGTACTTTCCGCAGCACAGCCGGAAGTCCTTCACGAGGGAGGCGGAAGAGGAGATGAAGAAGGAGGATGAGGAGGACAGAGAGAGTGGGAATGGAACGTCTCTGCCGCAGAGTCCCAGCTCAATTGACGGTGCCAAGAGTCTGGATTCGGACTACGAAGACGGAAAGGCGTCTGACAAGTGAGTATATGAAAGGGCGCGGGACAGAGAATGAATGGCAAGAGAGCTGAGAAACCTCGTTTTCCCTCTCCAGATACCTCGACTTGGTCGCAATGTCACTCTGTGGCGGCCTGGAGAATGCCAATGGGCCCAATGATGAGGACTTCGATAGGCATCTTATCAGCTACACAGAGGTGAGGAGTTGGCAATGGCATGAAGTCACTTTCATCCCGCATGCGGTGTCTTATGATTTTGTTTTCTCTCTCTCTCTTTAGGTGTGTCGCAATCCGTCACTTTTCTCATCACCTAATTTAGTTGTTCGCCTCAACGGCAAATATTACAGTTGGACAGCCGCTTGTCCCATTGTCATGACATTGATTGCATTCCAGAAACCACTACCAAATGTGAGTTTTTGCCTTTTATTATTTGTGTAAATATTTTCAGTTGTTGGACAAATTTGGCTTTATCATCTAAATTTAGAGAGACTTGTAGTTTACGAATGGATTTAACCCTCATTCGGTCTTCAGATGAAATCACAAGGAAGTCAAATATATATTTACATAAGATGATCTCGCAGTCTCAATGCTTTGTTGTTTATTAAAGTGTGTGATGCCTCGGGAAATGGAGACAAGAAAACCGATTTAGGGTTGAATTACATTTACATTGGCTTCCTTTTTGGTAGGCAATTAATCATGGAATCATTGTTTGTTTTGATTTACATATAATTCTCATTGAGGAAGCTCGATGTGAATCGATTTGGGCAAATACTCTTGGCTTCATTGTCTGTCTATTCTTCTCTTTGAAGACCACAATTGACAAATTGATTGCTAGTCAGAAGGAGGAGCCGTTGGCGGACGCCCACGATAGCAGTGTGGCGCAGAACGAGCCCAAGAGGTACTCGTGGTGGTACTGGAGGCGACCAGGAAACGGAACGGGAAGTGATAAGGGCCAAGGGAAGAAGAGTGGAGAGGAGAAAAGTGAGTTATTAGCTTCTTTGTGGCTTCCTGATGATTGAGACGATGATTTTTCCGCCTTTCAGTTGGTCAGGAGCTGCAGCAGAAGGATGTTGTCGACAAGGATGATCGCAAGGATGACTCTCTATCGTTCGCCTCGTCGACAGCCATTGATATTCAGCAGTTGGACCAGAGTCTGGACAGCGGCAAGATGTCGGAGAAGTTCAGGAAGACACTGAGGCTGAGCTCTGACCAGATCAGGAGTCTGAATCTGAAGAGTGGCATGAATGAGATTGAGTTCAGCGTGACGACGGCGTATCAGGGCACGTCCAGGTGCAAGTGCTACGTGTTCCGCTGGAAGTACAATGACAAGGTGGTGATTTCGGACATTGACGGCACCATCACGCGATCCGACGTGCTGGGCCAGATCCTGCCGATGGTGGGCAAGGATTGGGCGCAGATCGGTGTGGCGGATCTCTTCTCGAAGATCGAGGAGAATGGCTACAAGCTGCTGTATCTGTCGGCGCGTGCCATCGGCCAGAGTCGTGTCACGCGCGACTACTTGCGCTCAATTCGTCAGGGCGATGTTCAGCTGCCGGACGGACCGCTCCTGCTCAATCCCACGTCACTGATCTCTGCGCTGCACCGCGAGGTGATCGAGAAGAAGCCGGAACAGTTCAAGATCGCCTGTCTGAGTGACATTCAGGCGCTTTTCCCGCAAAATCCCTTCTATGCTGGCTATGGAAACAAGATCAATGTGAGTTTGAGTGTGTGTGTGTGATTTGACAAGTGGAGAGAAAAACTCTTGAATTCCTTCCTTTGCAGGATGTCTGGGCTTACAGAGCCGTTGGTATTCCGATAATGAGGATTTTCACGATCAACACCAAAGGGGAATTGCGTCATGAGCTAACGCAAACATTCCAATCCACGTGAGTATTGAATATGCTTATCTCTTCCTGTCTTTCCTATACATTTTCCGCCTTGCGATACTTTTCTGTGTGTAAAGAAAGAAAAGTGTTGAATTGCAATTGATGAGAAGGCATTGTAGATTATCGCCAGAGATAGTTCAAAAAGTCACTCAATAGCAATTCAATTCTTGCACACTCAATTCGCTTCTCTTTGTGCAATCTAATAACACAATGAACAATTTCTCGCACAGCAAATTTAATATTCTCCTTCTTATATTCTGTTAACACTCTTGTACAGTTTCTCTCAATTCGATAAAATGTGTGGGAATGTGACAAAATTCTTCAAACATATTTCCAAAGGAAGAAATCTCCAATGAAAAAAAAAGCATGCATTTCCTCTGCTTTGATCTGCTCTTCGTCTTCTTTTTCTTACACTTCTGTTGCATAGTGTTGATTCTTTTTTTAAAAAGGTTTATTTTCTTTCTTTTCTTTTCTCGTTGTGCCATCATTTTCCTCTCCTTTGCGCGGGCTTTCGCCACGATTGCGCGGTTTTTTTCTCTTTGCAAAGCAGTTATTCGGGTCAGAGTCTGGTTGTGAATGAAATCTTTCCGCCGCTGATGCGAGACTCGGACGACACAGACGAAGGCTGTGAGAGTAGTGCGAGTAGTGGGCGATTGAGTCCTTTTGCATCCGAGTACACGGACGAGGATGATGATGAAAATGAGGAGTTGCAATTTAAGAATGACAATGATGTCATTTGAGCGGCGAAAGAGTCGCAAAATTGTGCCACACTGATTGGAAACGAAAGTACAGGAAATTATAGATAAATTGTGATATGATGATGATGATGAGAGGAATTTGAAGTCGCAGCGTACCTTTTCTAGATGAAAGCCAAATGAACAAAGTATATCAACAAAAAGCCACGACAAGTTAAACCTTAGATGTATAGAGAATTTGCGATAAAAGATAGAAAAAAAGCGTCCATCAAATTTGTCCGGTAAGGAATAAATTGACGAATTAGTGTTGCTAGAAAATAACAGAAATAAAAAGCGCTTCCTCATGTGACTCTCATTACAATCTTGTTAAGCAACATGCGCTCATTTGCATCGTCATTTAAGATCTAAGGAACGAGACACCGAGATCTCTTCACTGTTTTGAACGTTGTTGGATAAATTTATGGTTGTTGTTGTTGGTTTTCTGTGAGATATTTTGGAAATATGTATGAAAGATGGATTTTTATCACTTCACTAACACACAATTTCACACAGACACATGCTTTTGGTGCGGCTTTTTATTGATTTTAGCAAATATTTTTAGAATAGATGCATTCTAATCATAGATAGAGCTTGCTTGATTGCTTTTTTATTCCATTGATTCACAATACTGTGCTGAAAGAGGGTTTTAATTCTGGATTAACACTGTTCTTGTTTAATGATAACAGATGAGGTGAAAATGATTTCAAATTCATCAATCTGTGACTAAAGCTGAAATTGGCATATTTTAATAGAAAATCACTTTTATCAGAAGAAATCTAATGCTATTCTTAATGCATATTCATGTGAGATCGACAGTTAGCTGAAGAAATTGGCAAGTTCTTTCAAGACCGCGTGAGAAATTTATTTACATTCACTCGAAAATCTCACGTCTTTCGTTTGAAATTCATGAGCACATCAAGAAAACAGATCGTTTGTTTGTCTCTTTTATGATGTGAAGAAGAAGACATTCTGGAATAATCACACAACAATGCAGTAAATCACAATTTTCTCTGTACTAAAACTATTTTTCTAACGAATGCTTGAAAACCCAAGAAGTAACTGTTATTCGTAGTCTTGATTTCCTGACTTTTTTTCCTTATATGTTATCATGAAAACTCTCCAAAACATGTTAACCAGAATATCACACATTTCATTGTTCGAGTCGAAAGAGAGTCGAATTCCGGTGTTCTGATCAGAATCTCTCCTCTCAATCGCAGGTACTGCAGATTGGCTGACATTGTGGACCAATTGTTCCCGCCAATCAAGGAGAATGACTTCCAATCTGACGAATATTCGAGTTTCCGCTACTGGCGCGAGCCTCTGCCGGACATCAACTTCCTGGACATCATGGACGGCATGAGTTTAGCCGTCGGGGCGCCCGTGAGCGCTGCAGCGACTCCCAGTGGCGCCCCAGAAGCCGTCGTCGCGACGACAGGCGAATAGTTTTATCTCTCTAGCGCGCTGCATCCTCCAATGGACGTTGAATTTTTCGTTTTTTACATTGTGAATTGCCTAGTTTTAACAGAATAGTCTCATTTGTGATACTTTATTGAAGTTTGAGTAGTTATCCTTGGAGGATTGACACATCCCAGCAAATCCAGATGCTTCAGACTCGCATAATCCATATTTATAGTTAATATTGTATGATCTCTGTGAGGAATTGTTTTTAAGCACAGCGTGCGCTGATAAGTATCTGGGAGGGTTTGAATGTTTTGCGGTGGGTTTTTGAGCTGAAAGATGACTACATTCCGAAGTGGCGGGAAAATGGTGAGATTTGTGGTCCCTTTCAGGTACATATGGCGCATCCTGGGCACGCTGAGGGGCTTTTGCAAGAATAAACTGCTGATGTTTCTCAAGCGAAATTGTAGTAATTCAATAGGATTTATTGAATAAAATATTTAGTAGGGTAAAATAGGGACATGCAATGTGGCATGTCGTATTTATGTGCTGCAGCAGGAAAGTGTCAGGAAGTTGAGCAATTTGCTTTTAGAGAGGGTGAAATAAAGCAGAACAACCCACTTAATCCTCCTCATCTTCTTCCATGGCCGCTTCTGCGTTTCGCTCCATTTCGTCGTCGGCTCCGTTTCCGCTGTCGCTGGTGTCTGTGTCGTCCAGGAGGTTCTCAAAGCCGCCCGTCTTCAGCCACAGACACTTGATGAGCAGCTTGAAGGTGGCGATGGGCATGTTGCACAGCTTCAGGATCTTCGCCTGCTCGGGCGTCAGGATGCTGCCCGCCTCGCAGACGCGGTACTCCTGATACAGCGACACCACGCCCTTGTCCAGCTTCGTGGGCAGGCCGAGCTTTCGCAGGTGCGGCTCGATGGCGTGGGAGAACTCCTCGCACGGTCCGGCGGGCAGGACGATGGCCTCGTGGCACTTGTGGCCGCTGCGCGCGTACTCCAGCGCCGAGTAGTCTTTGAACCAGTCCAGCACCACGTCCTTGCCGTGATTCGTGAACAGCAAGCCGCACTGGCCATGCAGGCGGTGCGACAACTTCAGCAGGTTGTCCCTGACGTCCTCCGTCAGCTCCTTGGCCGCCTCGCCGAGCCCCATCTGCATGATCCGGTTCTTGCCGAAGAAGAAGCGCGAGTCCTTCCACTGCGTCCGCAGCTCCTTCAGCAGCGTGTTCCTCATGTTGTGCACGGAGAAGACATAGATATGAGAGTACTTGGACACGCAGTGCCTGATGTCCTCAACTATGTGCTGCTTCCACGCCAATCCTTTCCGGTCAGTCTTGGTCAGGGAGACTGCAGAGAAATGCGAAAACATTGACGTTCTGCATAGCAGAGAAGCGGATTCTACTCACTTTTCTGATCCCTCTTGGACTTGGGCATCGTCTGTGCGTGTCTTCCTTATGAGATGCAGGAAAATAAGTTGAGAATCTTGAAGAGTTTCCTTCACCACGTGCTGCTGGCGATTGTTTTGACAGCTCTGGCTTCGCTTTGAGTGCAGCTGAGCTCACTCAATCACAGCTATTGTAACTGATGTCTGAATACCAACTCCAGAAATTCAGTGATTTAACTTTATTGTGCTCCTAATGACTTTATTTTAGAGAATTATTAACGAAATTATCTCATCTTTAAGAGAGTTATTGAATAGTTATAAAAATAATTAAAAAGAATGACGAAAATTGAGATAAATGGCGTCTAATGAAAGCAAAACCAAGATCTTATAATTGCCTTTTATTTCGCGCTTCAATTCTACTCAAACATTTCTGTGGTTATCTTGAGTAATATTCGTGGTGCACGGAAGAAGCACACTTTTCTCTAACTCAATAGGCACTGACCATTCTCCTTCCCAAATCGTCGCTCAGCGAAGACACACAAGATGATGAGCTGATTCTACTACCACAATCTCGCCGAAGCAGCGCGTGCCGAAAATCGGAGTAGAAGAGGCGATCGTGGCGCCGCGACAGCAGTAGTTTCGGACTTTCGAAAGACTTCAATTCGCCGAGGTGCATCGAGTTTGAGATAGTGTGTAGATTGTGCCATTTATTCTGTGCTGTTTCTTCATCCCTTCTCACAAAAAGTAAGTACAATTGTTCCTCAGCCACCAATGAATGTGAATTTGATGGAGTTGTAACGAAATTGCACGTACATCGTGGTGAAAAGTGGATTTTTCTCCTGTGACGCATTGAGGAGTGTCCGGGCGGCCATTTTCCCACATTAATTTCGTGTGCCTCGCTCTCGCTTCCAATACAGCGACTTGGCTCGTGGTGTCTCGCTCGCACTCACGGCCGCGGCGCCTTGGTGGCGTGGACGCAAGTGCGGGCGTCTCGCTCGCACGGCCGCCCCACACAAATCCTCTCTCTCGCGATATAGATATGTCTCTCGAGTACGGTAATATTTGGAGGCCGCACCGGAATACCATTGAAAAATCGTCCAATATTGAGGCGCACATGCACGGCCGCCCGGGGGCCCACTGAGGTGCCGCCAGAGTGCAGCCGGGAAAGCGCCCGTGGAGTTTTCCCGTGGCCAAAGCTGCCACTCGCGGACGCGAATGGCGCAACAGTCGGGAAGATGGTTGGCGGGCAGTGCGAGTGCGCTGCGGCCGGGATGAGGCGCCCTCCTGGAAGGCGCGCGTCCGGCGAACAGCCCCCAAAGTGGATTAAATCTCTGACCCTCCGTTGCGGGGTTTCTCTGGCGGGGTCATCACTGAAATGCCCACACGACGCGCAACTCCATCGCGAAGCCGCGAAAGCGAATTCGCTTGCGGGCTTCATTGATTCTTGCGTTCAATGCGGGTTTTTCTCGAGATTTTTCCACACTTAAGTCGACACGAGAGCCATCTCAGGAGTCACTGGTGCCGACATCGTGTCTTCCGGCGCGCACAGAGTCTGATTGGTCGTTCGGGAATCACCTCAGTTTCCTGGTAAATTTCCTCGACATGGCGTGTTGGCTCCCCTTCGGGGCGGCGATCCGCGGAGGCCACCGCGGCTGTCGCACTGAAAATCGACGTCGTCGTCGCCGTTGTCATGGATTCAACGGAGAGACCGAGCGAGGAGAGAGAGAGTGTGTGAAAATTTAGAAATTCCCATCGAGTTCTCCTCTATTAATAGATCCCACTTTGATTGACTCATTTTTATTTTTATAGGAAAGGAAATAAAAAAGAGTCTTGAGAAGTGGTTGAAGGAGAGAAGAAGAAAAAAAAAGTCGCCCGATGGCACAAAAATCAATTGCAATGCTCTCGCGAATTCTCTCCATCTTGCATTCGGAGTTTTTGCCTCTTGGTGTGTTGGGCGCGCGCTTGTGTGAATTGACGGAGAGAAAAAGTGAGTCATCAGACAAGCATTTCACACATTTAGTGACCAATCGTCGAAAGAAGAGAGCTGCATTGAATCGGAAATCAGTCCATTTGATCCTGATCTTCAGCCCTGTGCTTCGCGGCATGAAAAGTGATCTTGCACACAACACACACACACACACTTGCACTGTTGGCACGTGAAAGAAGTGAAGGTCGGACACTTGCGATTTTGTACTTGATTGCAGGCAAAGTGTGGCTTGTAAGATTTATCGATCATCCTATAAGAGTTTAGAAATAACCTCAAGATCCAATGAGAAGTAAGTGAGAAACTGACACCGCACAAGATGTTTGCCGAACGTGAGAAACAGGGAAATGCCTCGTAAATAAACAGAGACAATGGCTAAATGGTTAGAAACTCGAGGAGTTCTCAGCGAAAGGGTGCTTTGGCTTGTTTGAGAACATTAATCTTGTATTGGTTTTCAGACATGGAGAGTGTTTGAGGCGCTCTGATTAGCTAGAATTAGTGAAAACTTTGAAATGTGTTCACAAAACACCTGAAGATATGAAATGCGCGAGGTGTTATTAAATAGTTCTGAAAGGGAGGATTTTGAAGATAGGGAAGAGGAGGGCAAATTCAAGAATCACAACACATTTTAGTGCTGCTAAAGCTCGTGATGAGACACAAATTCTCTCTTCTTCTTTTTTTAAATTGTAATTCTGAAAGTTGCCACGAATTTCCAATTATATTGATTTATCACTAGTCATCCTAATTGATTATTATTCAATTGACATTGACTTTATTTTTAGAAATTTTGCTTCCTAGGCACACAATTTGATAGAGGTTTGTCTGCGGAATTTTGAACTGAAATTGTTTTTTTATTTGTATATTGAAGCAACATAAATACAATTTATAATTTAAGGAAAATCGCTTTTTGATACTTAAGAAGAGATCTTTTAATGAATATTGGAACATTCTTGACTGAAGAAAACATTTGACTGCTTCCAATTCGGAATTAGTAGACCAAGAGATGACTTCTTTTCTGGAAAATTATAGAACGTGACGGTTTATATTTGCAATGTTTGCGCTTGGTGGAAAAATGTTGCCTGAATTTTATTATTGCTGGCAACATGACAAGAAATTGCGTATTCAGCGAAGGGAATTGAAAAAAAGTGTGACATTTTCTCGTACTAACATTGCAATGAGAGAGAGAGAAAGCTCAATATCCTTAATTGTTCCCCGCCTTTCCCTAAATACCGGATCTTGCGAAGACGTGCGATGAATAAGTAATGAAATAGTTTTGCACACTTTCAATGCTTGTGAGCTTGAAAGGTGTGTAAATCAAAAGTGGTTCCGGAAAGAGAGTAGTTTCCTAATGAAAACCCTTAAAAATCATGACCAGAGAGAAACACGACGCGCTTCAAATACACACACAAGCGCTGAAGTAATCACGCTTTTTCGGAGATCGCGCGCGCCTTATCAAATGCCCAGGCCAATAAAGGTGAGAGGGAGGAAAATAGACGAAGAGTGATAGGAAATCGATTGCATAACGGAAAACTTTTAGCCGAAATAAAATATTGAAAAAGAGAGCTGATGATATTTTCAAGGGAAACATTATACATATCTCAGCATGTTCATAAATTTTATGGTTTATTTGTGTTTTAAAGTGAAACCAAATATGGAGGAAGAGTGGAAAAAGAGATGAAATATGCGATTAGATGTTGAATTGTGTGTGAGAGTGTTTGCATGTGTATTTTGGGGGGATTTTGGTGTGTGACGTGATAAAAGGCGAAGACAGAAGACAGAGACTCTTGTTTAATGAGGAAGAACAGAATTATGATTATTTCGCAATATGGTGAAGAAATGTCATGAAATAGGAGATGAATTTTTGGGGGAGATTGTCAGAGTCAAGGTTATTTGTGGCATAAAAGTGGGTTCAATTATAAATGAATTTTCAAAAGACACACAGAAGCAAAATTGCCACCATTTTATTTGCCTTCCTTCGCTCATCACAGAGGCTAAATATTTGATTGACGGCGCGTTCGGTAAACAGAGAAAATAATTTTTTGTGGGTGGAATTTTCACAGGGCGAATGTTGGGCAAAAGAGTGGCGTGACGACGAGGAGGGTGGAAAGGAGGAGGGCGCGGAACTGGCGTGCAAATGAGATTCAGATGATTTTCTCACTTGGCGCGCTGGAGAAGTTTGATAAAGAAGCGTGATGGAAAAGCATAGCGTTCAATATTTTCCTTTCTGTGTGCAGCTTTATTGACGTCAGAAGAGACTTTCTTTGAGCCTGGGCGAGAAATTGTGTGTATATTTTACAATAGTCGTGTACTTTCCATCGGGATTTTCCATTCAGTCAGACGTTTAAGGATCGAAGATGGATAGAAAAGCTGCCCTTATGGTTGTGGATTTCATTGTGATATTGTGTGGAAAATTGCGAATTCATCTCTCTCTCTCTCTCTGTGGCTTTTGACTTTGTGGCGGCAAAAGCTTCTTGAAGGAAGAATATTGCTTTTCAAATCTGACACGCTTGCTGTGTGCCACTAATTCGCCATGATTAATGCCAATGGAGATGAAATGATGTAGACAAAACTCATTACTTGCGTGCACTCATCGTGAGAGAGTGACGACAGTCTTGAAAAAGAAATATGATACATTTTTTTCCATAAAGCTCACACAACATTGATTGACAATGTGTGAAGAAGCGCTGAAGAAGTTTGTGTGCGTTGAGGAAAAACGCGCGCCATTGAGAGTTGAATAGAACTTATCTCTGAACGGAAAATACTCACGTGGCTACAATGTTTAATTCGCCAATATGCGCCATTTGTAAGTAGCGCGCGCGTTTCGAGTTACATAATAATCGGGCCTGTAGTAGAAGTCAGAGAGGCAAAAGTTGGTGCTCAACTCTCGAATTCATACCTCGCGAAGTACGCGTCGGTTGGAAGAAAGTTGTCATAGCGACACTACTCACATCATTTATTAAGAAAAATAATGACTTCTTCAGCGCGCAAATACAGCTCTCGTGGGCGCGATGCACGCATTAGCATTGGATGGAATTCTCCTGAATGGGTTGGCTTTTTTTGGTTTCTGGATTGTGCCAATATTTGGTTTCTGATAGCAAGACGATAAGCTATTGAAAATGTATTAGAGGCTTGAGATAGCGCCATGGAATACAGAGGAGAAAAAAAAGCAGAGTGTAACGTATTTTTCCTACTCTATCTCTGTACAGTTTCAATCTTTATCAAATCATGTGATAAGCGTTGATAGTGCAAATTTCTGTTATCAAACCATGAACTCGGTTTCTCAATAATTTCCCCATCGCTTCCACTTATTTTCCCATTGCGGTTATTTTCCAGAATGAATTTATATTAAGTTGATGTTGCTTAACACTCGCACTTACGTATTTCCTGTCTATGAAAAGCCTGAATAATTTAATGAATTACATGATATTGGCAATAATAGATTCCAGAGTATTGGAGAAAGGATTCTAACGTAATTGTATTGAATGTTCTGAGAATGCATTGTGAAGCTTTCGTCGTCATGTGCTTTCTTAGAATCCATTGAAGATGTTTTTAAATACATTCTGTATCTGAATGGCGTGACTGAGGGAATGAGCTTGAGATGAGAAGATGTGAAAATCTGAATTCCCATTGTTCATGACCGAATTGGAGAAAAAATCTCTTGTGGTAATTTTATTCAATTTCCATTACAGCAAATTAAATTTAATTTGCATCTTATTTTGCCACCTTTTTTCCTCTCAATTAGGGAGATTTGATGAGGAAGTAGTGAAAATATCATGAAAGTAGTTATTCTTAAAGAGACTTTTGGTTCTTTATAACTTTGTGTCAAGAAATTGATATATAAGTGGCGTAGAATGGAAGTTGCTCTATGAATTGATTTTGCTTTTGTGGCGGTTTTGGTCATGATTCAAAATATTTACTCAACTTTAGAAAATTGGTACGTTGATTGTGAGCATTTTGTGGCAAATGAATTTTGTTATAAACTATTAGGAACTTATAATGAACAACATAAGCAAGGATGATTTATCTTAACTCCATTACGTTGTGTTCTGCATATTGTATGAAAACAGCCGCAAGTGTTGCACTTAAAAACAACAAGTTTGGCAGAAATTAAGATATAAACTTTAGAGATTAGCGAAGAAGGTTTAAATATCTTATGATTTTGCAAATGTTTTTGAACGACCAGTTATGCAACAGGGTGCGAACCTCACTAAATGAAAGCTCTATTAGATTCCCTTTAAGGTTGGGAATTGAACCATTTATGTGGTTATCAAAGTAAAGTAGACCGCAAAGTGTAGACAACATGTCCTTAATGACGAAACTTGTTGATTATCTTCCCGCAAATGAGCGTGAAACCGATGTATACGAAGCATTTACATCGATGTGTTGTTAATTGGAAATTAAATTGCCATCCTATTTTGTGATTTGACCCATTTTTCTTGCGCAACATTGTAATTCTGGGCCTCCCTAAACATTGTGCACGTGTGAAAAGGTGTGTGTGTGTGAGTGTGTGGACACATGGATAAACATAATTTGCGTTTTAATTATGGGCTTCCTTTAAAAAGACGAATCGCCACAGCGTGACAAACATTGGGTTACGCAATGTATTTGAGCTCTTTTCAATCATGTTGAAATTACACAAGAACATTTCTCTCTATTGAACTGACATAACGTGCTTATCTATTGGGCTTTGAATCCCCTTTCACAAAATCCCAGCATTCTCAATAGAGAGCTAAATGGATCATTTGACCCTCAACTTTCACATAAGAGAGAAAAGTTATTATATAAAACTGGGAGTGAAAATAAGGTGAGGAAAAGCGAGGACGGAGAGTGAGAGAGAAGTTGTAGAAATGTGTGGGTGGCGCAGTATCAATGATGGTGTAAATATTAAATATCACATGAATGTAGTTACTTTTCTCTACCTAAGCCGAGAGAGAGAGAGACTTCTCGATTTTAGTAACACCATTTGTGCCACATAGTGTGAAATATATGTCTTGAATAAATTCACACTTGGCCTCTCCTGTTTCTCCATTTCCCTGCACAAGAAGGGTAGTTTTTTGGGGTTTTGGTTAAAGTGTGGAGAGAAATAAAAAGCGAGAGTTTACTTTTTTATGAGATTCTTGTCTATATTATCTCCCTGTTGCCTGATAAATTTAACCAACTGTCATCCAGGAGCAATGATGATGATGTATTGGGTTGGGAAAATAATTTTCTCTCCGTTGGCATCATCATTTTCATTGTCTCTCCATCTCTTTCACGCTGTACCTTCCATCTTTCCACTGTTAATAATTCTCTCCCCTGTTTGATATTGGAAGTATTTGAGGGTTGCTCGTGGTTTATTTATAGATATACCGGAGCAAAATTCTCGTACTCTGGCCTTACATTTCAGCCCCGTTGGGAGGGTTTTCTGCCATGGCGCGCCATAAAAGATAAATTTGCTCAAATGCTTAAATAAAATTCATTATTTACACATCCTTTAAGGATGACTAGAAAATAGTAGAAATGCTTGAAACTATAGAATGTGAAATTTTTCCTTGAAACATTTCCATTCTTGGCGCGCAAACTTCACTCTCCCTCTCTCTCTTTCTCTCTTTGGCTGTCCTTCTCTCGAGATATCCTGGGAAAACACATTCAATGCCACTCGGATGGATGTTCTCTTCTGCCAAGTCAATTTACGCATTACACATTTAATTGAAATCGATTTAAAGTTTACCCACGAATTTTCCGTTTTATGGAAATTTTGATTGAATTACCGGAGGAAGAATAAAAATTGACCTACCTTGTCAGCGCATGGTGCGCTTGGTATTGATGATGGGGAAATCAAATTAATTGGCAATTTAACTATTTTATATTTAATTAACTTGTGCGCCTTGCTCTGGCCATACACTGGAATTATTTAGAGCGTAAAAAGGGGTATAACTTCCAGTTCCGTGTATAGGCGTTTTTTTTTCACTCTCTCTCTCTTGACGCACAAAATTGCTAATAATATGTTTCGGGAATGGCATAAAGTTCTCTGTTTTTTTTCGATGACTAGTTGCTGGTGTGATACACAAGAGAGCGATTTTGTAGGTGTGCGCGCTTGAATTTGATTAAAGCATTTTGATAATGTTGTCAGCTTTAGGTGGAAGGGGAGGAATGAATGTTAATTTATTTTGGGTGGGTTTTAACGCTGAGAGAAGAGAGAGAGAGAGAAGGTGAGAGTGACAAAAGTTGGGTGAAATTTCACCTTCAACTTGGATAGATTTGCATTTTGTTAACCAATTTGGGGGTTAATTTACCACCGCTTAATGCTTATAATCATGAAGGTTTTCCATTGTGATGGCAAAGTTTCTCTGAAATGGGTGTCAAAAGAGTTCGTTTCTGCAACATTTATGGGGTAGCATTTGGAGGAGGAATGTTGGTTTTACCAGAAATAAACGACGAATATATATGTATGAAACTGTAATGGGAAGAAATGTAACACGCAGCGTTAATATCAGATGAAAACATAGTTAATTGATAGTGAGAGAGAGCATAAAGACCATTTTGTTGGGAAACATATTTTAAGCTTTAGAAATTGTTTTCCTTGGCTGCAGAAGTGGAAAAGGTTAAGGAGTAGCTTTGCTTGAATTTGTACTTTTCTGAGCGCAATTTCGAGCAATGGTGAAGAAATGAGAGAAAGAGTAATATTTATGAGGCATTAGAAAGAAAGAGGCCTAGAATGGATATTCTGGGCTTATTTCTATTGTCACGTGCCGGTGTTTCATTCCTCTCTGGGTTGAACTGAAATACGATGTAATTGCATGCAAAGCTTAAGTGAAATTGCTCCCGATGTTGGAGTACACATAGAAAAAAAAGAACTATTTCCATGCAGATGTGTTGTGTTGAGAATAGGTAATGATGAAGTCTAAATACCATTCTAAATTTTGCCTTCGATAAAAGTTTCTTTCTTTCTGCATTCATCGTGTGACTCATTTCTCGTCTCTTGTCTCTCCATTGGCAATGTTGTGTTTGGGTATCCTTAAGAAGTTTGTGCTTGAGAGAAAGTTTCCTTTTGTTTCAGCCAAAGGCAAACAATCAATTTCTGGGCGAAAACGCAACGACAATGAGTCAGTTTGTTTGTTTGTTTGTTGAAAGAAAGAGTTGAGGAGAGGAAAATGTGTGAATTTGTGTACAACTGTAGGCTTTTCGCTCCAGATCCGAAATTTTTGTAGTACATATGTGAGAAGAGAGTGCAAGAAGGAGGAAAATGTGTGCTACAAAGAATCGATCAATATCTTCAAAGTGAGGAGGAAAGCAAACCTGCTTGTAAATTTTAGCAAACGAGAGGTGAAAAGAGACAGAATGAAGCCGGGGAAATGCCTTTTCCTCTACCTTGTGTTTATTTATTGTCGGCGGCATTTTAACTGGTCATCTTTCTCTCCACATTTTACTGTTTTTCTCTCCCTTGTTGCTTTCTTTAGTGGATGGTTTCTGTGCATAAAATATTCACTCTGGGGAAGGAGTGAAATTTACTATACAACTTATCAAGCAATTGTCTTAATTTGCAATTTGGCCTTATTTTAAATTTTATAGGGCACTTTTTTCTGTCTGTAAAATTCTTTTACTGTTTTTTTTTTTGCTGTAATAAATGCACATATATTTGTTAAAATGTGTATAAAGCATGTGCTTTTTTTCAATGTCTCTTTTCTTTCGCGGTGGATTTATTATATGATCCATGTGATGAGGAGGAGGAGAAGAGAAGAAAAGGGGAAGTTTTTCCCACTTGAATGCTTCTGAAGAGACTTATTGGTGTCTCGAGTGTTATTTTTTAACTTTAATTTCCCAGTCATTTTTCAGTGTGCAATTTTTTAAAGTGGTGTCCATGTTCCGTGACTATCGAGCGCGCCGTTCGGGTGTTGGGGAGCTTTTATAGGGACACTCCTAATGCCAAATGCGCCGTCGTCATTTTCATTGTGCGTCGCGACGTCGCATTGAATCCGCTGGTGCTGCAATGTTGAGCCAGAGCCAGTCTGTCTGCCATGTGCGGAAGCGAGAGGGCGCGATAGAGTGGTGGGTTTTCTGGAGCATCATCTATGAAAATTTGAGGGGTGAAATGGCAAAAGGGGGGTCGACGGTGGACGTCGCCGCAGTCTCAACTCTCAGTTCATCTTGGGTTCTCTCCTTCGTCACACACGGGCATTGTACGCGAGTGATGCACAAAACTTGGTGTGATTCTTTTAAGAGGCAAAGAGAAGTGTGTGTCTAGTTTGAGGAATGTTCTAATTCTCTGAGAGCGCACACCGTGTAGGATTCTTCTTCATCATTGTCAATTTTGTGTGTGGGGCGAGCGAGAGAGAGAGAGAGAGAGAGGAAAATAATAGAGAAAAGCGGCTGATTTTCTCGTGTGTGTTGGCGAGCCATTTTTAGCTGGAAAGAAGGGAGAACAAATCAATTCTACTCTCACATTTTCACGGGTAAATTAATACAACCCCCAAATTCTGCGCAATTTATCCTCCTTTCCCACCTTTTTCTTTGGTTGTACACACAGTTTTTTCATCCGTTTGTACGCTATGAGTCATGCAAGTGTGCCGGAAAAGAGCTTTTTTTCCTCTCAAGCCTTGGAGGAGTTGAACGAGGGAGAAATCGGGAAAAGATGCAAGATATTGACTTGACAACGGTTTCTCTCTCTGGCTCAATTCTACTTTGTCACCCCAAAAATGGATTACAGAAGGATTACCAGTGATTTAAATGTGACTACACATGAAAGTATGTGTATTTTGGAAGGTTTTCTTTTTTGTAGTCACACAGAAGCATATAAAGGTATTCATGGGAATTGTATGTGATGAATATTTTATGATAAAACTTTCTCTATGCCTGGATATTGTCAAGGATTTATCGGCAATGGACTTGTGTAGGGAAGAAAATCAATAGGAGGAGTGTGAAGTCTTGAGCGGAGACAAGGATGGAATTTCCATTAATTGATATTCTATAATGTGTATGCAAGACTGTATTTTCCAGCAGCATTATGCGCAATCCCATAATTTAGTCCCTGTGTAAATTGATATATAATGCTCATATATATGTATCCACCTTTTGTGCCTTGATCGGGAGAGTGAGAAAGAGAGGAGAGGAAAATTGCACAGACACCCGGCGCCTCCATCTTGGACGAAATGGCGTTTCCAAGATTTTCACAAGCGATGTCGTTGTTTGTATGCACACATTTGCCCATTTTGCTGCAGTCTCGAGGCGCGCCTCGTCCCAATGCCTTCCGCCCACCTCTTCGGCGCACAGCGTGATGAGGCCACGGATGAGCACATAATATTTGTACGGAGATGGGAATTATTGGACACACAACACCACATTGGCGAGGAGGGAGACTGAAGCACTCGAGTGCCATGGAATATATTGGCTCGTCAAATGTATTTAAAAGAAATGTGAGATTGAGAGACAGCAGGAGAGTGCGAGAGAGAGAGAGGAGACTGAAAATATTGATTTTTCACTGCACTGCTCCTTTTTCTTCCCCACACAAAATATGTTGTATTTCTCGCCTGGAAAATTCAACTGATGCAATTTAACTGCAAATTACTCTCCTCAAAAATACTCTGTTGTCCATGCAAAATTGCATCAATTTCACATGAATTTCAACAGAATGAAAGAAAATTGGGCGCGAAGCATTTTCGGTAAATGTGTGCGATTATTGGTCATGAGTCAGAAAAAAAGAACCATACAGTGAAGTCATCATTATATTGGTTTTTTTTTCTTCTTCTCTCAAATGGTTTGAGAAAATATTTGCTTTGTGATATCTTTACTGGTCTTTCATTGCGTCATTTTACAACACTTTTGACTAGTATTTATCACACTTGAGTTTGTGTGTAAGTCTGAATGATTGAGCTTCGATTGTGGGCGGAAAATTTATGCATAACTCAATTGTTGTAGAGAAAAGCGGGGTCGTTTTGGACAGATTTGTGTTGTGAGAGGAGGAGGGAGGGATTCAAGGAAAAATTCAAGAGAAACATCAATTTTGAATTCCAAAATAATAGAAGACATTCATGAGATTCACGAGGTATTTGAGATCTAAAGAAAGTCAGACAAAATATGCAAATGAATGAAGAGACATAAAGAGAATTTGGACGCATCTTAATGCAAATATGCAAATCTTTAATCAAAATGCAATCAAGTATTAATATGACTAAGAAATATGAACTATTTATGTACCAGAAATTCTCTATACTTTGTGAAGTTCTCATGCAATATTCCAGAACTAATTGCTTCTTTCCTGTTTTCTTATCTTTGCAGGGGCGCAACGCATCTCTGGTTTATCATCAATTCACAGTTTCTCTCGAATTCCCCTCCCGTAATTTTTCAAGGAAGAGGCAAAGCAGAGTTTCACCGGGTTTTTAAGGACATAACAGGCACCACACAGCAAAATGTCGTCTGTTGACAAGGAGGAACTGGTTCAAAAGGCAAAATTGGCCGAACAGTCGGAAAGGTATGATAAAATGGTGATGAGATTAACTTTGATTTATACATTTTACCGCTTTTGTGCCAGAAAGGACTGTCTATTATGATAAACCTTTTTCCCTTTTCTCTTTTTCTCTTCTTCTATTTCTGCAATAATAAAAGGTACGACGATATGGCACAAGCCATGAAGTCTGTGACAGAAACAGGAGTTGAACTGTCGAATGAGGAGCGAAACCTGTTATCGGTGGCATACAAAAACGTTGTTGGAGCTCGCAGGTGAGTGTTTTCTTCTGTCTCTTTTTTTTTCTCTCAAGAATTAGGTGAAAGTGAATTAAATTGTAATCTAATAATGTTGTGATATTTGGTCTTGATAGAAGAGGAGGAAAAAAAGAAAAACAGAGGCGCCTTAGATGAGATATAAATGCGTCTTCGTGATCAAATCCAATAGTTTTTCCACTCTTTTTCTCTTTCATCACACACACACAACACTTTCTATCAATTTCCACGTGAATCGTTTGGATATAATTTGGGGTGTGGATTATTTTATAGGTCATCTTGGAGGGTGATTTCCTCAATTGAACAAAAGACGGAACCTTCCTCCAAAAAACAACAGCTCGCCAGAGAATACAGAGAGCGCGTTGAAAAGGAACTTAGGGAAATTTGCTATGAAGTTCTGGTAAGTGGAAAAAACATTATTTTTTCCTTGCGATGAAAAGTTTTAATGGCATATTCCCGATATTACTTGAAGACTAAGTGCAATCTTATTGCAATATTGATGCTCTACTACCCATATATTGAAGTTGTTGGGAAGTTTTCCTCGCAAGCTTCGCAATATGTGGATTTTCTCCCCTTTTTTTTGCTGGCGACGACCTTTCGTGTAATTACGAAAGCTGAGGTTGCCACAGTGTATGTATTGTTGTTGAAAAGAAGGGTGTAAAGAAAAATGACACCAAAAACATCGCTTTGAAAATTCTCCCGCACACAATCCAATTAATAAACTTTTCGCAAGTTTATTTTTGGAAGGAATTACTAAGCTTCAGGGCAAAAAGTGTTTTTATGGGTATGTTTTTTTTTTTGTTGTTAATGTCGCTTCTTGCCTTTCTGATTAATTTGCCCACTGGAAAAAGAAGGAGTGAAGAAGTTCTTTCCGAGTGAAGAGACAAAATTCTGTACACACAATTTGTAGGTGAAAAATGTGTGGAAAGTTTTGTTGGATTCTTTTTTTCTCTCCAGAGAGTGAGATTTTTCAGTCACGCAATTATTTCATTTCCTCTTTTATTGATTTCTTTTCAAACACGCGGTTTGAGGACATTCACTATAATGCGGCATGAGAGTTTATGGGTGGGAATAAAAATAAATGTAAAAATATATATAAGCATTGTGCGTTCTGGAGAAGAGACCTTTTCCCACTGATAAAGTGCTTTTCTCATAGATTATTTAAGGGCAGTGTGCTTGAGAGCGAAAGTCATGAGCGCACAAAAGTGTGATCACGAGATTGAGTAGAATTTAGAATTCCGTGAACTTGAACTTTGGTATTTTCTCCACAATGAAAATGAATTAATTTGTTGTCGGACAATATATCAATATAGTGGATAAAGTTCAAAGGAATAGAGTTTTTGTGCTTGTGGTGAATTTTCTAGAATTCTTTCTATTTTCATTAGATTGCAAAGAGATAAAATCTATTTATACTTATTGTATTTTCCCAGAAATGATTCGGAAATAAGAAAAAGGGATTCTAAGAAAAGACAACAAAGAGCATGTCAAAAAGGAGAGAACCTTTATTTGCTCTGGAGAGAGAAGAGAGAGAGAAGAAAAACCGTAGCAAAATGTAAAAGATTACTTGTTTTCCATTGTAATTCTTGTGTATTGAATTTATATCTGTTCTGCTTTTGGGGGGGTGGAGAAAAATGTGTGTTGTGTGTATATAAAGCGGAAATTTGTTGTATGACTTCTTGTGAATACACACAGAGATGAAGCAGAAAAAATCTCTCTTGTAACGTAACATTAAATATTATTCACAAAAGGGAAGTTCCGGAGTGGGCAAAAGAGGGAAGAAAGATGAGGAATTTACTGATGAGAGACTTACAGTGATTCCAAAGTAAATAGCGCCTCGGCAAACGCTGAGAAAGTTGACTAAGTTCTTACTTTGTGTTTAATGATTTCTATTTGTATATGATTAATTGTATTTTAAATATTCAATTGGGTTTATTTACTAGCCTCAAATCTCAACTCAATCAAATTTCAAGACCCTGAATCTGAATTATTTATGTATATTTTTTAAACTTTGTTTTCTGCATTGAAAGACGACTGTTTTCCAGCATAGCTCGCAGAGGTGTGCTATTTAGAGTGGAGTCACTGTATGTACAATGTGTCATTTTGTATATATGGACAGAGAAATATCTTTTCCTCTTTATGTTTCCTTGCCTTCGTCTCGTCGACACTCCCCCAAATCACTTGATCATTAAGGAAATTTTTATATTTCTTCGCCCTTTCATTTTGCAATTGGGAGGAAATTGGCGAAGTTAAGGAGAGGATAGAGTCAATAAATGCGAGTTATGCCCTTATGTTGGGGTGTTTTCTTTTTCTTTTTTTGTAGATATTCTTTTAAGTGCTCACAAATTGATGCATGAATGTGAAATTGAGAAGACAGAGATTTATTTGACCTCATTTTCTATCTTTTGCAGGGTTTGCTCGATAAATATTTAATACCCAAGGCCAGCAATCCCGAAAGCAAAGTCTTTTATCTGAAAATGAAGGGAGATTACTACAGATATTTGGCTGAGGTTGCCACTGGAGACACTCGCAACAGTAAGTTGATGGAATTTGTGTATGATTATTGATCTAATTTGTTATGGGAGAGAAGAGATAAAGTCTCTTCTTCTTCCATAAAAGATGAAAAGCTCGAGGGAGAGATTTCCAAAGAAGAAGACGAAGAAGAAGAGTGTGTGATGTAATGAAAACCTTTCTCTAGGTGTAGTAGATGACTCCCAAGCTGCGTACCAGGATGCCTTCGAAATTAGTAAGGGCAAAATGCAGCCAACACATCCCATCCGATTGGGTCTCGCACTCAATTTCTCAGTCTTCTATTACGAGATTCTAAATTCTCCGGATAAGGCTTGCCAGCTGGCCAAACAGGTCCTCCACACAGATACATATTTTTTTCTTTCTTTCTCTTTTGTAATTCAGGGAAAATCTCTGGTGTTCAGTCTCTCTCTCTGTCTCTTTGTCGCTAGCAATCAATTAGGATACACATTCCCTAAGGTTTTTGATTGTCCATTATGGCGCTAAAAACACACACCCTCAATGTCTTTTTTGCGCGGTTTATGGTGCGGAAAATTATGCCCCATGGTTGACATAAAAAGAATATTTCTTGCCTTCCACTTTATGGACTTTAAAGACATTGCGTGGTTTTATGGGCTGGTGTTGTTCGGGGTCGAAAAACCTATTTGGCAATTTAAAAGACATGTCATAAGTGGGACATGGCAGAAATGTCCTACTTTCCTTCACACACAACAAGAGCCTAATTTGTCTCGGCGGTTAAAGTGAGATTAGAACATGATGGGTTATTTTCACTTCTGCCTGCGATTTTTAATCATTTACTACAACTGTGATATAAATTTCTACTGAGTTGTGCGAAATTTTATGGACACTTAACGTTAGTTTTTTTGATTTTAGTCTAATAGACATTTTCTAACAGTAAATAAAACATAAAATTCAATCGTAAATAGATGGGAAGTGATCCATAAAGTTGTCACACAACTTCGTAATTACAATATTTTCCACTTGAAATTTATTCCAATATTCATATTTTGCTTTTTTCTAATTTGTTTTTTTATTAATGTAATATCTTTGATTTTTCTTTCTTTCTCTTTTCGCTCCTAATGTTTGTGTGCGCCCTTTGCGTTCCATTTGTATACCGTGTCAACCGTGTTGTCGTCTGTCTTCCACAAAAATCAACTCGCCACATTAAACAAACTGTGAAATCTAATCAAAAACCACCTGATCAGGCGTCATTGAGGACTCACAGAAAGCGTATCAGGAGGCATTTGACATTGCAAAGTCCAAAATGCAACCCACGCATCCGATTCGTTTGGGTTTAGCGCTCAACTTTTCGGTCTTCTATTATGAAATTATTAATTCACCGGCGCGTGCGTGTCACTTGGCCAAACAGGTTATATAAAAGAAAAAAAAATACATACCAGATAAAGTCAATTTCAACTATTTTGTGTTCGTTTTCTTGTTCTTTGTAAAAGTCTTAACCCAGAAAAAAAAACATTGTGCTTTTCCTCATTGACATTTTGCTTACCTTGTCGTGTTTCTTTTTTTTATCTGTGACGCATTGCTTTCAATTAGAATAATATTGTGGCCAATATATTTCAATTGGTTGGAAGTTATGTAAATCGTTGAGATAGGAAGGAAACAATGTAGATGCCGTGAATGGTGTTTGTGATAAAGAGTAATCAATTTTTAATGAGCAACTAACATTAAGCGTTAAGTGTTTGTGCTCGTCAACTTACTTATTAATGGAAAAATTAATTGAGGATGAATTTGTAAAAGCTTTTCTCACTGAAAGCGCTCGACAACAGATCGCGACTGAAGCTTGGCAGACACAATTTGAGCTGACAAAATATCCTTCATGATAAATATCGGCTTAAGAACATGCAGAAAAAGGGATGTTCTGTATGAAGTGTACGTGCTGAGTTTCGTTTGTTGTCGAGGGTTTTATGCTTAGTAGAGAAAGAGAGATTTATAGTGTGTATTTTCATCCCTTTATTAACACAATCCTTTACTGCAAAAAAAAACTGCCCATGAGAATGTTGTAATCCGAGAGAGACTGAAAGTGAGAGTTTCCCTATCTTTTTTTTCAATTTTTTTCTATCAATATCACAAATATCAATGGAGATTTGGAGGAATGTGAATAATAACTGACATATTTTCTTCTCCTTGTGCGTGAAACGGCGGAAATGCAGGCATTCGATGACGCGATAGCGGAATTGGACACACTCAATGAGGACTCGTATAAGGACTCAACGCTGATCATGCAGCTCCTGCGAGACAACCTCACGCTGTGGACGTCAGATACGCAAGGGGATGGCGATGAAGTTCATGAGGGCGGTGGTGATAATTAACCAAACAACAGTGAGGAAGACAAGAAGAAGGAAGAAGAGAAATCACACAACATCAACAAAGATTGAGAGGGAGAAATTTTTAAAAATTGCAGTAAAACATGCTTTTCAAGTGAAAGAGAGAAAGAAAGGAAGTTTGAGGATGGAGAAGAAGAAGAGGCGTGAAATTATCTGAAAAGAGTTTTTCATTTTGAAAGAAAGGAGAAGAAAAAAAACACCGTGAATTAAGAAAGTATGAATAATGTCACCCAAGAAAACACACACACGCCGTCATTTGAACAAGATGATAATGAAATGAAACCCAGTTTTAGAGGAAGAGGAGGAGGAGGAAGATGAAGTTGAGGAGCAAAAGAAGCATAAGATTTTTGTGAACATCAAAAAAAGAAGCAGATGAAGTAAAAAACAAGATTGCATTAATATTCACCACCTTTTCAGAGAAAGAAGATGAAAGAGAACTTTTTGTTTACTTTTTTAAATGAATAATAATAGTGAAAATTTTTCGAAGAGGATTTGAGAAGGAGAAGAAGAGGCATTAAAGAGGGTGGAAAAATGATGGGAAAAAGTAATGTGTAATATTTGTAAGACATCTGTGTAACCCCTTATAATCCTGTTTCACACAAAAACACACACACAAGAGAGAAATCAAGAATACTTTCAGGAGGACATCCTCAGTGACAGATTAAAAGGATGGAAAACAAATAAGAAAATAAAATAGGGAAGGAAGTGTGAGTTCAAATGCTGATGAAAGAATTCCTTCTGAACATGCAATTTTCTTTTTCTTTCCACAAGAAATATGTGCCCTCTTTTTGCAATAAAAGTCGCGCTAAACGAGAGATCCTTTGATCATTTATCAACTTACACTTTATTTCTGCCTTGTTTATTTGTTCCTTTTTTTGCGCGCGGATCAGAGGAAGAAAGCGGACACTAATCATGAAGTATTGTTTTACTTTTTCTATTTGTAACTATTACTACTGTTAATTTGAAATGAGAAAAAGGTAATAATTCCCTTAAGTTCTTTTCTTTTGCACTTAACAATGTGACATTATGTTCGCGATGCGGAGTTTGAGGAGGATTTATGGTACTTTTCTTTATATAATTATTTTTCTTTGTGTTTTTGCAGCATGTATAAAAGATTTATAATAAAAAAAAGAGAGATGATGAAAGATTATGGATGAATTAAAGGATACTTTTTACTTGTTGAAGGAATAAGAAAAAAAAGAAAGAACACAAATCTATATAAAAGTAATTTTAAAAATGAATGGTAAAAACTCTTCTCGTCCTTTGTACGTTTAATCGTAAAAAGTGAATCATAAACACTTAAATTTATCTTTAACTAAAAGGTGAAAAAAAAATGATGATGATAACTATTTTAAACAAGATGAAAGAAAGATGATCATAAAGAGAAAGTCCATCGTTCTCTTTCTCATATTTGCATACATAATACAAGATGAAAAAAAAATGAAGCATAAGAAGAAATCATGAGAATAGTCTTTTATCGATGAGAGGTGAAAATTAGTATTGCAAGTGGTTTTTTGAACCAGACGTCACTCTAAAATGTTAATTTAAGGTGAGGATTAAATGAAATTGTCTCTTACATTGTGAAATATACTAAATTGTTTGTCTTGGACACAGTAAGAAAAGGAAGAAATGGTCGTAAACGCTAAAAAAAAACAAACTGAGCAGAAATAATATCAACACACAAGGGAAGAAGAAACATTGGAATAAATGCCCAATTTATTTTTGATTGACGACAAGACATCGCTGAAAATTCATTCTTTTTTGGATCACAATCACAGCAATATTTTGCCATCTAAGCGCGTCATCAATTTTCGCGCGCTTAGTTGGAAAATGAGGAGTGTGAATGGTAAAAAAAAAACATGGATAAAAAAATATATATTTCAGAATGAAGAATAATAGCAAAACAATGAGGAAAACAAAAAAGAACCTTTTCAATATTTGTCTGATTTTAATTTTTTGGTAATATCGCTGTTTCCATTGGTTGTAATTCTATAAAAAGAAAAAGTATATTTAAACTTAAAGAAAAAAAAAACAATTTTCAAACATAAATTTCATGATGTATAACAGAAATCAAGAATAAAATGAGAAAAACCAAGAAAACCCCCAAAAACGCTCTATTTTTCTTATTGCTTTTCACTCGCCTTTCGTGGGAATTTCTTTTTCATTTGCACACTTTTCTCTTGGGCGTGTCAGAGACGCAAAAAAAGCATATTTCATAAGTGTTTTAATGATGAGATGAGAAGGGAAAAAGGTGAGAATTTCTGATCGCATTGCGAATCCATTGCGCTCTCGAATATGAGAATTATCTGAATATTTCAGTTAAGAATAAGCCTATTTTGTAATTTGCATTTATAACACACAAGAAAAAAATCCAGTGGCGAGAGTGTCACTGAATTTGCATCGTATTATAGAAAAAAAAGGAAGAGGAAGAAGCAGAAAAAATATGGAAAGAATACTATATACTTAAAGAATATTAATTGTTATGTATTCATCTTTCGGAGATTCTATGGAAAAGACGTGATTTTTTTCGTAGAAACTTTCATTGTCATATCCAAAAAGCCCCTCTTTACACACATTCTCTCCATGGCGAATTGTCTGTAGGTATAATAATTACACATTTGAGTGAAAAAAAAACCAATGTATGTGGAAATTCTGTGGACAAACAAGAAAATACTTAAAATATTTAGTGCTCTACTGCTAAATATATTAAAAGAAAAAAAAACTTTAAAGAAATGGAAGCAATTTTTCAGAACAGCAGCAAAAAGAATATCTTCAAAATACCGCCATTAATTGAACTTTTTCTTTTCTTCGTGCAATAGATTGCAATAGAAAAGAATTTTGGCTTTTTGTTAACATAATTCAAATAAAGGTTTCTGTATGTTTATGCCATTTTAACTAGACTTGTTAATTCAGCGATTGTCAATGCAATCTCAGGAATGCAGTCGCGATGCTGCAAAGGTAAGTTATTGGATCGTTTTCAATCTTGCAAATATAAATAGTGAAAAAGCCAATAATTGCACGCAGATCAGACTTGAGCCGTGAACAATCGCTATTGAGTCTCGAACTCGATGAAAATGTTGAACGAAGATGAAAAGTTAGTCAAGCCAAGCTTTTGTAGAAGAGATCAAAGGAAGGATGAAAGCTCGTTTATTTGCGAATTCCTCAGAAATCGCAGCTTATCACAAACTGAAGAAAATAATGCATTATTTTCTATTCTGTCTACATTTTGGCTATTTTCATGATTTATAATCTATTTCAGTTTGTTCAAAGGGTTAAAGAGACTCACAAAGGACATTTTGGTAGCAGTATTTTCACAGGACATGAATTCAATCCACTTTTCTTGGTGAATCAAAGAAAATTCCGTCAAATGTGATGAAATCTTCAGAGCAACTCAACTCGTTGCACGATAAATATCCAAATTGAGTCACCGCAGTTCGCTATTTCGCAAGATCCTCAACTTCTTGCCCTGCACACAGTGCAACTCTTGCGCAACACCAAATCACTGACCTGCAATCCAGAGGAGAAGTCCACAGAAAAGGTGCAAAAAGTGTGTTCGGCCGCGGCCGTTGCGTTTGAAACTTATCATTTTGATATCGCGCAGCACGTGGCGCCCCCACTTGCTGCATCTGAGGTTGAAGGTCACCTTGATCCGTCAGTTGTGTGTGTCACCTTGACCAGCGGAGAAGAAGTGGAGTTTCTCTGGCCACGCTTTTTGGAGCTCCAGCACAGTCCAGTGAGGCATTCGCACGCGAGCTGTTGGTGCGTCAGCAGGTGTTGTTCAGCGGAGAAGAGGGATTAGTGTGTCAGTGATTGTGGAAGTGTGCAGGATGGCCGATCAGAAGCAGAGGTTTATTGAGCGGGGCTCGCACAAGGGCAAGGGCATCGCCGTGTTCACCAGCGGAGGCGATTCGCAGGGCATGAACGCGGCCGTGCGCGCTGTCGTGCGGATGGGAATCTACCTGGGATGCAAGGTGAGTTGTGGCTGAAGACTTTGTGGGCTCTCCTCACGCTCTCCGTCCTCCGGCAGGTGTACTTCATCCGTGAGGGCTACCAGGGCATGGTGGACGGCGGCGAGAACATCCAGGAGGCGAACTGGGCCTCCGTGTCGAGTATTATCCATCGCGGAGGAACTGTGATCGGTTCGGCGCGCTGCAAGGACTTCCGGGAGCGCCCCGGACGCCTGCGGGCGGCGGCGAACCTCGTGCGGCGCGGCATCACCAATCTCGTGGTCATCGGCGGCGACGGCTCCCTCACGGGCGCCAATCTCTTCCGCCAGGAGTGGACGGGGCTGCTGGATGAGCTGCTGCAGACTGGTGAGATCACGCCGGAGCAGCGACAGAAGTACGGCAGTCTGCACATCGTGGGCATGGTGGGTTCCATCGACAACGACTTCTGCGGCACGGACATGACCATCGGCACGGACTCCGCCCTGCACCGCATCATCGAGGCCATCGACGCCATCGTGAGCACGGCGTACAGCCACCAGCGCACGTTCATCATGGAAGTGATGGGCAGACACTGCGGGTGAGTCCCTCCCACATCCTCACGCTGCGCTCGCACGCACGCACATACGCGCCAGATCACCTCCCGAGAGCGACAGCCTTATCTCGCGAGAGTAACATGGAAATTGCATTTATTACAAATTCAGTTACTTGTCAGTTGTGGCGGCCGTGATATCGGAGGCGACATATGTCTTCTGCCCGGAGTCGCCGCCGCCGGTCGAGTGGCCGGAGAAGCTCTGTCAGAAGCTCCTTGGGGTAAATGCCAACAAGGCCTTTATGTGATTGATGAGCAGTTGTCCCTCTTTCATCCTGTGGCATCAGCACAGTCCCTTTGCTGACCCCAAATTAACTAATCTGCCCAATTCGATCTCTTTCCGCCCGTGAGACTAACATTTCCGAGCAATCAGCGGTTTGTCAAGGCAATTGTTGCCATGCTTATTGACTAATGAATGCGATAATGGCATTCTAGGCCCTCAAATCTATGAGACTTATCTCTAAATACCACATGTTCTGACACTTAGGGGAGAACCAGGCAGTTTGGAGCATTCACCCTTCAATAGATTAATCTAAAGACTTTTATTCAGGAGCATCGAAGAACACTTTTTGATCTTTATGTCCAGAATTTAATCTAAAATACATTTTGAATCAGATTTCAATTCCAATTAAAGTGGAACAAATTTTGCGAAATTGCCTAAATTTTCACTACAGCCGAATTGATAATATAAAAGCTCAGGATTAATTTGTCATCTGATTAATTATAGATATGGCTTGGCGCCCGGCGTTAAAGTGGTGCTAAATAAATTACCGTGTTGTTTATGCTAAATTTACCGTCACTAGCGCAGTTCAATTAGGCGTGGTAATATTCATTGAAGGGCCTGGCAAATTTGGCCAATTGCTTATTTAGGGAGTTCAATGGCCCCAAAGCTTATCGACTTGATAAACCGCTGAGTGTGCAGTAAAATTATGCCTATAAATAGCTACTTGGCACTTGTTGCTGGACTCTCCGTCGAGGCGGACTTTATCTTCATCCCGGAAGATCCACCGGGCGCCGACTGGAATTCCCTGCTCTGCCGGCGATTGTCCCAGGCAAGAAAGGGAAAGAGAGAGGGAGAGATGACGGCTTGGTGGCGGGAAGCATTTTGTGTATTTCATCACCTTCCGCACGCACTTTTTGTGTGTTAGAAGTTAGAGCATCGTGATATGTTCATATTGAGTTCTTTTCTAGTTACTTGGCCGTTGTCGCCGCTCTGGCCAGTGAGGCTGACTACGTGTTTATCCCTGAAGATCCCGCTGTGCAAAATTGGCCAGAGAAATTGTGTAATAAACTCCTTCAGGTATTCACATCTTTTCCGTGTGTGTGTTTTCTGTTTCTCCTTCTCATTCATTTTGTCATGTCAATTGCTTGCATCGTGTTTGGCTTGCGAGCTTTCAGTCCTTGCTCACATGGGTGTGTATGTTGTTTTAGGAGCGCAACGCCGGCCAGCGCCTGAACATCATCATCGTGGCCGAGGGTGCGATCGACAGGGATGGACGTCCGATCACGGCGGAGAATGTGCGTCAAGTGGTGGTGGATCAGCTGCAGCAGGACACGAGGATCACTGTCCTTGGTCACGTGCAGCGCGGAGGAAATCCCAGTGCTTTCGACCGAGTTTTGGTACAATCCCACACTCCAGCGCCTTGTCACTCTCACTCACCATCTCTTCTCCGCAGGGCTGCCGGATGGGAGCTGAAGCTGTTCTCGCTCTGATGGAGGCTACTGACGAGACGGAGGCTTGCGTCGTCTCGCTCGACGGCAACCAGGCTGTACGGGTGCCGCTAATGGAGTGCGTGGAGAGGACAAAAGCCGTGGCGAGCGCCATGGCAGAGAAGAAGTGGTCTCTGGCCGTGGAGCTGCGAGGACGCTCTTTTGCCCGTAATCTGGAGACTTACAAGATGCTGACGCGTCTAAAGCCACCGAAAGACGCCTTCGATGCTTCGGGCAAAGGAATTGTAAGTTTAGAATGCACATTTTGATAAGCATTTCCTCACATTTCAATCACTTTGCAAGCGTCTTTCCGGAATTAAAAATGTAAGTCTCTATGCACACTTGCAAGAAGGCACTTTTTTTCTAAATTTCAATCACTCTTTTCCATCACAATAAATAGAATACACGTTGGGCGATGGTGAATGAGCGGGTAAAATCTAATGTTTTACCAATAAGCAGAGAGCGGAGCGGTTTTGTAGTTTTCACACTTTTGACTGGAAAATCAAGGAAATAAAGCTTCTCATGTTGATTAACAGTTTTGAGGAAAATTGCCCCGCTCTCTTGTATTGCAAAATACATGGATAATCCTCTCATTTCTCCTTTTTCGTCCTTTCAGGAGGGCTACACGCTGGCAGTGATGCACATCGGCGCTCCGGCTTGCGGAATGAACGCTGCCGTGAGATCTTTCGTGCGCAACTGCATCTACCGCGGCGACACAGTGCTGGGCATTCACGATGGCGTTGAGGGATTGATTGCCGGGAATATCAGGAAGATGGAGTGGAGCGATGTGACTGGCTGGGTGGGCCAGGGAGGCGCTTTTCTGGGCACCAAGCGAACCCTTCCCGACGGCAAGTATGAAGCCATCGCGGCGAAGCTCAAGGAGTTCAAGATTCAGGGACTGCTGATCATTGGCGGCTTCGAGGCATATCATGCATGTGAGTTTCTGCACTCTTGTAGAATTAATTGGACTGATCTGATGGCGCTTTTGCTCCCTTCAGGTGGACAATTGGTGGACCAGAGGAAGAACTATCCCGAATTTTGTATCCCACTCGTGGTGATACCATCGACGATATCGAATAACGTGCCAGGAACTGAGTTCTCGCTGGGCTGTGATACTGGCCTCAATGAGATCACCGAGATTTGCGATCGCATCCGTCAGTCGGCGCAGGGCACAAAGCGTCGTGTGTTCGTGATTGAGACGATGGGCGGCTACTGTGGCTATCTGGCCACTCTGGCGGGCCTCGCGGGTGGCGCAGACGCTGCCTATATCTATGAGGAGCGCTTCTCGATCAAGGATCTGCAGCAGGACGTCTATCACATGGCGTCGAAGATGGCTGACGGCGTGCAGAGAGGCCTGATCTTGCGCAATGAGAAAGCCTCCGAGAACTACAACACGGACTTCATCTATCGCTTGTATTCGGAGGAGGGAAAGGGCCTCTTCTCCACCAGGATGAACGTGCTGGGGCACATGCAGCAGGGCGGCTCGCCGACGCCTTTCGACCGCAACATGGGCACGAAGATGGCGGCCAAGTGTGTGGAGTGGCTGGTGGACCAGTTGAGGGTCAACACACAGCCTGACGGGACAATCGTAGCCACAAGCCATGACTCTGCGTGTCTTCTGGGACTCGTGAGGCGTCAGTATCGCTTCACGCCACTGCACGAACTGATCGCCGAGACGAACTTTGAGTGAGACGCTTCGAAAGACTTAAGGCTGAGCTTAACATTAATTTGATCTCACTTCCCTTTGCAGTCAACGCATCCCGAAGACGCAATGGTGGCTGAAACTGCGTCCCTTGCTGAGAATCCTTGCCAAGCACGATTCGACGTACGAGGAGGAGGGATTGTACATCACAGTGGAGGAGGAGTGTTCTACCGATACGGCTGTTATCTAAGCCACATGCAGTAAAGCCCAAAGGGTATTTTATTAGATGAAATGTGAAAGTTTAGCGTATTGGATGTGTTTATTTTTTCAATTGATTTGTTAAACTTTTAGAGTGTGTTTCGACTCTGAAACTATCACGAGGACGTGTTAGTTTCGAGAACCAGTGTTATATCGCTTCTAAGTATTATTTGCCCATTGGCTTTGAAGGGCTTTAAAGTTTAAAAGGACACATACAATAAATTATTGTTGATCGAGTATATATTTCTCTCAGTGTTATTGTTTTGACTATTCGCCGATGTTGGCAGCACTGAGTGTGTTGCTGAGCGAAACGTCATAACAAGAGAAGAGTGCATCGCTCTTGGCCGGCAGTTTTCCGGGGTTTCCTGTGGTATTTTCGGGATAAAGTGCGTGCGAGGAAGGACAGAGCTGCTCCGCAGACATGGCTAATCAGTATCCGGGTGGTTTCGGGAACCAGAACCGCGGGAACTTCGGGAATCAGATGGTTCCTATGAGCATGGCGGGCGGAGTGGGTCCCGGCGGCACGGCCAACGGGGCGGGCGGCCAGATGGGCGGCATGATGTACAGCCAGGGCATGATGCAGAGTCCGCAGCAGCAGCAGATCCCCACCACGGCCGTGAGCATGGGTGCCGCCGCGAACCCGGCGATGGGCATGCAAGCGGGCCCGGGAATGCAGAGTCCGTCGCACGTGAGCCAGCAGCAGGGCGTGCAGCAGGCCGCCATGCAGCAGCAAGTGGCCACGCAGCAGCAGGCACAGAACGCCATGAACCCCACCGCCACCTCGGGCGCCGGGAGTGGCACAATGATGAGCCAGGGCTCTGCTCCCGGCCAGGGGCAGTTCAACATCGTGAGTCTGTGCAAGTTCGGCCAGGAGACAGTGCAGGACATCGTGAGTCGCTTCCAGGAGGTCTTCCAGGCGCTGCGGGTGTCGACGCCGCCCAACGGCACCACAGCCGGCAGCACTGAGAAGAAAGTGCAGGAGCAATTCCGAACGATCCGGCTCCTCTTCAAGCGCGTCCGCATCCTCTACGACAAGTGCAACGACAGCTGCCAGCAGGGGATGGAGTACACGCATGTGGAGAGCCTGATTCCGCTCAAGGACGAACCGGACCACAAGCCGCAAGTGGCGCAGAGCGAGGAGTACCAGAAGGCGCTGCAGGACAACCGCGAGCTGCTCGAGACGGTGATGCTGAAGAACAAGCAGCTGCGCGAGGTGATCGACAGAATCCGCATCATCATCTGGGAGATCAACACGATGCTCAGCATGAGGAAGTCATAGACGTTGCCGAAGGCGAGGCTCTGGGCGCACTGAGTAATCGACGAGGAGGAGTTCGACTGCTGATAAGACTCGATGGTCAGTGAAGGGGTTCCTCAGTCCGCAATTCCACTGCAGAGACAACAGGTGACTAGAGAAATTCAAGTTCTATTTATTTTAATGCGATCTAAAGCAGAATCTTCACTTTGCAAATACAATTATTGAATAAAATACAAGAGAGAAATTGATATGGCTTTCCAACCAGCGCCACAAGGGAGAAACTTGTGAACTTTTCATGTTGGCAAGAGTTGATCTTCGAATTGATCTTTCTTTATTTTTCTGCACGTGATTTTTCTGAAAATCAATGAAGTCATCAGAATTATGAATGATACGCAGTGAGTGATTTTGTAGTAATTTTGAGGCCTAGGCGAGTTAATACGTCAATTGAACAAACTATCTCTGCTTGTCAGTGCATAATTTCGAAATTAATGGTGATTATAAACACACAGCGATATAATTAAACTCATTCCGTCTGGTGAACTTGGACGAAATAGCAGTGTGAATCAATCAAGACACTTTTTAGCGGCTTAAACTAGTTGTTTGTTATTATGGGCAATTTACCTGACATGATTACTTGCTTCTTTAATTACCATTTGTTCAGCTACCAATGCGAATGAGTCTGAATGAATTGCAGAGAATTCTCTACTTTGAGTTTTTGTGTCTAGAGCAGCAGAATTGACTTAACATTGCTGATGGTGATAAACCTCTTCTGCAGATATTTCCGCGTTTGATACCGATTTTGTGAGTTTTGCGATAAGACTTTCACTCACTTCTGAGGCACGAGTGCATTGGAGAATTGAGCGGAAAAGGGTGTTGTTCTTGTGACGAAGAGTGCAATGGATCAGCTTGAGGATGGTGGCGGAAGTCCGTACGCCAGAAGATTTCCAAATGTGGACAAGTTCACCTTCGAGTTGCGCGCAGAAGACGAAATCCATAAACTTGATCTTGAGCAGCGTTTTACGCTGCGCAAATCGTTCCAATCCGCGCCCAACAGTCCGTACGCAAAGCGTCGCAACCAGGAGGAGGCCGGGATTGAGTTGCAGGATGTGCAAGTGGAGCAGAAGCCTGAGAGTGTGAGTTCAGAGGAGGATCTGGACACAGTGCAGATGGATGGAGAGTCTCATCAGCTGCCCGTGGCGCTCGTGCGGCGGCCGAGCATGCAGAGTCTGCGACAGCGGCGGGATCCTCTCTACCAAGGCACCAGATCCAGGCGGACGAAGAGAGTGATTCACAGGAATGGCAAGACGAACGTGACCTTCCATAATATTCCTCAGCGATCGGCGCGATTCTTCAAGGATTTCGTGACGACGCTGGTGAGTTATCAGCGCTGCTTTCGTCTCTTATCGGATTCGTGATGGATTTTCGCTTGCAGATTGAGGAGCAGTGGCGCTACACCTTGGCTCTCTTCGCCTTCACCTTCTTCTTCTGCTGGATCCTCTTCGCGATGCTATGGTACTTGATAGCCTACGCCCACGGAGACCTCAGCTTCGATCCGGAGACCGGGGAGCGCCTAGGCGACGGGGAGAGGCCGTGCATCATGGAAGCCACTTGCATGGCCTCGTTCCTGCTGTTCAGCATTGAGACTCAGGTGGGCATCGGCTTCGGCACGCGCTTCCCCACTGAGGAGTGCCCTGAGGCGCTCTTCTTGATGGTCGTGCAGCTGATCCTCAGCGTGGCCATCGAGGGCGCCATGGTGGGCATCGTGTACGCCAAGATGGTGCGCCCCACGAAGGCGAGCTCAGTGGAGCTCAAGTTCAGCCGCAAGGCTGTGATCTGCTGCCACGACGGCAAGCTGTGCCTCATGTTCCGCGTGTGCGACACACAAGAGAGCCACGTGATCGGGACGACGATAAAGGGCTTCTGGCTGGAAGCGGGGAAGTCTCGAGAGCACACTCTGGCTCTGGAGGACTTGGGCCATCTCTTCCTCATCTGGCCAACGACAGTTGTGCACGTGATTGACGCGAAGAGCCCACTGTACGATGTCTCTGCACGGGATCTGCTGAACAAGCACTTCGAGATCGTGGTCACAATGACGGGCGGATGTCGGTCCACGGGACAGCTGACACAGACGCGCACTTCGTACCTGCCCAGGGACATTCTCTGGGGCCACAAGTTCGACCACCTGCTGACCTACAGCCACGAGAGTGAGGCTTACGTGGCGGATTACGAGAAATTCGACTCGCTGACCCAGATCGACACTCCTCTGTGCAGCGCCAGGCGTCTCGAGGAGATCTTCGCCGAGGTCACCAACATGATGCATCACGATTTTTACGCCAGCCATAGCCATATCCGGCGCATCAGCGAGGGATCGTGGGAGGGCAGCGAAGACTCCCCGCCGATCATGTTCGACGCCGCACGCCACAATTCGCATCCTGATTTGAAGAGCATCTAATTGTGGGGCAATTAGACAATTTACACAAGTCTTTCGGTAATTTACTAGCGACAGCGAGCAAATAACGCCTGAGGCCATTCGACAGAGAGACACTGGGTAATTGAGTTTATTTGCCCAGGGCGATGATGAAGTATTCATGACTGGGATTATAGAGAGAGAGAGGATCACTTGTGAGTGCATTGTAATAAAGCATTGAGAGAGAAAACCTACGTATACTGCCCCGCTCTCCCCTATCGCACATCACTTAATTTGAGCTCATATTTGATCACCTTATCGCAGGATCTCGAAGAAAGCCCAGTAGTTAGTCATGTTTGAACTTGTTACTCGAGTCAGCGTGTCTATTGGCAAACAGGGAAAATGCGTTGCCAAATGCGACTCTGGCCGGAGTTGCGGAGATTGGGAAAGCGCCTCGAGAGTGCAGAGAGCAACGAATGTTCGCCACAATCAGTCGGTGATCCACACTCGAGGCAGTGCCTCGGAGATGTTGCGCGGGAAGAACACGAGAATCTACGAGAAGAACGGCGGGAAGAACATCCGGCACAGGAATGTGTCCAGGCGATCCGTGAAGTTCGCGAAGGACTTCGCCACCACGCTAATCGAGGGCAGGTGGCGATACACGCTGGTGATCTTCGCAGTGAGCTTCGTGGGCTCCTGGGCGTTCTTCGCCCTGCTGTGGCAGCTGATTGCGCAGGCGCACGGTGATCTGGACTTCGACGAGACAGGACGGCGCCTGAACGAGGGCACGCCGACGTGCCTGCGAGGAGCGAGCGACTACGCGGGATTCTTCCTGCTGAGCCTCGAGACGCAGGTGACGACGGGATATGGTGAGAAGTACCCGAACGAGGAGTGCCCAGAGGCGATTTTCCTGCTGATGCTGCAGATGTTCATCGGCGTGGTGATCGAGGGTGCGATGGTGGGCGTGGTGTATGCCAAACTAACGCGTCCTCCTCGCCACGCTGGCGATCTGGTCTTCACGCGGAACTGTGTGATATGCCTGCGCGACGGGGTGTTCTGCCTTCTGTTCAGGATCTCCAATGCTGCCCAGCATCAGGAGATTAATTCGCGCGTTGAGGCGATTCTGTGCGAAAAGAACGTCGACGGTGAGACTCTGAGTCACAAATTGGAGTTGGAAAATGACGGGAATATAACGCTCTTTCTGCCCTACGTCGTCTCCCACGCCATCACTGAGGGGAGTCCTCTCTACGGATACTCAGCCGCTGATCTGTTGCAGGCGAACATCGAGATCCTCGTCACTCTCACTGGCAGCTCCAAGGCGACCGGCATGACCACCCAAGCGAGGACTTCCTATGTGCCCAGCGAGATCCTCTGGGGATACCGCTTCACCAACATCATCCACTACGACCATCAGTTGCAATCGTACGTGATCGATGGCGAGGAGTTCAATGTCGTGAAGCGCGTGAACACTCCGTTCTGCAGTGCCAAGCGCCTCTCAAAGGCCAACGAGATGCAGCAGAAGGATTTGAGGGCGAGGAGACGAGCCCAGGACACTGGGAAATCGTGCTGCAGCAAGTACAGCCTGCAGATGGACATGCAAGTGGCGGAAATCGCCGTGGATGACTTCAAGAAAAGCTATGGAGCTGCTGGCCAATTTGAAACTCAATCCTGGGCCGGAGTAATCGACGGTGATCTGAAGGATCTGTAAATGCTCGCAATAAAGAAGTGTTTAATATTTCCACTAGATTCAGATTATGGGGACCACGCCTCTTTGGAAGCTCCGCCCTTTTAAAAAACCGACTTAATTTCCTGCGTAACAATATTTAATATTCAACGTAATCTAAGCACTATTCACATTAGCCAATTTGCACAACAAAATATCAAAAACACAGCAAGTCATTATCCATCAAATCTGTTTTTCATCGCCGCCAATTGCGCCTTCAGACGTTCATTTTCGTCCTGCAGCCGCGTGGAGTCGCTAATAAGGTTCATCAGCATTCCCAGGCCTCTGGCATTGTCTTCCACTTTCTCCTCCAACTTGTGAAAGAGGTCCTCAATCAAGCGGTTCTGATTCTGCCACAGACTGAACATCTCTCCGTATGTGTGCCACTTGAGCGTGTTCATCTCCCACTTCAGCTCGTGCTCTGTTCTCTTGACCATCTTGGCAACTTCCTCAACAACATTGTCCGCCGTGATGGCGAGAGAAGCGGCGCTTTCTTGCGCTGCCTTGGGCGTGCTGTTGCGATAGTCCGGCAGGGGATTTAAGAAGTTAAGCGGAGAATCCACTTCCGCAGCTGCATTCCTGACCACCATGAGATTATCCTGGCCATTGGCTTCCTCGCTCTCTTCAATTTCCTTGACATCGGAGAGTTTTGGTTCTGCATTCACTGAACTTCTCTTCTTCCTCAGCGTGACGCGTGATAAATCCTTCTCCGCCTCTTCCGATCTGCGCGATCTCGAGTGACTGGTTTCGTGCTCCACTGAACTGTCGAGCAATTGCGGTGTGTTCGGCATCGTGTCCATGCGATCCATGAGGAAGTCCAGCACACTATCTCGGCGTCCCTTGTCCACTGAGGCTCGATTTTGAGTGATGGTCGGCACCAGGCTGAACACATCCACGGAATCATTCAGAGACTCGCCATCCGCCTCTCCGGAGCTCTCTTCTGGGGGTTCAGAGACTGACGAAGTGGTGGGAAAGTCCACTTCCATCTTCTCTGATGGCACAAAAGTCAGTCGGTTGACGAGATTCTCATGCGCTCGAACAGTTGCGAGGGTTTTGCCCATGTTGCGCACGTCGAACGTCAGGATCTCGCCCTTCAGATTGCCCACCACACACTCCATGGACGTGGGCGAGAGCGCAATGGCGGAGAGAGGATGCTCAGTCCTCAGCTGCTGCGCCACAGTCTTCTTCCGCGTGTCGTACACGTTGACGTAACAGTCGTAGCCGACAGAGAAGAGGCAGGTGTCGTTGATGCTGGACATCGCAACGTCCCGGCAGGGACACGTGTGTGCTCGCTCGATGTGAAATACCTTCTTCTTCACCTGGGCATCGTAGATCGTGACGCTGCCCAGGAAGGAAGTCACCACGAGCTGGAATCTCTTCAGGGGATGGAATCTGGCAAAGGTGGAGCTGCAGAAGACAAGACAATGACCAAGGATACTGGGCAATTAGCTGTCTTCATACTCACTTCTCGTCGATGTTGAAGGAATCCACTTCGGTAAAGCTCCTCATCCCGAACAGCTTCACTTTGCCAGACTGTGCAATGGTCGCAAGATATTTGTCTGTTGAGCTGAAGTCCATGTGCAGGATGCTGTTGTTGGGCCCATCCGGGGAGAATCGATAAGCCACCTCTGCCGTTTTGTAGTTGAGGAGGCGCGTGTGACCTGTGGAGCATCCCAGAGCCACATATTCCAGGCTGCTCTTAGGACAGGCGACGCAGCGAAGACTTTCCGTTCGGATGCGCTTCACCTGCGAGATTTTCGCTGAAAGACAATCAGAATTAGAGCGCTGATCTACAAATTGCTTTCTGCGTGCATACTACGGCCTTCTTGAGACTTCACGGACAAGTATTCCACAGCCGGCGCCTGAGGATTCGATGCAATGAAAAACTTGCTCTTTCGGAAGAACTGGAAATCGTAATAACCCTTCTCCAGGCCACCAAATGACGACACTGTGGCTAGGCTCGGGAAGCTGTGTACCTGGAAGGATTTTCCGCAGGAAATTAACTCCATTTTCGTGGAAAATCACACAAAAATCACGATGCGCCGTTATGATGCCAGTCTGCTGCCGCTTTTTGATGTAAAGTGCAGGGCTGCCAACAGCGGCGAATCGACTGGAATATTTTTCCACTGTTTTCGTAACACAAAAAAAGCCAAAAGAACACATTTGTAATCACCGGAAATCAGTGAATATTGCCTCAAATACGCAAAATTATCAGCAAAAAGTGAAATATGTACGCAGAAGAGGTGTTGTAAAATATTATTCCAGTGGCAGATTTTCGACCAGTTTCCAAGCGGTAAATCAACATGGCAAATGTAACGATTTTTCGCTTGTCAATAATTGTTTTGTCAATGGCTGCTGCCATATTACAAGACTGAAAATTTCTCTGCATTAAATTTGCAAAAGTGTAGTAAAATACCAAGTTTGGTGGAATTGTGAGACTGCAAGATTACTCACAGAGTGTCTTGGCAGGGCGTGACACTCGAGTTTGATAGGTTATCGAGGTAAATTCACAGGAAAAGTGGAAGGAAAGTTTGTGGGTGTCCCTGAAGGAGGGTCGCCTCAATGAAGTGAACATTATAGGCGTGTGCCTGCTGAAAAGGTGTTGCAAAGTGTTGCAGAATGGGAAAGAGGAAGACTGATCGCGCTGGCCACTCGGAGAGATCGCGGAAAGTGGCTAGATGCGAGAGAAGCGAGGACGAAGAGAGCTCTTCCTCCGCCCCTAATGACGATCCGCTGGTTGGCACCATTTTGGAGGACATCAATTTGAAGAAGTGGAAAATCGGAAAGCCCATCGGTGAGTTGGGGCCTCCTGGTGTGCAGGAGGGTGGTTTTGGTGGCACAAAGGGTTGAAAATTCTGGGAAAATGCATATTTTATCGATGGATAGCGATATCGAATGGATTTCCCCTTCTCTACCGGTTCCCGGTTGACACTCGAATACCCGATTCCTCAAAGTTTGTTTATATTTCGAGCTAACGGTTTTCCCATAACAGCTGTTTTCTTATCACACTCACTTGAAACGCTCTTTCTCCACAGATAAGGGCAGCTTCGGTCAGATCTATCTGGCGTCTGAGGAGATCTTCAAGTCTGTCACTGATGCCAATGCCAAGTACGTGGTGAAGATTGAGCCTCACACGAACGGGCCGCTCTTTGTGGAGATTCACTGCCTGATGAACGCCGGAAGGTGCACTCAAGAGGGCCAAGCGCTGCCCGCCGGGATGCCAAAGTACATCGCATCGGGATCTCATGTGCTCAGCCGGACGCGCTATCGCTTCCTGATTCTCGAGCGCTACACATTCAATCTGCACTCGATCCTGAAGGAGCACCACGTGATAGACCAGAAGAACATCCTCGTGATCGCGTGCCAGATCCTGGACATTCTGCAGCATTTACATGACACCGGCTATGCGCACTCGGACATCAAGGCGGAGAACCTGATGATCGGGAAGGAGGTGAAGACTGTGCGCAACTTGCGCGGCACGAACGAAAATCACCCCAACGGAGTGTTCAATGATGACTGCGAGGACTTCCGGTCGCTGCGCAGGGCTGAGAAGATCACATACAACCGCCTCACGCGCCGACTGAGACCGCTGAAGAGCATCAACTACTGCGTGGACGATTCCGACTCGGACAGCGCGTCCAACTTCTCCGATGACATCGACGAGGAGTTCCTGGAGGTGCGCAAGATGCACAGGACGCCGGCCAAGAAGAGTTCCGCCACGACAATCACCGTGGATCGGATCTACTTGATAGACTTTGGCCTGGCGTCGAAGTTCCTGGACGCTCAGGGTGTTCACAGGCCATTCTGCATCGACCAGCGACGCGCTCACGATGGCACACTTGAGTTCACATCGCGCGATGCTCACATGGGCGCCCACTCGCGGCGCAGCGATCTCGAGTGCTTGGGCTACAATCTGGTATACTGGAGCGAGGGCTTTCTGCCGTGGAAGCTGGATCCGGACATGAATCAGCAGCAGAATCTGGAGAGAGTGCACCACATGAAGGAGCACTTCATGATGAACGTGCCGACGATGCTGGAGCATGTGTATGGGAAGAGCGTGCCGAAATATCTGGGCACTTATTTGACTTACGTGGGCAACCTGATGTACTGCGAGCAGCCGGACTACGGCCACTGCCGTAAGATCTTCATGGATGAGTACAGGCGACTCGGTGGCGCGGAGCTGCAGCTGAATCTGAGCGAGATGCGCTCCTCGAAGGCGTTCGAGGGCAGTCGCGTGGCCAAGGTGATTGAGGGGAAGATTCGCGACTACAAGCAGCGCCAGGAGGTGGGCTTGAAGGAGACACCGTCGGTGCATCTGAAGAATCTGCGCTCGAAGAAGGCCGCCCATGAGGAGAAGAATCACGACAAGAGCTACACGTGGACGGACATCGTGAACACGGATCCGGATTTGGTGGTGAAGGACAGAACTGACAGAGAATTTAGCATTAATGAGGAGATGTCCACGCCGAGTGTCCACAAGTACAGAGGACGTCCCACCTATGCCATCATGGAGATGGAGAGGAAGATCTTCGAGCGGTCTGTCTGCAATGACACCTTCAACGGTTCGCTCTTGAATGTGACGCAGAAGGGTGGAAAGCGCTTGACTGAGGTGTCGAAGGCACCAGCTGTGGATGTGCTGCCGGCCAGTGTGCGCGTGAAGCGGCGAAAGTCCGGCCTGCGAACGGTGATCAAGCCAACGCGGAAGAGTCTGCTGATTGTGGGCGAAATTGGTGGGCTGAAGCGCAGAGGACGCGGCAGACCGAGAAAGAAGTTGAGGCAGATTCTGGAGCAGCAGAAGGGCAAGGTGACGCCGCCCAAGAGGCCAGCGACCAGGAGCATCCTGAAGCGAATGGAAGATCTCGTGACTATTAAGGGTAAGAGGAAAATGCGAGTCTTATAACAATTTTCGTGTGATGCAGCATTGTTGAATGACTGGTGCGCGCTTCAGTGTCACTGAAATGCTTTCATTTCAACGCAATTATGTGAAATCATTTGTCCAATCGAGTGCCAAATGATAAGAAATTATTCAATTTTAATTGATTTCCTGTTGATATTTTCGGTCTCAAAGGAAGAAGTTATCAGTCTGTAGATTGTGTGAGTAAATTGGTTTCTTTTCTGATTCATTGCACAGGTTCAGGCACTGAGAAGAGACCTACTTATCGAGGGTAGAGAGAGAGATGAAGGAGGAGACGAAGGAGTGTTATTACCACAAGTGAACGACAGAACAAACTACATGATTCACATGAAATGAGGACAGTAAGATTGGATTCTAGTAAGAAATTGTAGAATTTAACGTAAGAGCGGAAGGTGTAGAATCTTTACTTTATCCCTGTATTTCTTCATTCCCAATGCCACACATACACACATAATTGTACGTCCTGGAGGGCAATGAAGAATTAAGATACGAATAGATTCAGTGAGAAAGCTTTATGTGAACACTTGATGAGAGGCCACGCAGACTCTTCAGCATTAGAATGTGAGGATGGAAACTCATTTCATGATTTGTTTCTTATTGTCGGATTTTAGCTTCCTTTTTTTGGAGAATAAAACTTTAAAGAGATAAAGTGAAAAAGAGTGTGTACAAACGCCTAGATTGCCTCTTCATTTATTCTGCTGCTCGCGCAGATACAATTGCGGGGGGGGGAGGGAGAGATGCTGGGGAGCGGCGGATGGGCGGCCGGCTTAGACGCCGGTATTCTGCTGGATCCAGTTCCTGTACGGGCTCACGCGCACGAAGGCGCCGGGGCTGTTGGCCTGGCAGTTGGGATTGGTGAAGCTGGCCAGACCCACGACGACGGTCTGGAAGCGAACCATGCCGACCAGCGCTGTGCCCTGATCTCCGCCGCAGAAGGTGCTCTGGGCGGCGTCCAGGCCACAGAAGTTGTTGTTGAGGAAGCTGCCGAGGTGCGGGTAAGTCTGAGCGCAGACCTGATCGGTGGTGACGCGCTTGAAGCCCATGAGGAGCTGGTCGGAGAAGGGACCGGTGGGGCCGGTGAAGCCGAAGCCGTTGAAGCGGCACTCCTCGTTGGCGAAGGGCACCTGTGTGTCCTGGGCCGTGGGCATGGCGATGGCCTGGATGTTCATCGTGGGATTGAAGGGCTGCATCACCGTGATGATGGCGATGTTGTTGTTCAGCGTGTTGTGGTCGAATTGCGGATGGGCGAGAGCTTGAGTGGTTTGGCGCCACTCCAGCTGATTGCGATTCACATTTCCGGCTCCGACTTCCCAATGACCGAAGCTGCAGAGATTGAGAGATGGATTCTGCGCGTCTTTCCACCACTGCGTTTTGTCCTTTTTCTACTTACGTTCGCACATTCTGGGCGGTGGTGAGAACGTGAGTCATGGAGATGAGACAACCGCTGCCGACGCGCGCCTGTCCAGCCTGATTCTGCCTGATCAGGATGTGAACGTGATAAGGAGCCGATCCGGGAGTCGCCTGCTGGCCATTGATCACGCGATGCGAGATCGACGGATTGGCCTTCGCGGGAAAGCACACAATTTTAGTCAGGTAAATCCTCGACGAAAGCTGAAATGGGCACAAATTACCTGGACGCTGAGAGCGAAGACGAGGAGGAGCACAGGTGAGTACTTCATGGTGTAACTTTTCTCAACAAACTAGCATTGCTTGTGGATCGCGATGGTGTCTTTTATAGGTGAATTTCGGTGCCGTGACACTGATTGACTCGCACAGTTAATTAATAAAAAAGAGACCGTCCGGCAATCTTGATAGCGATAGTGGCAAAAGAATTACATAAATTGACCATCATTCATCGAAGGTTCTTTGAATCGCCCCAAGTTGACGCACTCCAAAACACCTGAGATACAACTCCGACGATAAAAGGAAGAAAATGCACGTCATTTCTCCGATATTCCTGTTTGTTCCACAAATCAACTAATAGATAGATTAATACAGGTTTTAGGCCATCCTCAGCATGACGCCACAACAGGGCAGAACAGTTCTATCATAACATATCAAAGTCCAAAAGGGATTAACCTCAGTGAGAATAGGAAAATAAACAGATTCATCTTCATGGCGAAGGTGCGCCCTAATCCGAAAGGCAAAGCCATGCAAATTGATTGATACTTTATCAGTACAAAAGAAATGATTCAGTGTATTAATTCCATTCCACATTTTTTCTCTCTCTCTCTCTCTTTCTCTCATCAAGTTACACTTTTCTTCGCATCATTCATCTCCCCCTTATTTTTTTTCCATTACAAAAGAGACAAAAAAAAGAAAACAAATTATTAGCCACTGATTACAAATCAGCGACACTATCCATTAATAGTAAAGACAGAAAGGAGATAAAAATGAAAATATCTTTCACGTCACTAACATAAATAAATTGTCCACTTTGATTTAATGAGGCGCCTGTGGTGAAAGATGGATTGTGTGTGATTTACTGCAGACCGAGATAACTAGAATTGCAGGAAAATATCAATTTCTTCTTTTCGCTAAATCCTCTCGCCGCCCTCTTCCGGCGTCGTCGCACGCGCTTTAGTCGCCTTTTCGCTTGCACGACGTGCACGGATTGCAATTCTGATCCTCTCTGCTGTGTGCATTCTTCTTCTCAGGTGGATTCTCTTTTGTACACATCGAGCAGTATTCGTCCTTGGCGTTCTCCTCCTCGGAATCAGAGAAGGATTCCTGCAATGCCAACAAGAGAAGAATATCAGTAAGTTTTTATGGCAAAGAGTAACAACAAACATTAAATTCCTTCCAATAAGAAAGAAAAGAAGCGAGATTTTGTGTTCAAAATTGCATTTTTCAGTCCATGAAACGAGATATCTTTGCTCTTATATGAAAAGAATGCCTTGTATAGATATTCTAATAAGATACTTCAAAAACTGCCAATTAGACTGCAATAAGAACACATTCAATCTTCAGAAATTCAAGTTTTTGTCGAGATAATTAACTATGAAAAAGTCAGAAAGTAATTTCTTCCCTCCAATTTCTAATTTGAATTATTTTTCTCTTCAATTCTGGGCTAATTTCAATGAGTTTTACGTAAACATTAACCCCAAAAACACACTGACTTTTATTACTCATGCACTTTGCCTTCACTGGCGCAAAAATTAATCTTAATTGACTTAATTGCACGTTTGTCAGCGAATGCATAAATTAATTTCTCTCGCTTCTTCTCCTATTTGATTTATAGTCAAATTCGCCCACTCACACTCGATGCCATTGAACTGGTATCTGATCCTGAATCCGATGAGCTCTCGGACGAGCTCACGACAGGCTCCTTCTTGTGATTCACCAAGCACTCGAACGGATTCTCGCCGTCCAGTGGCCTCGCCGTCTTGAGCGGGTAATAGATGAGACTCGCCGGCGTGTAGGACTCCCACTGTGTCGAATACTGTCCTGGTATCAGCTCCACCGGATAGGCCGTCGCCGCGGGATCCGAGAAGACGGGCGCCGGCGGCTTCTTGCGCCTCGGAATATTGATAATGTAGCTCTGCAGATCGATACAGCCCACCCGGTTCTCATTCCGCCTGCAAAACGCACAAACCAATTAATCTTCCGCGCGCTCTCAATTAATGCTTTTTTCACCACTCACATTTTGTTGAACTTCGTATTCCACGATGCCGTAGACTTGAGCGCTTTCTCGTGCACCGTCGCCTTGTCCACCTCCGTCTTCACGCCCTTCTGCTGCTTGCTGCTGGAATCCTTGAGCTGCCTCTCGCGATGGTACTTCTTGTACTCCTCGTACTTGTCATTGAAGTCCTGGTACATTATGTCCAGCACATCCACCGCATAGACAGCTGTTAGGCCCAAGTTGGACATCTTCTCCGACACCAGCTTCTTCTCCACCAAATAATTCCGCTCCTCCATCTCCACTGGGCGCCTGTACAAGTAAGGATATTTGCGCTTGAAGCTCTTCACGCCGAGATGCTCAGCTATTTGCTCCTGGAGCATGTAAGTGTCGCGGTTCTTGTTCGGACAGCAACCCACCGGCGGCGGCCAGTCATATTCCGCCAGCATATCGACCGTGAACTCCGTTCTGCGGGCGAAAAGAACAACAACCATCAGCAGAGGTTTCAGCAAGAAAGTCAGATGGTTAGATACTTGCCCTCCCTCCTCGTTGACCTCCATTCTCCCTCGCGACTTCTTCGTGATGGTCTTGTTACTGCTGTCCTCACCGACACTCGATGAGTCCATTGTCTTCTGCGAGTTGGTTTGGATGATCTTCGGAGTTGCCGATTGTTTCCTGCAAACACACAACAGACAATTAGCATCTCAACCATCTGCCCAGATGTGTCTCGCAGTACTTTGTGGATGTTGTAGGAATTTCTCCGCTCATTCGCGTGTCCTCCTCAAACAGTTGAATTGAATTATTTAGCGTCTCTTGGAGCATCTTCTGCCTAAAGTATTTGTTCTGCAAGCACAAAAAAGACAGTGAGAAATTGGCCAGGAAGATATTTGCTGATCGCAGCAAACTCACTTTGTTAAATTTCTGCCTAGCTGGAGGTTTCGATGTTTGTACTTTAGCCGGCGCCACGGGGGTCCTCTTCACGCGTTTCTTCCGCACCTTCCGCGTGGGACTCGGACTCCGCTGGTGATTGGTCGTGGAGTCCGCCACGACGGCCACCGCTGGCGGCTCCTCCGGCAGCGGATGCTTCCTAGGACGCCCGCGGCGTCGCTTCACCGGCACCTCGGGCACAGGCACCACTTCCGCCACCGAATTCTCGGCCGACGTCTCCGGCAGACTGCCCTCGAACGTCGGGAAGCACTCCTTGAAGTTCGGCACCTGCAGCGGATCTTCCAGGGAGTTGCTGGACTTCCCCACGAGCACGCAATCCGAGTTGCTCTCGTCCGGGATTATGATACAGTTGTCATTCATGGAATTGGAGAAGGAGATGTCACTCATCTCATTGGTGCTGCTGAGCGGCAAGTCCGCCTTGAGGAGTCTGTCCTCGCCGTTGCTCTCCTGCGGCTCGTCCGGAAGGATGCACTCCATGTCCATGTCAGTGGAGTTCACCTGATTGTCCAGCGAGAAGTTGCCTGCACTCTTGGCATTCTCCTCGCCATTCGTGTGGCTGTCCACAGAGGTGATCTGCACGTCCATGTCCGCCGGACTGCTCGGCTCTTCCGGCGACACCTTCGGCGATTCACTGGGGGTGGAGAATGTCGTGGAAGCCTCTTGAACCTTGGCCGGCGTATCGCAATTGGTCGTGGAGACGCAGTAGCTCTGATTCTTGTTGATCTTGAGAATGATACGCGGCGATTTTTGGCAGTTCTCCTCACTGTTGTCCATCAGCATCTTCTGCGATGGCGTGACAATCTCCAGCGGCGTCATGTCCTCCGCCTTGTAAGTAGTCTTCAGCTTCAGCTTGGGCAGCGACTCGGGGATGTCCTCCCGGATCACCGTCGTGCTGCTGCCCTGCTCTAAGTAGTTCGTCTTGATGGTGAGCTTGGGGATGGGCTGATACTCCGTGGCCACTTGCGTGTCCTTCGTGATCTTCAGCTTCAGCTTCGGCACAGACTGCGCGTCCGCGGGCGCCTCCTCGTGCTCCCGCGACGCAGACTCCACCACCTCGTGGCCGCCGGAATTGCTGAAGAAGGACGTCAGTTGCGACTCCACGAGCGGAGCCGTCCGCTTTATCGTGAGCTTGGGCAGCGCCGGCGGCTTCGTCTCCTCGCCCAGCCCCTTGTCCGTCTCGTACTCGAAGTTGTGCTGAAAGGTCTGGTACGTGGACGTGGGAGCCGGACTGCCCGGACAACCCAGACGGTACTCAATGTCTTTGTTCACCATTGAACTCTCCTCTAAATCGTTCGTTTTGCAGGAATTCCCCAATATTATAACATCAATATCGCTCGCAGACAATTTATCCGTGTCGTAGGTGAGATGATCATTCCCCGGAACCACAGTCGGGCTGCAGTCTCTCCCTTCTGGCAGCTTTTTCGTGGAATCCGGCTCCTGATCATCCATGACTCGCTCTATTTACACCAACAGAGCATCAACGCACTTTTGGCCCAAATGGCGCACTTCACAGCCGCACCACGCACACAATTCAATGTCCAAACCACCCATTGGTTTCCACCCTTGCGATTTGCACACTTTTCACACGGAAATGCACATCACAAGTATGTAGAAATGCAGGAAATATCAAAATTTTCCAAGGGAGATCAGAAAACAATTGAAAAACCAAAACTACAAATTGTCAACTGGCGCTGCTGGCGCTCGGGAGAAAATGCCGCGCGCCTAAAATGCTGCCTCACAGGGGGCGCCGTTGTAGTTAACCTCACACCGCGAAGCCGCGAGAGCAGCATTTTCCGCACTCATCTTTTTCCACAATGAATGGCTTAAAAGCAGGACAATCCAGAAAGCGGAAGGCCAGTGAAAGTCTGGAGAAACCATCCGACGGGAGTATTAATCATGCGTTGGAAATGCTGCAGTGGATTCTCTCTCCAGTGACCATAGAAGACTTCCTCGGGTGAGTTTTTGTTTTCTTATCGCCTCTCGGGAGGATTCAGGAATTGTCTGTTGCAGGATGTACTGGGAGAAGAAGGCATTGGTGGTGAATAGGAAAAATCCTCTGTACTTCAAGAAACTAGTCTCCCTGAAAGCTATCGATGAAGTCCTGAGAAAAGATGCAGTTCTGTTTACGGAAAATGTCGACATCACTTCTTACACGCATGGCGAGAGGAAAACTTTGAATGGCACAGGAAGAGCCACTGCAACCAGTGTCTGGGAGTCCTATAAGGAGGGCTGCAGTGTCCGCTTCCTCAATCCGCAGATATTCTTCAAGGAGATCCACACGCTGGACGCCACTTTGCAGGAGTATTTTGAGTGCATGGTGGGCAGTAATATGTACTTAACACCGGCGAATAGCCAGGGATTCGCGCCTCACTATGATGACATCGAGGCATTTATATTGCAAGTAGAGGGGAAGAAGCGTTGGAGACTTTATGAGCCTAGGAATCCGGAGGAATACCTTCCGAGGGTCTCTTCGAGGAACTTTACTCAGGAGGAAGCGGGAGAACCCTTCATGGACGTTGTCCTGGAGCCCGGAGATTTGCTTTACTTCCCTCGGGGGACTATTCATCAGGCCCACACTGTGGAGGATCATCATTCACTGCATCTCACAATCAGTACGTATCAAAAGTACAGCTGGGCTGACTTCCTGGAGCGCGTTGTGCCGGCCGCGCTGTCGATTGCCATTGAGAGTGATCCGGAATTTCGACGCGGATTGCCTCTGGGTCTCGCCTCGTACGCTGGCGTGAGTCACTCAGATCAGAAGTGCAAGAAGCGAGAGGAATTTCTACAGAAGAGCCAAGAATTCTTCGGGAAACTCTTCAAATATGCTCCCCTCGATGACGCCGTGGATCAGATGCAGAAGCAATTCCAGCACGATGCCCTGCCGCCTGTCCTCACGGCCTCTGAGAAGATGAAGACCGTGTCGTCGTTTCCCCACCAGTTCAGGGAGAATGGAGATGTGATGTCGACCGTGAAGCGCTTCAGTGCAGACACTCGCTTTAGACTGCTGCGCAAGAACATCTTCAGGATCGTGATGGAGGAAGAGACTGTCCGGCTGTACTATCACGTGAACAACTCCAAGATCTACCACGAGTATGAATCCGTGTTCCTGGAGGTGGATTCTGAGCTGGCGCCAGTCGCCGAGAAGCTCCTTCACGCCTATCCGCAATTCTTATCAGCCACCGAGATGAATATTCCCGAAGTGTCCAGGAAAGATTGCCTCAGCATGCTGACCAGTCTCTGGGAGCACGAGCTACTGATGCTGGAGAAGCCATTGTGAAGATTAAAAGCATATTTTTGAAACCAAGAAACATCTAACGATCTTTATTTAACATTACATTTTGCTTTTTACATCGCTTTCCTTGCTGAATTGTTTTTTTTTTGTTGCAATTTAGGGCGTTCACGACACGAAGAAAGACAACTCAGTTTAAAATACTTCATGTTGATGGAATGATCCAAAGAAATCTACTTAACACTATCCCTTTCTATCTCTCTTTTTTGCACTTGCAATTTATCTTATTAACATTAAAATCAATTTTATATTCTGTATGTATAGCCATCATACAACGCACACCTTTCCCGCCTGAGCAGAAGAGACCAAGATTCTCCGCTTAGTGGCGCGAGTCACGCGGGTAATACTCAGCGAGAATGGAAGCGGGAATTCTCTTGAGCATCTCCTTGGGGAAGATACGGAGCAACTGCCAGCCAATGTCCAACGACTCGTACACCGTGCGGTTCTCGTAGTTGCCTTGCGAGATGAAGTTCTTCTCGAATTTCGTGAGGAACTCCAGATACAGCAGATCATCGGGCGTGAGAGCCTCCTCGCCCACGACAGCCTTCATGGCCTGCACGTCCTTGCCGATGGCGTAACAAGCGTACAGCTGGTTGGACACATCGGAGTGATCTTTCCTGGTCATGCCCTCGCCAATGGCGGACTTCATCAGACGCGACAGCGACGGCAGCACATTCACCGGCGGGTAGATCTGACGATTGTGCAGCTGACGGTCCACGTAGATCTGCAAAGAGAGAGAGAGAGTCACACAACATCACCTCTGCACGTTCCCTGAAGAGCGGCGGCGAGACTCACCTGTCCCTCAGTGATGTAGCCAGTCAAATCGGGAATGGGATGCGTGATGTCGTCGTTGGGCATAGTCAGGATGGGAATCTGAGTGATGGAGCCATTCCTGCCCTCCACACGTCCGGCCCTCTCGTAGATCGTGGCCAAATCCGTGTACATGTAACCGGGGAAACCACGACGTCCGGGCACCTCTTCACGGGCAGCCGACACCTCACGCAGAGCCTCAGCGTACGAAGACATGTCAGTGAGGATGACCAACACGTGCTTCTCGCACTGATAGGCCAAGAACTCGGCCGCCGTGAGCGCCAGACGAGGCGTGATGATTCTCTCAATGGTCGGATCGTTGGCCAAATTGAGGAAGAGACACACGTTCTCCATGGAGCCGTTCTCCTCGAAGTCCTGCTTGAAGAAACGCGCCGTCTCCATGTTCACACCCATAGCGGCGAACACGATGGCGAAGTTGTCCTCGTGCTCGTCCAACACCGACTTGCCGGTCACCTTCACCAAACCAGCCTGACGACAGATCTGGGCGGCGATTTCGTTGTGCGGCAGACCAGCGGCCGAGAAGATGGGAATCTTCTGACCACGAGCGATGGAGTTCATCACGTCAATGGCTGAAATACCCGTCTGGATCATCTCCTCTGGATAGATACGTGACCACGGATTGATGGGCTGTCCCTGGATGTCGAGGAAGTCCTCAGCCAGAATTGGCGGGCCCTTGTCGATAGGCTTGCCACTGCCGTTGAACACGCGCCCCAGCATGTCCTCAGACACGGGAGTCCGCAGGATGTCGCCCGTGAACTCGCAGAGCGTGTTCTTGGCGTCAATGCCTGACGTGCCCTCGAACACCTGCACCACGGCCTTGGAGCCGCTCACTTCCAGCACCTGGCCAGAGCGTATGGTGCCATCGTTGAGGCGCAGCTGCACGATCTCGGCGAATTTGGGGAACTTCACCTCATCCAGGATGACCAGAGGTCCGTTCACACCACTCACGGTCTTGTACGCTGGAAAGGCAGAAGAAGAAACACAGTGAGCAGGGAAATTTGAGCACTAGAATGCTCACGGCATGCAAAATGAGTTAAGTATGCTATGAGCTGAATTTAACTCCGACAAAATGCCGGAGATTTCATGGCTAAAAATTGTCTCTATACGATGGGATTCCATATACTATCACGTGCTATCTATTAGCTAATCGCCATAGCTGATAACGGAGTAAAAGTGACGATCAGCTGAATTCTCAGATCATAAACCCCAAAGGGATCGCAGGAATCCGGCTGTCGATATTCTCAGGGACATCTTTGCACGCCACTGTACATGAAGAGCTGTGGACACTCCTACTTACTGAGTCGGGGCTGCGAGATGAAATCACGAGACACGGCCAAGACGTGCTCTCGCTGAGCCTGCTTTGCATTCATCGACGAGGAATACATCTTCCCTTATTGCTGTACACCAAGAGAGAAGCAAACAGTGAGATTAGTCGAGGGAAATGGGCTAAAATCATGCGAAAAGTGTGTGGAGGACAAGATACTGCGAGATACGGGGTCATATGACCAAGATGGAAGCACAGTGAAAGAGGTGATTTTCCACAGAAAAACCACTCTTGGGCGTCCGGGAGGGCGTGAAAAGGACAGGAAAAGCTGTCAAAGGATGGGATAGGTGGAGAGGAAGGGGTTTTCTCAGGCTTCCTGGCCAAACGGCCGGGAAATACGGGAAAATCGGGGAATCTCGGGTGGCTCAGAGGAAAATACTTGTTAGCCAAAAAGATCGATATTCCAGCCACTTACCGTGATTCAAGGGTGAAAAGGGAGTACTTAGTGAGTGAATGAAGGTATCAAGATAGGGAAATTCGCACAAATCTCCAGCACACTCCGAAACTCTCCTCCACAATCGACTGCGGGAATTGCGAGAGAGGAAAATCACCTGAAATTTTCGTCACTCCGCGAGCTCAGGGAGAAATGTCATGTGACCACCGTCAGCGCCACCGAGCGACCGATCGAGCGATTGCGTGCGGATTTTGCCGCTTGGCGCTGCTGTCGGCGAGAATGCGTGGGGCTTCCATATTTTCCCCGCAGCCCGAAAATGCTTGACAGTTCGTGTTTTTATTTTCCCCAGTGTGTGAGTCTCAGTTGGCTTGCTGTAGAAAAAAGTATCGGAAAACATCCCCCCGTGTGTCCCAGGGTGGCCCCACGGGCGACTATCCGGCAATAGTGTGTGATGCACGACGACGAGAGGTGCGAGCGAGAGACGCAAAAGCGGCTTTAGCCCACAGAATTTTCTCATCGTGCTCTTTTTCCTGTGTGCGTAGTCGAGTGAGTGTGGTGATTACGGGCGCTTTAGGAGGTGGAATTTCACACAATTCTCGGAAGAAATTGTTTTGATCGCGATACAATGTTGTGAGGTGTCGCCCCGGAGAGTCCCCAGAACGCCCCGCAACACCTCAGCGGTCGCGCGCCCTCAGCGGAAGCGCAGCGCCCCAGCGACTCGAAACGTGTGTGTGAGGAAAAACAGTGACTGTGCGCCCCCTTTTCCGTCGCCCGGACAATTTTCCGACCGTCCACGGGGGCGCGACGAGACGGGCGTTCTCCCCGTGTGCGGCGTGGCCAAAGTGCAATTGCATGGTGGGATGTTTTGGATTTTCACTGGCATTTCCCTCATGGGTGAAAATATGTCGCATTTTCTTCAATAATAAAGAGAGAGGGTAAGTTTCATTGACAACTTTGGGCGCGTGTGCGAGAGCGAGACGAGTGCATGCACAGTATGTGCGTTATTTTTCTTCGACCGTCTCTCCTAGGCTGTTTGTAGAATTTGGAGCTGACGGCGAGAGCGCGCGCGAGTGTGCGTGAGAGACGGAGACGGTCGGATAGGAGTTGTGTCGGTGTGGCCGAGAGGGCATGTCATTGCGAATTTGAGTCACACAGGAAATGTTTCGCGAAACGCGCGCTCTTTTGCTCACGTTTCACCGGATTCTCTGTGGTTTTCCAACCCCCATGAAGCCAAAAAGAACGCATTTTTCCTGTATATCTCGTTGCTTTTGCGCTGTGTTCACTCAAAATGCTAATCAATTTCAACTTGGGGTTTTCGTTCTTAAATCCTTATGAATTTGAGGGATTCTAGCGCAAAAGTTCCTTCCATGTTCACACATTAGATTTGTAGATATTTTACAGAGTTCTTCATAGAATCCACTTATCGGATTCCATCAGGAGATTCGAATTGTTTATTTCCGGCATGAGTGACTAATTGCAGTTCTATTTCCATTCCATGCACTGCAATTGGTGCAGTAATGAATGGGTGCGATTGAGTGAAAAGCGTCATGAAAATTTCCGATGCATTTCCCCTTTTTTCTGTTGTTTTGATGATGATGTTTCTGTATTTTTCACAACGCTGAACTCCGTACGTTTCCACCGGATGTCGGTGTGTGGCGAAAAAGTGGCTCGTGATTCTCCAATGAGATACCCTCTGGGGTGTTGAGGGGCCGCGAGACGCGACAGAGGCAGGACAGAGTGTGTGTGAGTGTGTGCCAAAAAATCTCACCTCTCTTTTACGCCCAATTGACTGGGGTTTTTCGTTCCTCTCCACCACGCTGGCTGTTTATATTCCTAATTTTGTGCTTTTTGGCCTCAGCGTGAGCGGATGAGAGGACATGGGGCATGGGAGTGAGTGTATGTGCGTGCGCGCGCGTGTGTGCTCGGGAGGGAAGCAAAGGGCGCGCACAGTGCGAGTGAGCAGAATTACGCACATACGAAAAAAGCCACTCAACTGATATAAAATCCATAAAACTATTACATTAACTACGCATTACTTATTAGTAGAATCACCCGTGTCGCCCCTGTTGTCGCCTCCGCTCTGGCTCACATTCTTTATCTACTCATGGCGAAATGCGTGTATATTTTGTCCCCGCCGCACGCACACGCTGGTGGAGTGCGTAAGACGTCGAATACGGCGAGCTCGCTATCTCGCTCGTGCGTCGTATTTTTTTTCGGCTGTGTGAATCGCCTTTAATTAACACAATACACACACGCGCGCGCCCAGAGCCCACCTTCGGCATGGAGCAACAGAGATGATCCACACTGTGCGTCGTGCGTGTGCAACAGGGAGAGAGCAGTGTTTTGACGTCTCACGTGGAAAAAGCGCCTCGTGTCGCTTTTGGAAGGGTCAGCAGGGAAGTCCCTGAAGGCTCAGCGCGTGGAGTGATCATCAGCTCCTCTCTGGGGCTGAAAGAGGAGAAAAATGCAGTGTCTCTCTCTCTCTCTTTGGCCAGAGAGAAATGACGAGGAATTAATAAAATTTGATGACCCATGACCGGCCAATAAAATCAATTAATTTAAGAACAAGGCAATTGCTATTGATTGCTGCCGATTTGTGTGCCTCTCTGCACAGTATAAATTTCTCTATTATTCAAACAGGATTTGAATATGATGTGGTGGCATTTGTTGGGTGAAAAAGCGGGTCTTTTTCTCCTTTATTTCCAATATTTAATTGTATACGGAGTGAATTTTGCTCAAGAGGCGCTCAACTAGTGAAATTATGTGAAATGTCACAAAGTTTTCGGTGTGTGCGAGTGTTGTTGGTTGTGTGTGAGGAAAAGTGTGGGGAAAAACAATTCGTGGAAAAGTTTAAGTAAATTACATAAATATCCGTCACTACAATGCCCAGTAATTGCAGACTCTTGACGTTACAATGGTAATTTGAGAGGAATACACTAATTGTATTTGTATGGAACGCAAATATCGAGGAATGCATAAATATGATAAATGCTACGCATAAATAAGACCTAGAGGAAGATGACTGACGATAAATCGCACAAAATTCACATTGAATTATGGGTGGAAAACAAGGAAATGTTCTGCAATGTGTTTTTCTTCAATAAATTCTTCACTATCAAGTGGAATTCAAATTGAGTATTGTGTGTTACTTTAGTGCACATTGCAGAATGATGTGATTTGGCACAGGTTTTTCTGCACTTGATCGCCTCTTGCGGAAGATCAACTGTAAAAGTTGATATCAGTAGAGTGAAAAAAAAAATTGCAACTTCAACTCGATGAAATGCTCCTTGTCGCCAGAATCATTTTATCATTTGATGTGATTGCACGTATAATTTCTGATTTTCTGTGTGATTTGTATAATTTGATGTGAAAACTCTCTGTTGTGAGAAACCTGAGTATTTGTTGATTCTGAGAAGAAGTGTTCTTCTTGTGGTGTGTTTAATTTTCCAAGAAAATTGCTTCAAATCAATGTTCTTCGTCTTATGGTTTTGTCATTCTCTCTCTCTCTCCTTTTTTCACTTGCAGATTCGTTCGTGGAAGTGCCGTGTAGAAGGACCAAAAAGTCAGTCACAAGCGAGTATATTTGGACGCGTGAGGGTCACAAAGTGTGGGCGAAGAGGAGAGCCTAATTGAATTGCAACCCATGATTGAATTAATTTAAAGGTGTAGTGAAATATTGGTAGATTTGTATCCTTGTGCTTAGTGTGTAAAGGCGTTTTTGTGGGAAATTGTAGTATAAGATGTTAGTGAAAGTCGCTGAGCAATGAAGAAGAGGAAATTAAGTGCAAATTCGTGTAGTGAAAAGTCAAGTGACTGCAAGTGGTTTCATGAGGATATCGCTGCAATGATGGAGCGCGTGGCGGCCCCTCCGAAAGATGGGGACACTAGTCTTGGGAGGGTTGAGTCCCGCGCGGACGACGGCGGGAGTAATTTAATTGGTAGTGAAAGTAGCTGTAGGATGTATAAAGTGCCAAAGTATTTGCATCAGGGATTCATCGATAACTGTTCCAATTGGCTCACGCGAGGCAGGACGACGAGGAGACTTTCGAGTTTTACAAATCTTTTAGTATTATGTGTGTTTGTATTGACACTCTCACTATCCGTACAACATGTACATGGAGATCAACTCCAGCCTGAAACTCATATGCCGTCATCTAATGATACAGGAGGTGAGTTTGAACATTGCAACAATTTATCTATTATATTCACATTGATATTCTACAGCATTAATCATAGTAGAGCGCATAGAGGGTGGCAATGGCGAAGAAGTGCGGCGTATCGTAGACATAATTGGCATATCCATCCTTGTCTGCATCCCAGAGGAACTTCACGGCAGATGTGAAGCTCTGGAAGTACTTTTCGCCAATTGTCACAATGCACACCAATTTGTACCTGTTGAGAAATTCCAAGAAAGCAATGCGAAAATAGTCTTTTTGCACACTCTTCCTCCTCCTTCCCCGCACACATCAGTCACTCTCTTGTGGTGTGTTATGTAAAAAAAAAAATGGGAAGAATGCACTGTGTGTGTGGCTAAGGAATGGTATTTCTTCTTTTCTCTGGCTTTCTGTTACCTGTCGAAGCCCAATGTTTTCACACGTGACTTTATTTCTTCACTGATGTTGTTGCATACCTGGTTCGCATCACTATTTGCATACACAAATGTACTCAACATATCATCAACAACTTCACGAATAATGATCTCACATATTTCCCTCTTGTATGGATTTTTCGATTCCGTCCGATAAGATGGCATATATTTCACAGTGGTCGGCTGCAATTGAAAATAGAAAATGCACACTGTAGTATGTCTCACATTCCGCTCCATCTCACCTATTTTCAGAAAATATCTCACCATTTTCGTCTGGCTCTTGTGTTGTTCTCTCTCTCATCAACTGTTGACGCAAATGCACTCGCACGCTTGAATGTCGGGAATTGGCTTTGCTTACGGCAAATAAAGAGAGAAAGAAGTGTGCTCGAGGAAAATGATTCAGGACATTTTCCTGGCCGCGGTGGTGACAAAAATGAAATAATAACAGCGTGCTGAACAACGTGACGCTCAACTGTGTTGGGGTATGCCTTGGGAAAGGAAGAAAAATTGGCGAAAAGGGGCGAATGTTGAGCGGTGCGAATGCTTATGCAAGTGGGCAAAATTTGAAAAATAAATATTCAACAGTTTCTCATGTAGATTTGAAGCTTTTGTATGGCAATTTTTGCTGCAGTGCTTTTTCATGGCCAAAACGGGGGTTCTCTTTCTCGCTTCACGATAAACTATCTTTCTGCACTCATCTGCCAGGACAGAACGAGTTTCGCAATTACAATATGACATGAAAACGATCTTCATTCCATGATTTATATTAAAATCATCATTCACCAACTCACGAGATGAAAGACTTGCCAGAAAAGTGGTTCAATGTTGTATCAAAGGGCGGGGCATTGCAGTGGGCGTGGTCTGTATGCAGAATTCCTGAATGTTTGTTTAGAGAAGAAGTTAATGGTTATGTGAAGTGGTTTTGCTTATTTTTGCCCAGGAAAAATGAGTTTTCAGTGCGCAAAATGAACATGAATTATTCACTTTCTTGCTGAAACATGATGTTTATATTTTCATTTCCGTGTTCTTGTTCTTTTGCCCTCGGGGTTATATTGTTTTGGTTATATTGTTTCTGTTTAGGGTGGGTCTTTATATTGTGAATTGTGTGATCGATATGATAAATTTCATGATTTTTCACGAACATGACAAAAGACATGATATGATATCAAGGGGTAGGAATGGGGAGGATGACAAAGAGAGACTAACAAGTGGGAGTATAAATCAGTGACTGTTGCGAGGAAAGTGGAGAGACAACATTTTTGACTTTGTCAGTGGTAAGGGGTTGGAAAAAGGTATATATAATGAAATGCTCAAGGATGGATGAAGGAAAAATGTGTGCTGTGCAATTTTATATTGCGCCAAATTGTGCTCCTGTGGCACTGTTATGGATTTTTTCTTCTTCTCAGGCGGTGTGTGGGGATGAGAAGGACAGGAGGAGGAGGAGGAGGAAGAGAAAGAAATGAGGTCACAATATCATTATTGTAATAGCTCATCTACCTGTCTATCTTGGCCTTGTCTAGACATTTGTGTTTAGTGCAATTTTATGCTAATGCGAGAAAATATGTGTGTCTCTCTGTGATATCATTGCAGTATGCCAAAGCATGGACATCAGAAATCATCCGAATCAGCTAGAACGTCTCAAGGATTGCCGTGTCATCGAGGGATTCCTGCAGATTCTGCTGATTGATCGCGTGAGGGGTTCTGACAAAGCATTTGAGAATTACACATTTCCTAAGTTGACTGAAATAACGAATTACCTGATGCTGTATCGTGTCAATGGCCTCAAAACACTCAGGAAACTCTTCCCGAATCTGGCGGTGATCAGAGGGAATCAACTGTTTGTCAATTATGCCCTCATTGTCTATGAATTGATGGATATTGAGGAGATTGGACTAATTTCTCTCACGCACATTGGACGCGGTGCTGTGCGAATTCAGAACAATCCAAGTCTCTGCTACGTTCACACCATCGATTGGACAGCCATTGCAACGCATACGGTCAAGGCTGATCACTACATAAAGGTGAGAGAGAGACAGAGAGTGATTTGTGGATTGGATGATGTGAATAATATGACTGGATGTTTTGATGTTTGCAGGGCAATAATAAGGAAAATCTGTGTCCAATGTGTCCGGGAAGCAAGAGAGGCGAGCGGGAGGGCGACCAAGAATCTCCTAAATCAACACTAGAATGCCCACGCAAAGAGCCATTTCATCGTCTCTGTTGGAATAGTGAGAATTGTCAGAAGAGTGAGTTTATGCAGGGAAATTCGTGGTGTCGACGCTAAAGTAATTTCCATTTGCAGCTTGTCCTGATATGTGTCGAAATCACTACAACAGTTTGTCATGCTCCAATGAGGGCACGTGCTGCGATCCATCATGTCTCGGTGGTTGTCACAAGTCTCATCCGGAATCGTGCATCGTGTGTCGATACTTCAGTCTCGGCTACGGAAAGGATCGTAAGTGTGTGGAGAAATGTCCTAATGGATACTATACTGTAAGTTTGTGATTTTGTGCGATGCAAGGAAGTGATGTAATTGGTGGAATTTATCTTTGCAGCACATGAATCGGCGGTGCATCTCGAAGCAGGAGTGTCTGAATGTTACAAAGTCGCTGGACGTGCGGGATGTGTCGAAGATGTATCCTTATATTCCGTTCAATGGCACGTGCACACTGGAATGTCCGACAAACTACTACAAGATGGACAACGACACGAACAATCGGACGTGCATTCCGTGCAATGGTCTGTGCCGGAAGACGTGCCAGGCGGCGAAGATAGACAGCATTTCGACGGCTCAACAGATGCGCGGCTGCACTCACATTGCGGGATCACTGGAGATTCAGATAATGAACCAAGGTGGATTGAATATTGTGAAGGAGTTGGAGGAGTTTCTCTCAAATATCGAAGAAATTGATGGATATCTCAAGGTGGCACGGTCATTCCCGCTGATGTCACTCAGCTTTCTCAAAAATCTCAAAGTCATTCATGGCAAAACACTCGAGTACAATCGCAATTCTCTTATTGTCCTGGACAATCCGAACCTTCAGTCACTGTGGAATACAACAAATCACTTGAAAATTGAGAGAGGTCGAATATCATTCCACTACAATCCCAAGCTGTGTCTGTACAAAATTGAGAAGCTGAAGACTTCCCTGCCCATCACTGGGCGGGATTTCTATGATGAGCAAGACGTGGCGAAGACGTCCAATGGTGACAAAATAGCCTGCAATGTCACGAGATTGATTGTCAATACGACAAAGATTGAGGACAATGGTGCAGTAATTGAGTGGGAGCCGTTCCAATTGGAGGACGACCGCGCTCTTCTCGGCTATGTTGTGTCCTACATTGAGGCGCCGTTCAAGAATGTCTCCCTCTACGACGGCAGGGATGCCTGCGGCTCTGATGGGTGGAAAGTCGACGATGTGGGACGCGACAGTGGTCGTCAGTCGTCGATATCCTACCTCTTGCCGCGACTGGAGCCCTACACGCAGTATGCGTACTATGTGAAGACCTACACCGTGGCGACGGAGAAAATGGGCGCCCAGAGTGATATCATCTACTTCCGGACACGCCCAGGACGTCCCGAGCAAGTGCAGCGGCTCCGAACGACAGCCAATGGCACGTCGGAGATCGTTGTTGAGTGGGAGCCACCGTCTAAGGCCAGGGGCAACTTGACGTCGTATTGCATCCTGGCGACTATTTCCCAAGACAGCGCCGCACTTAGGTCTAAGAGGAATTACTGTACTCATGGTGAGTGATTGTTTACTATTCAATCAAACTAATATCATTGCAAAACTTCAATGGCTTCTCTGCAATCTCTAGGGTTGAAGCCAGAGAGTGACTTGGCGGTTCCTCAGCTTCCGCCACAGAAGCCAACTTCGCCCACAACTAGTGACGATCCGGAAAAGTGTGCCTGCACGAAGAATGAGAAGCCAAAATTATCCGAGGCTGACGCTGAGATTCAGATCAGTTTTGAGGATCATCTTCATAATTATGTCTACATCAAGTGAGTAGAGTTTTTTTTTCCATTATGTATTGCTTGACTGCAAAGCGACTAACGAGCTTATAACTGGGATTTAACATAGCTTTTATTGCTTAGTCCTTAGAAAAATGGAATATTGTCTCTATAAGCTATGAATGAGAAAAACTAGGCGAAATTACTGGTCTGTGGGATATTAACAATACTGACAAGAATGTTTTTTGGCAAATCACCCTTTTTTATTCCAACTTTAGGAGAAAGAACAGTAAAAAAAACACCAAAATCAAAAGATCCCTTCATCACGACAATCATCAAAAACACAGTGTAGTTACAAAAGTTCATAAAAGGGATTGTTATTCAATTTCTAAGTCGCATGTGTGGGTCGATCTTAATTTTGATGTCTGCTGTGCTTAAGAATTCTTTCGCTATTCTTATAGGAATCAAACGGTTTCTCCTACTTATAGAAAAACCGGATCACGAACGCGTCGAAGTGCTGCGTTCAATGGCAACAATTCCCTAACGCTGCCGGGAGATATAGGTCTCTTTCCCGAAGTGCTATTTCCTGAGAATAAGGAGACGGAGGACACTGGAATTCCGGAGGAGAAGAAGAAGGACGTGATGGATGACAATCATGAGTACTTCATACAAATCTATCGCGAACTCAATGTCACGGAGACAAAGTATGTCATCAAGCAGCTAAAACACTACACACAGTATATCATCTCGGTCATGGCATGTCGGGAAATTGAGAATGCTTATACGGATAGTGAGAAGGAGACGCCGAATTGCAGCACAAAAGCCATCGTGCATCAGAGAACGGGAAAAATAGGTGAGTTTTGTCTAGTTGATTTCTTTTTTCTTCTTCTGCAAAGTGGTCGGTAATGATGTGTTTTATTGTATTTTTAGGTGGAGCTGATGATGTGACGAATGTTGCCATTGACAAGAGCAATAACAACACTCTGTTCATATCGTGGAAACCACCGAGGAATCCCAACAGTCTTGTTCTCACGTACACGGTGCGCATTCAGAAGGTTGATGATGTGAATAGTATGCGGAAAGCTGTGGAGCACTGCATTCAGAAGGAGGATTTCGATAAGTCTAATGGCACCTTCAAGCTGACGATGCTTGAGCCCGGCAATTACAGCATTCAAGTGATGGCAACGTCTCTGGCAGGCGATGGAAATGCAACAGAGCCTCACTATGTTACCATCGATGTAAGTGTGAAAACTTTAACATACTCTATAAGTCTTTCTAATGCCCTTGACGTTGTCGTTCTTGCAGAAGGAGACAAACAACACAACGATGTACATCTTAGTGACTATCATACCGATATCGCTATGCATCCTGGGCGTTGCCGTGTGGCTGTATTACAAGCGTAATATGCGGAATGTGCCGGACTTGAAGCTGATCGCCACTGTGAATCCGGACTACGTCAGCATGCAGTACACGCCGGACGAGTGGGAGATGCCGCGGGAGAATATCACGCAGCAGCGAGAGCTGGGCCAGGGCTCGTTCGGCATGGTGTACGAGGGTACAATAAGCAAGCTGGAGAAGTACGGAGAGAACGTGAAGTGTGCCATTAAGACGGTGAACGAGAACGCGACTGATCGCGAGAGGATGAATTTCCTGAAGGAGGCATCAGTGATGAAGGCCTTCGACACGCACCACGTGGTGAGGCTTCTTGGTGTTGTGTCGCGTGGACAGCCAACTTTGGTGATCATGGAGCTGATGGCGAAGGGTGATCTCAAGGGATACCTGAGGTCGCACAGGCCGGATCCGGAGGCCATCAAGACGGGCCAGAGTCCACCACAACCACCAACATTGAAGCGTATACTTCAGATGGCCATTGAGATTGCCGACGGCATGGCGTACTTGGCAGCTAAGAAATTCGTCCATCGCGACTTGGCGGCGAGGAATTGCATGGTGGCGGAGGACTTGACGGTGAAGATTGGCGACTTCGGCATGACCAGGGATATTTATGAGACGGATTACTACAGGAAGGGAACCAAAGGTGAGCACATTGTGAGGGCGTGTGTGAGTGGAAGAGACTGACTCATGCAATTCTCTGGCAGGTCTTTTGCCCGTTCGCTGGATGTCTCCGGAGAGTCTGAAGGATGGCGTGTTCACGAGCAGCAGCGATGTGTTCAGCTATGGTGTGGTTCTGTGGGAGATGGCGACGCTCGCATCGCAACCATATCAGGGCTTATCTAATGACCAGGTTTTGCGGTACGTGATCGACGGAGGGGTGATGGAGAGGCCGGAGAATTGCCCGGACAAGCTCTATCATCTCATGCGCGATTGTTGGCAGCACAAACCCAATCTCCGGCCGTCGTTTATGGAAATTGTCTCGGGCTTACTTGAGGATGCGCATGTGAATTTCACCAAGGTCTCCTTTTACCACTCCGACGAGGGAGTCGAGGTGCGACTGCAACTGGAGTCTGGTGAGTGCAGAGATCTTATCTCTCTCAGTCGGTCAGTGTCATGATGGATTGTTGTTTTGTTGCAGCATCGCAAGCACTGGCGGAGAATCGGTCAGATGATGTCACAACGCTTTTGAGACGCGACGAAGAGGCACTTAGCATAGATGATGACCACGATACCGATGAGAATTTCTTGATGGAGCGCCCACGAAGTCACCAACTCATTACGAGCGCAAGTTCATATCCAAAGAAGAAGCAGCAACACTCTCCGCTCAGGTGAAAATTTGTACAGGAAGGCGTGCATCAGTAGTTCCGCAGGAGAGAGAGAGAGAGAGAGAGAAAAGTGGTTCATATCCGTCGCATTCGCAATGCAGAAGAAGGAAAGAAAAAAAAGTTTTTTCTCTTGTGTCTCCTTAGAAGTGGGCTTCATTGCCGACCAATGAGGAGAGATGGGATTTAAAATCACAACCCCACTCACAACAGACTGTTTTGATTGTATATTTCATCCTTTTTTTTTTAAAACATAATTACTGTAAATACCGACTGAAGACAAACATAGTAATGTGGAAGAATCAACTGAATACTTAGTAAATGCGCCATAAGAAGCTAAAAAAAATCTACAAACATAGTGAAAAGAGAGAGAGAGAGAGAGAGAATAATGGTGCAAATAATTCTAAGCACTACCATTTACAATTTAGTGGAGAGAATCGATTATAGCTTATGCTAGGAGAGGAAAGCAGGATAAACTCTTTTTCTAGGAGGATAAAAAGTAAATACGTTTTTCATTAACATTTGGTATATATACGAGAAAAATTGGTATGTCGCGAAAGTAATAAAATTTTAATTCTTAATTCATGCTCTCTGGTCTTTACATGGTAAATTGGTCGTCTGGGGTGCTGGCCAGGACGAGGATGTCCTCCTTTGTGGTGCCTGAGTTGAGAGTGAGGAATATGTCGGGCGCTCCTGCGTCCTTTCGTGCGGACTCGAGGGCTTTTCTCAGCGCGAGTGGAGCCGAGATGGCCAGAGTGAGGCCTGGTTCACTGATACACTTGGCTCCCAAGACGCCAGCTCCTGTGGACGTGGATGGCAGAAGAGTGACGCGGAAGTCCACGGGGATGTCCTTGGCGCCTGGCGGTTTGTAGTTCCACGCGCGATCTGTCAGCAATTCGCCGGTGGAGCGATTGTAGACGAGCTTCTCGTGAAGCCAATAACCCAAGCCCATGACGTAGGCGCCTTCGACTTGGCCCACATCTATTCTGGGACTGATGCTCTGGCCCACGTCCTCCAGAATGTCCACTCGGCGCAGCTGGAAATCACCGGTGAGAACGTCGATCTCAATCTCAGAGCACGCAACGCCGTAAATGATGTACGGAGTCATCTTTGACGGATCGAATTGATGCACAGCGACGAGTTCTATGTTGGCTTTATAGGCTTCCTGGGCGATGTCGGGCCAAGAGAGGTTTGGATTCTGCTGCCGGATGGGCGCTAAGCGAGCGTTGAGCGTCTCACAGCAGCCTTGAATTGCGAGGCCGGCGGCGTCGCAGGACATATTTCCGCCTGACACCATCGTGTTGGCGCTCACGAGGTTGTTGGAGGGCTTCACCTTCACCATCTCCAGTGGACAGCCGAGGATGGAGGCCGCAATCTGGGCGCATTTCGTGTTTATGCCCTGTCCAAAGTCAATTCCTCCGATGCTGATGGCAACACTGCCATCGGAATGATAGATTGAAGTCAGGGCTTCAAAGACATTGGCGAACGCCTGCGGATACTGCATTAGCGACGTTGCGATGCCTCGCTTCTTCCATCGATTCACCGAATTGAACTGATTCACGTCGGCTAATCTCCTGTAGTACTCAGAAGTGGCTAGAAAGTCTGCATAGATCTTCCTTATCGGATTGGCAGCATCGATGTTGGCCAATCTCACTTCCACCGGATCTCTCTTCAGCGTCCACGCGATGTGATCCATCCAGGTCTCAGCGTTGGCGATCACTTCCATGGATCCCGGGGCTCGCATCGAAGTGTTCGAGGGCGCGTCCGTGATGACATGGTGGAAGACCACAGTCCAAGTGGCAGTCGAGTAGGCGTTGGCCACGAAGAAGGGAATGTAAGGTTCTAAGGCTTCATTCACCGAGCATCCCAGATCGTGCGTAACATCGCACTGAAGTCTCGTGATGACGCCCTGATCTGTGAAGTCCATGTCATACTCAGAGAACGCTGGCGTGCGCTTCCCAATCGCTCTCATGTTCGTCCTCATGGGCAGCACCATTCGAATGGGACAGCGCAAATGGTAACAAGCAACGGCGGCTGCAGCGGAAATCTGCGTTGAGCGGCTGATTTTCCCGCCAAAAGCTCCTCCGACGCGTCGAACGCGGATGTTGATGGCATTGTTGGCCAGCCCCAGGACTTGTGCCACGCCCGCATTCGTGAAGTCCATCCACTGCGTGCTGGGGAAGAGATCCATGCCATCCTCAACTGGCACCGCCATGGTCTGCTGCGTCTCCATGTGATAGTGATACTGAGGACCGCACAAGATGTGTCCCTTGATATTCCTGTCCTCCTGACCAATGCCTTGCTTTGTGGCCGCTATCGCGATTATGGGAATTTGAAAGCGATCTCCAGTGAGTTTTGGATCTGCTTTCAGAACATCTTCGAGGGTGGGCAAAACTTTCTCCCGAATGCTGGTTTTATCTCCCTTGAAGTAGCTGTAGAGCGATGCAAAGGATCCTTTTTCCTCCACCTTGCTCTCGTACTGAATCTTGACCAGTTCTGCCGCATGAACAGCCTCGTCCATCGTCTCAGCCACAATAATTCCCACAGGTTGATCATAGAAGAGCACCTGAGAACGTTAAAGAGATCAATCATCACTCTTCATTTCATACACGGAAGCGACTAACCTTTCCACTGCAGAAAAGTTCCTCGGGTTCGGGAAACATGAGAGGCGCAACAATCTTCTGGGTGGCGAATGAATTCACTCCCGGGATGTCTTTTGCGCTGAAGAACGCCTTCACACCATAAACCTTGAGAGCTTCTGTGGCATCGAAGCCTGCGATGGTATTAAATGGATTCTTGGACAGCACAAAAGCTGCCCAGAGAGCGTGAGGAAGAGGAATATCATTGACGTATTCCGCTTCTCCGCTGCACTGTCTCAAAGCCTCCACTTTCATGATGGGCTCTGTTAAAGGATATTTCGCCGGATTGGTCTCAAAGTTCTGTTCTCCTGAGGAAAGCGGTCTAAGGATTGGCGAAGCTCCACTTTGATAAGACGGCTGGATTCTTGTTCGGGGCGCGAGATAGAGAATAGTCTGCAAAATTGAAAGTGTTCTTTAGGGAGTTCTGAGTCAAATCAATGATTTCCTTACTCGATAGAAAAGTCCAATGGCGAGTCTTCGGCGGAACTCAGCCGATGAATTCGGCAGGGAATCGTCAAAGGTGAAAGTGTTGATAATGTTGATGACAGACTGGATTGTGGCATTGTTAAAGGGATTAATTCCTTGAATTCTCTTTTCAATGGACGTGGCGTGAATGAATTTCGGATTTACGCCGCCAAAAACAATCCTCGCTGATCGGATAACTTGCGATTTCTGGTTGATTTCGAGGAGAAAAGCAGCGTTCATGTATGTGATTGCGTTCTGCGCTCTGTCTGTGATCTTGTACGATTGCAAGCGATATCGACTGGGCGACAGTTGAGGCATCGTGATCTGCGTGATCACCTTCAATTCCATGTTCCTGAAGAGGAAATCCTCCGGTGAAACTGTCTCTGTCACCCCATTGATATCAGTGATTGTGATATTGGCTCCAATAGTTTCGAGCAGGAGGAAAATGTCTGAATAGAACTCGCGATAATCATACTTGATCATCAAATTCCCCGCGATCGTGCCGACATTCCGCACCTGAACCGTGGCGATTCGTGTGAGATGATCTCTAACGAGACGACAATATGCAAATCCCGCCGTTCGGTCGGCAGCCTCTTGAAGAATTGCCAACCATTCGGTGATCGTCACGTTCCCGCCAAGAACAATGCTGCTTCCAATTGAATAGCCCCTCAACTCAGTCACCGAAGACACGTCGATGAAGACTTCAATGTCATAAGGCATTCGGTAGATGCCATGAGCTGTGTTTCCCGCCACGAGTCTATACTTCCTGTTGGCGAAATTGCCGAGGATCTGCAGCACTTCACTGAGAGAGTAAACTTTGTGCCACTCAGAGACATCAGCAGCAGTGAGATGAAGTGCACTCGCACAGTTTCTGGAGCACTTCCTGATCGTCAGATCTTCGATGTCTGTGCAGAGACTCTGGAGATCCTGCGAGCAAGTCTCAGAGTCCATGGCGAATGACTTGAAGGCAGCCAAGATAGGACGATATCCGGTGCATCGACAAATGTTCCCGCCAAAATTGTCCTCCACCTCTTCGGCTGTGACGCTGCCGTACTTGCCTCTGTACAGACCGTGCATGGTCATGACGAATCCCGGCGAGCAGAAGCCACACTGAGAGCCGTGAAACTGAGCCAGGCGCTCCTGCATTGCATTGTAACCCGTTCTGTGATCGCCCAAGCCCTCGATCGTCGTGACTTTGAGGCCGTGACAGGAGAAGAGCAGGAAGAGACACGAATTCACGGCCATGGTGAATCTCTCCTTGGTCACAGGCTGAACGCCCTCCAGAGTCACGGTGCAGCAGCCACAGCCGCCCTCTTGGCACATGAACTTTGTGCCCGTGAGCTTGAGGCGCGTCCTCAAGTAAGTGTTGAGCGACGTGTTCGCAGCGAACTCGCCAGAACCAATTCTGCACTTCTTTCCATTCACTGTGAAAATCACTTCCATGGCTCGAGCGAAAAACACGTCTTCACACCTCAAAGAATACACCCAAAATGATCTTCCTCAGCTAATTCGGCAATTTCTTACCTCGCCTCGAGGCGCGATCCGGACACGTTCGTCCAGTATTTTGAATAAATTTGCATAAATAAGCGTCCAACACGCGTTCTTGTGAACACAGGGGGTTGACCTGTTTTCACAACAAAAGCGAGAGTGAACAACATCAGCGTTATATACATAAGTAGCACCACAAAGCTTTTGTTGAGGTAAGATTGGCAAATTTTGCACGAGCATTTTTTATATGCACAAAATGCGTTTTAATCTGGGCGTTGAACTTTTCCGGCTTTCATTCACTGGATAAAACTGATCATCGACATTTGACGTCACTGTTGAGTCCGTTGTGTTCCAGAGATCGGAATGTGATTGAAGTGAAGAAATAATTCAATGTCACGAGATTTGGCATGAGAATTTTTTTGCAAAAGTTCATAATGAATGGCTATGGAATTTAATGTATTAGAAACAGTAGAACCCAATAGATATCTATGGCTAAAGCGTTTCGCTCTTCTCCAATGTTCCTCAAAGCTATTAAAATAACCGCATTGGCAGAAAAATTCCATTTCGTCAGAAAAAGCTCCGTTTCTCAACATCTTCTGGATTCATTTCCAATCTACCGACTAAAAAACATATGACAAAAAAGCCTACCAAATTAACTTTTACTGTTAAAGATTAACATTTTCAAGTGAAAATTTTGAGACCTGCAAATTTCTGAGTTGATGCAATTTCACAAGAACTTTAACCACTCGTGGGAAAATTGGTAAAATCCCCGTGAAAAGAACCTCTTGGCTTGTGAATTATTCCACTTCTCCAACTTGGTTAAAATTGCCGCATTTGCTGCACTCCTGAATGTCTTCCGCATCGCCCGAGGGAAATTACACAAAGTTGTCTTTTACTTTTGTATATTTGCATGTTTCATTATATATTACACGAGATTTATTTGTCGCTAGAATTCTTTCTAATTTCTGTTCATTTTCTCAGTGTTTCATCATAAATGTAGTTTTTATTTAGGTTTTTATCAAGAACGGAAAGAGATTCTGTGATAAATATTTTTGCACAATTGGACTAATGTTTAATGTCACAAAATATATTGTTTTTTTTTTCATTATTTTCTTTTTATAATATTTGTATGGTTGTTTAGCTCTCTTGGTTTGTTTTCCTTTTAGAGAATAGAATTAGTGAAAAGAGAAATGCAAGTATTCTTCTTTCTATAAGATTCACAATAAATTTCTTATATTTTCGTCTATAAGTATTGCTGAATTTACCCATTCTCATAATGTCTTGAAGGTATTTCTCCTCCATTTCCTCTCTCTCTCTCTCTTAATCATTAAATAGAAACTCAACAACTGCAAACTTGCATTATTCCTAATTTTTTTTTTATTATCTCCTCTGTTAATTTCAAATTTCTTTCTTCTTACAATCAGCGAGAGATGCAGTGAGCTCGCTTTTGTTCAAAATTCATGGCAGTGAGTGCAACATTTATTATATCCAAAAAGATCATAGTAATATCGAAAGTGTGTCTTCTCAAAATGAAAAGCTGTTGCACTATTCAACTCAATAAATTTGTCTAAAAACGTTGATTTTGAAAAGAAAAAGTAAATAACGTGTCATTTAAGCGCCATCGAAAGTGTCTCCTCTCGTGTTAAATGTTTTCTTCATCATTTAATTTTAAAAGGGGATGGAAAAGGCATTAAAGCTGTGAGAAAATATTTACAAAAAATATATCTCGTAAATTTTATAAGATAGAGAATTTTTCCTTTTTTTACAATTTTCCCGCCTTCATAGTCGTTTTGTTTCATCTAATCCACGAAAATAACTTTTTCCTGCTCGACAAATGTTAAATATTCCCTTTTTTTACAAATATACATGACATGACTATTTATGATGCTAATATTTTTAAATTACTTTGTCTCTCTTGACTATCAGGGCTTGTTGTTGTTGTTGTTTTTTTGGTAAGGGCGAAACCGAAACAAAATGTTGGTTTTCATCTCTCAAAAGTAATCACTTCAGCTTCATTTCGCGCTCTCTCTCTCTCTCTCTCTCTACTGAACCCAAGTGGCTGGAGCCCACAGAGGTTCACACTCAGACTTCTGCGCCAGTTGCACGAGCATCTCGAAGGCCTTCACGAGATCATCATTCAGGATTTCATCGTCGAAAAAGTGTCTGTAGAGGAAATCTATCCTCTCGGCGGACTTTATCATGTCCTCAAGTTCCTCATCCTGGAAAAAAAACCACACAAAGTCACCACCTTTTCCACATGGGAAACACGAGGAAAGGATCTAGAGTGAAACTCACAGTGAATCCTCTGGAGTTCGTCTCGTCAAAAGTGGAACGAGCACGAGCAGCTTCCCGCGACTCTTTCAGCTGATCAAAGCTTGGCGGCTTCACGTGGATTATGAAGGGCTTCAGCTGCGGCGTCCTGAGCGCCTTGATGGCTTGATAGTGTGGACTGAGGATGCACACACAGCCCGCGTTCACGATGCTGCGCACACTCTCGGCAGAGGTGCCGTAGAGATGTCCCTTGTACTCGCCATGCTCGATGAACTTCCCCGCCTGGATGTCCGTCTCCATCTTGTCACGCGGGATGAAGATATACTCACGCCCAGGCACTTCTCCCGTCCGGATGGGACGCGTGGTGTCTGGAAGTGATTTAAAAATCATTCAAGTCACTTCAGCATTTTCTCTCTCTCTCTCGCATTAGTTACACTGACATGGCACTGGAGTGCGGTACTTCTCCGGATCTCTCGCCGCCAGGCGCCTCTTGAGCTCATTCCTGCCCACTCCTGGTGCCCCAATGAGAATGATCGGCCGATAGACGCCCGGCCTGGGATACAGCTTGGCCACCTCCTCGTACGTGGCAATCATCTCCCGGTCGAAGTCATCATTCTCCGCTACGTCGTACATAATCTTTTTAGTCTTGGGCCCACGACATGAGTTGGGATTCGGGGAGCCGGGCGGGGTCGAGCAGATGGATGCACATGAGCCTTCTGACATGTATTTTTGAGGGTGGCAAGCAATGATGGTGATGATGAAAGAGATTAATGGTGTGGTTAGTGATTAGTAAGCATGCGGCAGTGATGATGGAGAGTTAATGGACTCTGGACATACTTTTCGATTCATTGCTGTTCTCCACCAATTTCCGCTCGTGTATTATGCGGCGCTCCTGCAGATTTCTGCTGGGAATGAGACCCGCTCGGGCATTTCTATCTCCCTCCTTGCGCGCCTGCCACCAGAAGGCATCATCCTTGAACGGAAATTCAATTCCAAGTCTTATTCGCTCGATAAAAGCAATATTTCTAAGATTATGCTGAGAGCATTCCAGATTATTTGCATCATCAAATCCAATTTGGAATGAATCTTCCGGCTGAAAACTACTCAAAGTACTCAATTTTCAGTGATAATTTCAACTCACTTGGGATACAATGTGGAGAATGTCGCCTCGCTCAAATGCTTGTCCTGCCTCTTTGCAGGGAATATAAGGATCACTCAGTGGGTCATAGTCGAAGTGAGCACGAACGCGAACTTTGCTCTCCCTTTGACCACCTTTTCCATCAGACGGCACTATTTTGAACGTTATGGTCCCTTCAGAGTTTTCCTGCGCACGAAAAGCAATCAATTAGCCCAAATTGCCGCAATTTCGCACCAAAAAGGTCCTCATAAAAGGCACCAAACTCACGAGTATGTGAAGAACATCTCCCGGTGTCTTTCCCTCCACATTTATCCCATTCACCTCAATCACCTCATCACCAGCGTGAATCAGCCCAGAACGATCGGCCGCTCCGCCTCGCATTATCCTGGCAATCACGATCTTCCCCGTCTCATCGTCCGTCTTTATTGTGGCACCCTGCAAGAAGCCAAACCCAAAATTAATTAACCACATTCAATTTACACTCACTTGGCATTTATTCAACACCAAAACATTTCATTGCACTCATCGGTGATTTATAATGCAACTATTCTTCTCTTTCTCCCTTCACATCGAGCGAGAGAGAGAGAGATCTTTCAAGCGAATTCTCTGGTGGAACGAAAAGAAAAGTATATATACGATAACGAAAAAAAAGGTATAGAAATAAAAAGACATCTATTACACTAAGAGATATGGTCTCATTCCTAAAAAGCGGTGTCAAATGGTGTAATTTTGCTGTCATTGCTCAACTTAAAAGCTATTCTTACATAAGATTGTATTCTATTTGATAAAGAGATTTGTGTGGATTTACATTGATAGATTTGTTTGTAAAGGGAAAATTTATGGCTCTGTTCTTGACATTTGTTGATTTTAGGGTAAACTACTTACTACAATTGGTTCCGCACTTTGTTGTGCTCCACTCTATGCAGCAAATAATTTGATATTATCAGTTAAAAGATTGTGTTTGTTGTTATTTTGGAAGAAGAAAGACAGATTTTTTTTTATTGTTTCTTTTTCTTGCAATGTTACCCAGTCAAAAGCATACGAAAGCCAAATTACGAACACGGCAGATTCAATTTGCTTCCCTTAAATCGTATTGATTCATCTTCAATTTTTTATCAACTCCAGAGACTTTATTGAACACTCCAGTGCGGAAGGGTTGTTGCTTGAGTTATTGATTACATCCCCTCGAATATAGGCTCAATTCCCCATTCCACATTTGCCGAGAGGGAAAAAAAAATCACGAGCGCCGCTCTTCCACCTCTTCTGCCAGTCACACGAGAATATTGCCAAAGAAGACAATTTGTGACATTAATTATGCTCCATATTTCTTCCTCATGTGCGCTGGTGAACAGCATTAAAACTATGGCGTCTCGCGAACCCTCTCTTTCACTTCCGTCCCTCGCAATTTTCCCCACCAGTTAAGCAGAACACACACACACACACACTTTTTCTTGGCACATCGTTTCGGAAGCTTTGGGAGATACTTTGCAAAGTGCTTTCCTCTGTGACAATTCATATTGTGACTTTTTTTTCCCCGTCAAACGCCAAAGAATGAAAGACAGAACAGAAGAGATGTATAGACTTTAGGCTACCAGCAGATGTTAAGGGAAGAGACTCACCAAGGGTTCATTGTTCTTCACAAGTTGGACAATCTTAATTGTCTCCTCGTCTTCATCCACTTCTACGGGGATGTCCGGGAGGTGGGGATAAAAGTCCTTCTTGGCGATTGAATCGTGGGCAAACAGGAGACTCTGCAAAGAGTATGTTTAGGAATTTTCATCGATTTTCCACCCCGAAGCAGAGAATGCCAACAATCATGTGCTGTACCTGCAAATGTGGCGTTTGAAGTAGATGGAAGACTTCTTTGCAGAGCGGTGAGATGTGACAACGCGGCGCCAATTGTTCCAACACTTCGACGGCCACCTGCAATGGAAATTAGCAAGATAGCACATGAGATTTGCTGACTCAATCAAACCCATTTGCGACACTCAATCGCCACTCAAGCACTGACAAATGGGAGAAAATGTGCTTCAATATTGCCTTTATGCTCCAGTGACTTCATAAGTCCACTCTAAGAACCCTGCAAAAGACACTCGACATACTTCACGAATGAATCCTTTATGAAGGAATCAATTCCATGCATGTCACGAGCCACAACTTCTCAGATATTCACGTACATTTTACCAATCGATTTTCCTTCTCCAATGCAAATCATGCTTGTCATCCAATTAGGGAAATATTTAATGAATTGCACCATTTTCGTCCACACACAATTTATTATTATGACACATTCTTATTCCTTGTGAATTTCTAATGCTGAAAAGGAGCGCTTTTCTCATTTTATTTATGTATTCATGGCAACAAGGGTGTGTATTTTACGCGTGATTTATCCATAAAAATATGCCCATGAAATGCGGAAAGGAAGCTTGTGACTTTTACATTTTGCATATCAAGAAATCATCTCAAAGAATACAATGTCTCAGAGAAAGAAATGCTCAACAAAGACTGACTATTTTCTTTAAATACAGGAATATATAATAAAATGTGAAAAAAGCAAAAAACCTATTTATCCGGAAGAACAGAAAAATATGAAAATTGCATTAAAAAGCATATTTTTCTAGTGAGTTTTAAGTTAAGAGTACTTTTAATCAGTTCATATTAACTTGGGAAGAAAGAAGTAAGAAAAAATAAATAAAAATGCAAATAAATGCTGAAAGTGTAGCAAATTCGTCCAACTCTTGACGAGGAGAGAAAACGTGACTTTTGAATTGTCCCTCCATCGCAAAATTAAAGGCCAAAGTATCGATTTATGTATAGGAAATGAAATTTCAGTGAGTTTGAAGCGAAGTTCTTCTTTCAACTCACACCAAAAGTTCCCCCCCCCCTCAAATCTTTATCTTCTCGTAAAATACAATTTGCAGAAATTGATGAGAACGTAGAGAATTCCAGATTTCACTGCTTTAACTTAACGTGTAAAATACATTTGTGAGATGAGTTGCATGAGATTCACATTGAAACTCGTATTGCGACTCGCCGCAATAACACAAATTCACAATTTCTGGAACAATAATAATATTTCCTGCGCCATTCATGATGGTCAATAAATCATTCGCGCGAATATAGTGGTGCATGTCATTTATCACCCACTGAATATCTACCGTTTTCACACCAATATTCCCAGGTGGGCACGATAGCCGCGCTCTCTAATCCACGTCATAAGCATGAAGGTGAGAAAATATGCATTACCTGCATTGATGATGACAGCAGAGGCGCGACGCGGTCATCTTTGCCAACTTTTGCGATCTTGCTGTGTACATTGACGAGTGCATTGAGCTCCTTGGACTCGAGGAGCGACTGCAGGAAACCCAAATCTTGTTCGCCAGACAAACTTTCCGCCTCCTTGAGTGACGTTACAAGTCTCGAGAGCACTGAGGAAAATGCCAGAGAGAAGCGATGAGGGATCATATGAATGGTATAATGTTGAAATGGGTGGGAAAAAAAGAGGGAAATGCCAACAATTTGAGGCGTAAAGCGATGCAAAGAATTGTGTAAATTGAAAATATTCATCATGCAGTGCATGAGAAAACCCGACAATAAGTGTGTTGACACACATAAAAATATTCATCACAGAAATTTATCGTTCTATCAAGAGCCAAAGAGCCAAAAGCGAGTGGTAGGAAATTCAATATTTTCACTTCATACTGTGTCTCTTCTCCCATTCCTTGCTGGCTCAGCGCAACTTCATAATGTATACAAATAAAATATAACCCACGATTAATATTTATATCGCTCTCGAGCAATTTTATCTTCAATTCAGCACTTCTAAATACACACAGACGGAAGAGAGATGCTGACTTTATACTTAAAACAACACCGAAAAGAGTGAAAAGAGTAGAATGAAGTATTTTACAGTGAATCAGCGAAGAATTACAGCTTTTTCAATATGTTAAGTCTGGGAAATTGTTTTTATTTACATTTAAAAAGAGAAGCATTTTCGAACGTCAAACTTTTTCAATAGGTACAGAAGAGACTTTTGTAATTCACTTCCTTTCGCCCCGAAACATGAGAAAACTTTGGGCTTTTCATGTTTTTCTTCATACATAATGCAACTTTTACTGAATGACTTCGAAATGGCTTTTTAACAAAATGCATTTTTCATAGAGGTTTAAATTGAATTCATTCTAGTTTGAGTGGTGAAATTTCATTGCAAAAACGTGACGAGTGTTATTTATTGAGAAATCACTTGAAGCACGAATTTGTGATTAAATTTTATTACACTTCCCAGAGGCGAAGAAGTGAAAAGAGTTCTATTTCTGACAGAATTCGCACAGCAAATCAGGTGATAAATGAGAAAAGTCAATTGGTCGCCGTGAGTGGAATATCGGCGTGAATTTATTAATAAAATTGAGGTGTACAAATGAGAATTCATCCTCACTTTTTCCACGCCAACAACATTATAAATAAACTTGATTTCATTCATGCATTTCGGCAGGACCAATTTAAATCGCATTAATGCCACCCTCAGATAAAGCACGCTCTGTCGTCACTGGGGATGGTGTCGCGGTGGCAAAAACAGGTGTCCCGAGAGGGTGAATTTTAATTGAATTTCCACTACCAATTAGCCACAAATTCCAGGCGACGCTGAGCAAGTTTGCGCCTCTCAATTTATCACACGAAGCGCCTAGGTTTTTCCTCCCCAATGACGAGAGTAATCAATTAAAATTGTTGGCATTTTTCACTGTTTTCGCACAAGATATTACATAACGCGGTGTTTGAGAAAGCGATCTGCAGCTCACCTGGATCCAAGCACGTTTCCATCACTTCAGCAGTCATAATCTGGCGACGCGAAGCAGCAAATCGTCCTCCGTCGACGCAAATCCCGCCGAATATTTGCCTTCTCACCACAAAATCACCGGAAAATTGCTACTAATATCGATTTATCAGTCACAGATCCCCACAAACTCCGCTCCGTTCGTCCAGCCGCGCGGCACTTTTCTGCGAAGGCAAGAAGGACACAAGAAACACACAATCAATTAATTGCGGACTTTCTGCCACTTGGGAAAATCCTGCAGAAGAACGCACGAGAACAATTGTCTGACTTTCCGCAAAAATGTACGAGAGGACCGAAAGTGAGGAGCTCGTCTAGAAGTTATTAAAATAAAGAAGCTCCTCATTCGCTTCCACGCGACTTTAAAATAGACTGCCGGCGCGAAAAATCTGTTCCGCTGACTCTTTTGCTGCAACTCGCGCTTGCATTTTGCAAGAGGGACAGTTTTACCAGCCATAATTGTGCAAAAATCCAGTAAATAGAAAATTAATTATAAACTGAGATTTTATTTGTGAAACCTTGACTTCATTGTAAACTGTAAATAAATTTAAAAAAAAATCAGACTTTTCTTATTACAAAAAGAAAACAAATTAATGAAATTTTGCCAGTTTTGCCAAAAATTCTACAAAAATGTCAGAAAATTAAGTCACCTCCTTCTTAATCTATTAAGGAAAGCGTGAGTGCTCGAGCAATCTGCGAAGTCACCTGGCGAGTCTCTGGCTTTGCTGCCAGCCGCTGATTCTCCCCACTTTGCGCCTGCCCAAAATGCTTTCCTCGCCGATTTCTTTGCCACCCGGACCAGGAGAATCGCGTCCACTCTTCCTCCCAATTGGCATTCATTCAAGCGATCGCCCAGAGCGTGCATCGCATCTCTGTGCATTCTCTAGCCGCACACAGATTCCATCAATTGCTGATTGATTGAAGAAAGCGAGCAAAATTTCACCTTTCATCTCTAAAATTAGTGTCTCGCGTCCACAATTAGCACAAGCATAAAATTGGACTCTGTGCGACGCTATTAATACGCCTGCCGTGCTGTTTTTCCACTCGGCGCGAGATGCACCAGCAAATCGAGGTCAGCTCTCGTGTGGAGCGAGCCTGGAAAAGGTGGGGAGAGGACTTCCTGGCGGGAAACGGCCTTCGAGAGTTCCGGGAACAAATCTCACACCCGGGACACATTTCGCCTTGACACAGTGCCGCTGAAGGGTTTCCCACTCAGGGTGATTGTGAATCCAGGAAGGTCGTCCTTTGAGATGGGATGAGGAGACTTCTGGCCGAGAAAACCCACCATTTCCCCCCCAAAAGATGCACGCGATGCATTCTGAGATGCCCAAAATGCATGCTCACGGTGATTCCTCACCTCGAGAATTGCGGAATTGCGCAAAATATGGCAATAAATCAATGGACAAGTGACAAAAGGATGGATATTTACCTCACGCACCTTCTCCACTTTCCCCAGTCTTTTTCCACGCACAGAACCACCCACACTGTACTCTATAAAAGCTAACTAGTCGTAAGAAACGCACTCACATCGAGAAAACATCACTCAATTGCTTTAAACTGTAAATTTTCACTAAATTCCTTCCCACAATCGCTCTGACTCCTGAACATCTGCAATTTGATGGACTCTGACAGTTCGCAAGCTTCTTGGGCGTTTATGCTGGGAAACACCGCAACAGTCCGTACGATGCCCACAAATTCAAACATTCAAAGTGCACCGGAAAAGTCACACTGCCTTCAACGTTGGTGGGAACACGCATGAATGACTAATGAGGAAATTATTTGTCTTCAGTGAGATAATAAATTCAACGGTCGGCGAGTGAATGACTAAACGACTGAAGATGCTAAGTGCTGCTCAAAGATGAGCGTAATTAAGCGGCATATTTGGAGCTATTAGGTAATATTATGGGCGATGATCTTTGGGAAAATTACAATGGAAGATTTTCTTGTTTACGTGCGAATTTCGGGAATCGCAATCTCAAATGTTTGTGTGAAGCAAGATAAAAGCTGCTCCCAACAATCAAGATTCAATGTTTTGCAGTAAAATCAATTTTAATGCCATGTCACGCTTCCTTTCCTTTGTATCGCGCCAGAAGATGAATGAGTGATAAAAATATACACCTTTTGCGGCTGAATTCCAGTTGAGAGTGAATCGCTGTCGTGAACTACTTGCCAATGAGTCAGCCAGTGCTGCAGAATTGGCCGCTTCGGTGGAGATGAAGAACACCTGAGCATGAACTCCTCCGCTGCGGCATGGAAAGGTCGATGTGGCCTTCTGACATTTTGCCGGTCCGGCGCTCACGAAGAATCCCATCGCAGGTGAAAGTATCCTGGCGTCTTTCCCAGATCCCATTTCAATCCCTTCAATCCATTCTTCTTCGCACAATGAGAAATTTTCAATTAATACGTGCGGTCGGTCAGTTGCATCAGAAGAATGCTGCTGTGGCTTTGCTGAAATAATGCTGATGCTCTCTTGCATAACCGCACGAACTGGGTGAGAATTAGAGGCTTTCACTTTCCACTCGCGGTGAGTGTGCCAGAGTGGTTGTCTTGTCTTTCTGTCTACCTGAAGATCAAGTTCACACACTCGGCAAAACTGGAGCAAGTGCAATTTGGCTGTCTCACCAGGTAGTTGACATGCTAAGTGGCTTTAGATAACTCTTGGCTCTCAATTGGCCCTCAATTAACTCTTGACTTCTGTCACAGGCATTGAAAGTGCCGCTGAAGACTTCAGTTGCTCATCACGAAGGGTCCGAGAAGGTCATCATGATGAACTCTTGCAAATTGCTGGTCTTTTTCCTCGCAATCTCGCGAATCGGTGTGGATTCAAAGTCCCTCTACTCAAGGACTTTGAGCAGCCAAAATCTGGAAGCGCGACAAGTTGACGGAATGGGTTCGATTGTCTCGGGCGTCGCCGGATCAGTTATTGGAAGTGCTGTGAATCCTGGAGTTGGGAGCATTGTCGGTGGCATCATCGGACCAATAATTGGTAACATTGTGACTTCAGCAGTGGACAATCTGATCTCCAACATGCGAGACGAGTAAGGGAACCAGATAGTGAAGATTGTGCTTCTGGTGGAGTGTGTTAACAAGAATTTCGCGAATAATTATAACTCGTGTATTTTGTTGTTTTGCACCGAAATCAATTAGGATTGATTAGCAGGAATTTGGCAATGAGACAGCATGCTTCTTTCCCAGGCAAAACTTCGCCACGGGACGTGATGCCCCCTTTCCGTACGACTCCTACGTGGTCAACATCCCGAACTTGGGGCCCTACATCCTCCTTGTGCCGAAAGCTGAAGGCGCTGCTGGCCAGGAAGGCGAAGACTCCACAGAGATCAAAGACAAGCCATCGACGGCATCGGAAGATAAAGAAAACTCTGCGGGTCAAAGTGGAAAAGCGGCGAGTGGAGTACGCGTTATTCCTTTCAAACCACTCCACTTCATAAAGAAGCCTTCAGGGTCAACACAGGTGAAACTTTTCCATCCGCCACAGAATTAGGCATGAGCAAATAAAAACAAACACTGAATAATGCCACAACAACACTTTTATTATCACATCTCGAAGATGTACTCCAGCGCAAGCGTGGATTCCTCGCGGGCTTCTCACGGGAAGATGACCGCGACGGGAATTCCGTAGGGATGAGGATGGTAGTAAGGCGGAGGCGGATATCTCCGGTAAGGATTGCAGTTGTAGGGTTTTCGCACGCAATACGGCGTTCCGCGGTATCTTCGGCGGAACGCTTCGCGACGTTTCTTGAGGGCAAAGGCTGCCGCTATTGCAGCTCCACCTCCTCCGCCAAAAGCCGTCACTCCGCCACCATGATGAGGAATTGCCATCCCGAAGGCAAAGAAGCAGATGATCAGCAAGCACACATTTACTATCCGCATGGTTGTAAGTCGCGATAAGATCGATAAGACACTCTCAGTCTGGAAGACAAGCTACAACTGGCCGATGTGTGATCTGCAAACTGCTATTCATCAAAGATTCTAATTAGCACGAATGCTGATAAATGAGCAAACAAGAAGAGATGCCCCACAAAATTGCGTTCTGTCACACAACTGGGAAGAGGTTCGTCTTGACTCATCTCATTAGTGCCTTCCCCTCTTGAGATAAGTTGAGTTTGAATAGATCACCGAGATTATCCTACGTGAGAAAGTGGCATGAACGCCAAGTGGTGATTATCAAGTTTGAAATTTAGATTTGGCGTTTTTTTTTTTACATCCGAAAATGTATGCGGTAAGGGGGATGGGAGTGGTGGCGAGGTCTACCCCTTGTTGTTAGAAATCAAAACACAAAGAAATTTAGTTCGTTTAACGGAAAGGCAGTCTATTGAGAGGAATAATTTACATGAAGAAATTTTTGGTTTTGCAGCTTAGAAGAAACCGTGGCCGTGACCGTAACCGCCATGATGTCCTCCGTATCCGTGACCGTAACCGCCATGATGTCCTCCGTATCCGTGACCATATCCGCCATGGTATCCTCCATAGTGACCACCGTGATATCCTCCGTAATGTCCACCATAACCGCCGTGATGGCCATATCCACCATATCCGTGACCGTGATGGCCATATCCGCCATATCCTCCATATCCTCCGTATCCGTATGGCCGGCCGTACCCTCCGTAGTGTCCTCCATATCCTCCGTGTCCGAATCCACCTGCAATTGGATGCATGTTAATTTGCGGTCCTTAACAATAGAAAGCGCCAAATATTCGGCGTCTTTGCCACTAACCGATTCCGACGCCAGCATAAAGTCCAACGCCGCCCCCGAAGCCGATTCCACGAGCCTTGCGCGCCTGTTCGTCACTAGCATCCTGCTGGACGGCGACTTCCTGAGTCTCGTCAGCCTGTCTGTTGGTGTCCTGCTGCTCTTGTGCGCTCACGAGCGCCACGAGGGCCACAACGACCACGATAATCTTCAGGGGAGACATTCTAATTGTCACTGAACTGGATTTTCACTTGAAACACTGTCTTCTCGAGTGGCGCGACACAGATTGATACTCTGGCAAGGCGGAGTGGTTTCTTTTATACACCGTCTTTTGTTGTGGACAGCGGCCGTTGTGATCGAAAAAACCAATTACAACTCCCGCCGGTGGCGCGCGTCCTTTGGATTTTTCACGGCATCATTGAACTGATTTGCAATTTTTTCCCATTCCACTCTCGCGCGCGGGCCTCTTGATGAGTTTATTCACCGCGGCAATGATCAACATTTGGGGCTTTCTCACAGAGCCAGTTTCAGGCCTCTCGAAACTGAAAGTGGCTCGCATTGTCATCTGCTGAGGCGCGAGGAGCGGAATTTTCACATGACAGCGCGAAAAGAAGGCGGATTATCAAATTGGGCGACTGGATGTCCAACCTTGTTCATTGACATTGACTCCGTCAGCGTCTTCATGTCTCCCTCTCGCGTGTGACTCAATTATTGACACTCTTTCCCACCTTGCGCCAGAGCAGAGACAAAAATCAATCGCTCTCCTTGAACTACTAACTGATATAGTTTTTTGAGCTTCGCCCAGGGCAATCGAATGATACACTTGTTCACAAGGGGTAAACATGTGCCACTCTGAGTGAACTCGGATTGCGAAGATTGTGTGATTGTGCCAAAAGATTGCGGATTGCGCCCAAAGATTGCGATTTTACACTAAAGATTGCGGATTGCGCCCAAAGATTGCGGATTGCGCCCAAAGATTGCGATTTTACACTAGGGATTGCGGATTGCGTTTGGGATTGCGAAGATTGCGTTCTGAGTGAACCGTGATTGCGCCACATGTTTACCCCTTGCTTGTTCATATTGCTTCTTGGGCCCGATTTATTTATAGGAAAACAAACAACATTGATTCAAAGCATGGGAACTCTTGCAGAAAAACTCTCTATCCGTAGTATCCATGATGGTGGTGATGGTGATGATGATGTCCACGATGATGGCCCCATCCTAGAAAAATAATAATATTTCAGACTAAAACCGGAACAATAAATTTACATATATTTTCGGACAGTGTTATTGATTTATTTGATTCGAGGCATTCTTGTTGATATCACTCAAGAACGAATGTGAAACTGGCGAATAAACAATCTCATAGGTTTAATTTGAGGGCTAAATCTTGAGGTTTGAAGATTTAATTAATGTTTCATGGATAGAGAGCGGAAATCTGTTTACGGCCCAAATCATCTTCTATTCTTCTGTGGGAAATAAGACACTTAAAAATTTTACTATAATTACCATGGTGATGATGGTGCCCATGATGATGATGATGCCCATGATGATGGTGGCCGTGGTGATGGTGGTGATGATGTCCTCCTGCGATAAATATGCACGATAAATTTGGCAAAATTGGGGAAATCCCAAACATTGAAGCATTTGAAAGTAAATCTTTACCTCCATATCCATAAGGTGATCTTTTCAAGCGAAGATTCGTATCCTCGTCTTGAAGTGCTTCAAGCAGCCAATCTTGACCTTCAGGCACTGCATTTCCGCTGTTGACTTCCTCCAGTGGATACGAACTGACGAAGAGGAAGCACCCAAGGAAGAGAGCGCACAGCAAAACCAACACTTTCATTTCGGTAAGTTTCGAAAGCAACTTTTCAGCACGAGAACCTTCAGCAGCTCCGAGAGAGTTCTGGCAGAGAAATGACGAGGAAGCATGGGGAAAACAGGTGTTTATGTACCTCAGAGTGGATCTTCATCAGCTGTGGACATCATTAATCTTTCTTTTTTGTCGTCTCGTCTGCAGATTAGAATTCACGGCACGCAAAACCGGATGCAAAAACAGGCAGTTAAACGCCCATACACGCCTCAATTGCTTCATTTGTATACTGAGTAAAATTCCCAGACATTTTTTTCCTCCGCCATTGACTATTGACTATTCTGGACGCTCCTGGAGATGTTGGCAAGTTTTTCTGTTTTTTTGGAATTTTTGCAGAGACACAAATGTTTAATATATCATGATTGAGCGAATTAAAGTCATCAATGAGATTCACATCGTTTACACCGTTCACAAGTGTGAGTTTATCTTGATTACACTATAGATTTTTCTAGATTTCACAGTGTGAGATTCTAATAATGATCAAGTAATTAAGCAATTGAGATGTCAGATACTTATGAGATTATCCTGCATCACGATCGTTTAACCCTCTCACGATGTGCTTGATTATATTTTGAGGCGTAGAAAATATTTATAATGGATGCAAATCACATGATAATGAATAAACTTGCAAAACAATTTAGTCTCAATGGTTCAATTAAGCTACAAATCTGCATTGTTATAGTCTTTTATTTCCTCTGGCATTATTAACATGATCAAAAGAGTAATAAAATCTTACATATACTCATCCTTTTGTATTAGGTTGGCAAATTTTCACTAAATCACATCGTCTTGGAAGGGTTAATGTAGTTGTTTTTCGCCTCCAGTGTTGATAAGTGGAAAATTTTACACCTTTTTGCTCATCCTGACCGCTGCTTCTGTCCAGCAAGAGTAATTCCTTCAGAAAAGGGAAACCCCCGAGAGTTCACATTGTGCTGCCGTCCTCGAGAGTTCACAAGTGTGGCCGTCATCTCGAGTGAATCACAGAGAGATTGTCTTTCAAAAGTTGCCTTTATTGATGGCATTTGCATAAGTGTTCAAATTCTCGTGGGTGTGGTAATAAGGTAAAATCTTAGATGAAATATGCAATGTAATCATGGTGGAAATTAGCGAGATTATTTTAGGGACGCACGTAATAATTTATGTAGAAAAATCACACGAATATGGTAACTCAGAGACTGCGTGGGCGGCGAATTCCGTTAGAAGCCACCGAATCTGGGGACGTTCCGGAGCGGAGGTGGCGGAACTGGGAGATGCGCTCCTTCTGCTCTGAAGCCATTCTCATCGGCGATGTACTTCACGGTGTAGACGACGCCGTCTGGGCCCGTGTAGGAGTAGGAGCCTTGCATGACCTGCGCCTCGACGGGAGTGCCGGGATTCTTGAGGAAGCTGCGGTCGGAAGAGACAGAAATTGAGACATTAAGTCAAGTGCAAGTCGTGCGCGGAGAAATCGCATACCCTTGCTGGTCGGCGCGGATGCCGTTGCTGGTTTCGTAACTGCAGAGACAGCGAGACAAATTGTTTTTAGAAAACTCGCCCATTGACTTCCAATTTGATGCTGCAGATTGCCTGCAATTACCTGTACACGTACGAGCCATCGGGATTTGGTTCATAGATGTGCTTCAAGATGACGGCGTTGGCATCTCGACTCGGCACGATTCCGCGGATTTGGGCAGATGCGATCGAGGCGATGGCCAGTAATCCGATTATCTAACATTTTGCGGTATGTGGGAAAGACAGCGAGATATTATTACAAATTGATTTTCAACTAATCACACCCACAAGACAACATTGCAGACATTGCACGGAGTGCGAGAAATTCAGGAGATTCTTCTCTTCATTCTATGATTGTTGGCAAAAGGGCGAGGAAAATTATTGTGGTTTCGCGTTGAAAATATGGTTATTCACACCAATTTATTGGATTGGAGAGGATCGAACAATGGACAGTTGGAAGAATGCCTTCAATTTCCTTCAAGAGTCTCTTTTGTTTCGACATTTTTTCCACACGCAAAATTTGTGCCACTTCTGAAGGCTCATCTTCTTGCACAGCGTTTTCCCAGCAAAAATACCGTCACGCTTCGCTAAGTGGTAGCAAACGCCAAATTTTTGGGCCACCACTTTGTCTCACCAGCACAGAAAAAACGACAATGAAACGATCACTTCTTATACTTACAACTTTCATGGTTAATTCCTCGCGAACGAAGGGAGAGATGGTGAAAATCACTGGGATTTTAGGGTGGAAATTTGAGCACAGATCACAATTATTTGGGAAATCACTCGGAGATAGTATATCCAAATGGATCTGCCGGTGGTGATCGCAGAGGATGAGTGGGAAAAGCTCTTCCCTAGGGCAGGTGTGGGTGGAAGAAGTGCGAAAAAGCGATGAAACACTGCTCTGGTCCATCTAGTGCAGCACCTTTTATACTGATTCCTCCTCTTCTGCACTCACAATCCGCTGCCCATCTCACGTCGCTGGATGTGCATCTTGCAAGTGTGTGAGAAATTGCTCCGAGTTAGGATAGATCATCTGCCGAGGATTAATTTGTGAATCTCCTCCTCTCTTTCTCACACCTAAACACCCAATGCATCTATCATTCGATGCCTTTGGGCCATTTTCCCGTGAAATTGGGGCTCTCGATTGCAGGGTGATCCTCAGAAAGTGCACATGAAGTCATCGATAGAGCGAGGACGGAGGATGAGAGTGAAATGCAGCACAGGATAGCTGTGGAATTGTGAAAGGACTTTCCTCAATTTTCCTGCAAAATATTTTGTGGAGGAGCATTGTTGATCAAGCTGTAATCAGCGGAATATGAACTCTCCCAAGTATAGATTACGATCACCAATTTGCTTGAATCACAATGGAGGAATGCGAGATTTGCCATTTAGCCAGGGTGTCAAAATGATCATACCACGATCATTTGATACCCATGTCACACCGTCAATTGTCCACGGTGTTCAAGCGGATGGCAGAAGAATGAAATGGAAAATATCAACAGGTGAAACAGGAAATTAAAGGTGGGAATTTGCATCTCTCAAATTCGCCCCACGGAGACTTACTTAAAGTATTACCTCAGTAATGATAATATGATTATTTACAACTTGCAATTTCCACACATTGTAACGTATATGTTGTGCATAGCAGAGGTTACAAAGTGCTGGTGAGATAATTGAACGATGGAAAAAAGTATGAGTGAAAAACGTGAATTTATGCTATTTATTTATTTATTTCAATGTACTATTGGGAAATTAAAACTGTAACCTTTTGATTGTCTGTCTCGATATGATTTGAATATATGCAATACAGACGGTCTGGATTCACGCAGAAAGCCGAGTTCTCTTCTCACATCTCACAATAAATGGGAATTTTTTCGACAGATATATGACTCCTCGCGAGGGCAATTAAAATTTATTTATGAGACTGCAGAGCTCATTCTAAATTCTTATTCCTTGATCTTTTCTTTGCATTTGAATTAGTTTGCGCATTGCTTTGGGTGTTGATTGAATGCACATCGCCATGGGAACACTTCAACTTCAACCCCTATTAATTGATGTGTCTCTGAGATTAACACTCGTCATATTTAGCATTTCTTCTGCACCACGGCGTTGTTGTGTAATTGGCAAATTGCAGTGAACTACTGATCAATCAGCAAATGCATGCAATGGACCTTTGGGCTAATATTCAATTTAACTCAACAACTCGCGACTCTTCGACACACAAGTCAGCATCTCATGGTGGCACGTCGCTTGTGGAAAAGTGCATTTCTCCACTGAGGAAGCTCTCTTGATACTAGATATTAAAACCTAATCGCTTCATAATTTCGTCGATTTCATCACATTTTCAGCACAGCAGAAAGGTAAATAGCGGCTTAAGATACAAATCAAATAATACTTTCAAACACTCTGGCGAATTTTCCAATAATTTCAATAGTTTATCCCACTTTTGGCAGCAGTTTGTGAAAAAGGATATGAACTTTGGCATATAAAGTGACAAATATATGACGAAAAGTATGAAATAATGAGTGTTTTTGTTAGGACATCTGAGATATAAAAATTAATCTTCAAATAAACCTGTTTTAAGGTAATTAAAACAAACAGCAAAGTTATGCAAAGCAGTTGTAAGACACACAAACATAATACTGAAAAAATCTGGGAACCTGAAAATCTTGCTCACAATCGCGATAATCTTCAGCAACTGGTCTAATCTCCCACTCTTTGGGCAGCAGTAACTTTATCACAGGCCTCGCGATGTGCCACAATGAAATTTTAATTGATTTTGGGATACGATGCCTCCCACTGGCGCACTCTCCGAGGTCACCTCTCTCACCTGGAAATTGTGCAATCGCGAGCAATATTGTAAGTCGGATCTTGAGGATAGAGAAAATGTGTGCAGAATTTCGTAGGACGACACACATTTATGTGAAAAATGACGAGAATCTCTCACAATGATGATGGCTAAGAGGTACGTGAAACCGTGAACTTTGTTTTCAAATTGCCCATCGTGATTCCAGTTGAACTTTGTGGCACACACCCAATAATTTATTAAATTTGAATCAAATCTCTCTCGCAAAGAGACTTCGCAATGTCTCGAGTGGTTTTACTACATTGGAAAAACGGCTGATGATATTCTCTGGCATGGCGTATAGAAATGTGTGACGCTGTTGTGCTTTCCAGAGCTTTTGAAAGCTTGTATCGAATTACACGTAAAATTCGCCACAATTCTCTGTGACACGGAGGAATTTCTGTGCGCTCATCCAGCAAATGTTGGTGACTGTGTGTGATAAATGCATCGAAAAATTGCATTTGAAATTATGATATTGCATAAAACCACACTGACTGGCAAATGTGGGTGTCTTCCCAGGTGAGAATTCTCCTGGTATTTTATCTCATCGCCGATAATCGTGTCTCGTGATCAATGGAGTTCATTTGTCGCGCATTCATCATCTGCGCTGTGCAGATCAATAGCGAGAGTGAAAGACACGACTTCGATCTGGACCGATCACAAAAATCTCGTGTGGCAAAGTGAGAAGAGATTGAATTTCCCATCATGAGAACGACATTTTCTGTCTTTCGCAACGCGCGACGCTCTCGCTAACCTTGCTGGTCAGATGATCGCCTCCTTGTGGGTCACAGAGATTCCCTCCCAGGAATCTGCATTGCTGTGCGCTTGAATTGTTAATAGGAGACGCGAGATAAATCCAATTTGCGCACGACAGGGAAATTTGAAATGTGAAAAGGGCGTGATTGTATCTTCCGCGTGTGTATTTAGCAATAAATCATTAGTTTCAATTATCGAGATAACGAAACTCTATATCGTCCGGTGACGGTGTTTTGTGGTCAGTTTATTAAAGATAGACAATCACAAGAGGCGATTTTAATTAAAATCACTAGGATATTCGTGGAAATCTCCCCTTCTCTCGCACCTTTCGCCCATCGCATTTTCCCAACTACGCCAATCCATGTAAGAATAAATTTAAGTTCCGTGAGTAATTTAGAGATTCTCAGCCAGAGAAATATGGCTCATCTTGTGGCAAACATGAAACACATCCAAATTACACAACAATCTCAACAAACTACCAGTTGTATAACTCAATCGTGTTATATGAATTGATAATGGTCAATTTAATGGAGCTCAATAAAAACTCCCTTTTTGACTTGCAATGCCGGAAAATGTTGGCCTTTCTCTGTGAGACAATTCTTTAACTGCTTGGTTTGAATTATATCAGAACATATAGCTTATCTTGTAATGTTTTAAAGAATTGCAGAGAATTTAACAAATTGTTCAGTGTCGAGAGAACAAAGACAAAAAAAAGAAAAAAAATGGCGATATTGCAAAAATATGTAGGAAAATCAAAGAAAAACCACAAAAATTCCATCGTATGAAGTATTTGGAAAGCAAAGAATAATTGATCTTGAATGAAGACGAAACAATTCAACTGGATAGCTTAAATTTCGACTAAGAAATATATTTTCGAATACATTTACTCAAGACAGGAACAGGTAAAATAATGCGATTTCGTGTCTTCTCACTATAAAATCGAGTCACATTAAAGCAAAATATGCATGTATCAATTTATGAGTATTTCTTATGACTTTCAATAGTAAAGTGTTTACGGATAATAGCAAATTGTTACTGACTTCATTAACATTCTATCGAATAGAAGTGAAACTTACTCAATGAAGCTGATGCGTGAGGCATCTTTGCAAAACTAATTAGATTCTTGGGCACTCCCTGAGCAATGAATTCAATGGCTTTCGAGATCATTCGTCGCTTCTAATTGCGATCGTGGCAGATTTACTGTGTTGTCAAACACCAAATGAGGATTTATTGTCTCAATTTGCAAGTTCCCACACAAATCTTCGCATTGCTGGCGTAAAACAATTAATTTAACGCTCCTCCATGTCTTGTACGACAAGTCATTGAATTAACATCGACAGACGAATCGTGGTGTGATCCTCAATGTTCAATTTGCAATGGTGATTTACCGCATTAGAGAAATATTGAGAGGCTGAATGTTATCTCAGCACGTTTATCTTGATCTCTTCCTCACTTGCAAAGCATTGATCAGCAGTGGACTTGGCGCACTATCAATCAAATCTCAATTCACTTACCGTTTGGAGGCGTCGATTGTGATAGGAATTGACCATATTTATTGGTCATCATCCATGTGATTAGCATTGACAGCTCTTGAGCACGTGCAATAAATTGCCGGTGCTCAAAAGCACTTATATTAGGATCGTTTCGGAAAACAATATAATTAAGATGGGCGAGGGAGAGAATCATCTGTGCAGCGCACTTGATGAATGGTGAAAAGGCGGAGGTTTCGCGGAAAGTGTGCAATTCAGCAGTGGGTCAAGCATCCTCAATTACTCAGCGTCTAACAGGGTGAGGAAGATTTATCCATTGATTGGAGGTTTTTCAAAAAATCCCCCTAAATTGTAGCAAAACGCTCTGACACTTGCAATTTCCCCTTGCAATTTCACAAGACACCGCGCTTATAATCTCTCCTTTCAAGAGCAAAAAAGCACCATTCAAATTCAATGCGGAGTTCTTCGCGGGAGACAGAGATTGAAATGTGCGATTGTGGAGCGAAGAAATCAAAATATTGAGCCTGAAATTCCTCAGTGTCATGAGAATGCAAAATGGGGAGCGTCTTCTTGAGGTGTTGGAATGGAGGTGAATGCCATAGACAATTAATAATAGCACTTCGCAGAAATATTGTAACATTTTTACACAACAATTAATCCAACCACTTTGTCTGAGGTCACACGACTTTCGATAGCGGCAAATGGGAATTTCAGCATGCAAGTGTCTCTGCACGAGACAATCTCGCGTGGTCTTCTTCACGTGATCAGAGTTGGAAGTGCTGGACCAGTAGATGAGGGATCAGAGAGCAATCTTTGCAATCCCTGAACTTTAATTTATTATAATTAAATGCCGCCATAACTTTAAATGAAGTCATATTGATCATAAAACTATAATTGGTTTACACGTCTTGCATTTTTCATTAACAGCCTATTGATTTATGCTGATTTATGGTTGTTTTGTATCCATTTCCATATTTTTTGTGTTGCATTCTCCAGAACCATCAAACAGTTCTGTGTTTTTGCTTTCAATGAACTAAGACAAAACTATAAAGATTTAGCTTTATTATATTCTAATTCCTGTAATGGTGCAGAAATCGTTAAAAAAAACTCAATCTTAACCCTTAAATTTCTCAAATCTCCGTCTAATCTATGCAATGGTGTGTTCTATGCGCGATCGCCAACTCTGCCCTCAATTTCGGCGGAATGATGCGGTCTGCGTCGTGGTGAAAAATTGCGAAAAATCACCTCTTTCACTCTCAGCCATAGAACCAATCCTATATCGATATTTTTTCTCTCATCTCACCAATATTGCCTTGTAATTCACACACTGTCTGTACCAGCACTCCTCCTGCATTGTGATTAGTGAAGCGATGGCAGGTGAACTCACTATAAATATGCCTGGCAGAGAAATGACGATTGATAGTCGCATGTATCGAGTCTGGAGTGAAGATCGGAAGTTCTTGCACGCATTGTGATCTATTGGATTAACCACAGCAACATATTCGGAATGATGAATTTCTTGGTAACTGTGCTCCTGAGGGTGGTTCTGTGGGGTGGACTTGCGCTCATGGTCTTCTTGGGCTTTGCAGAGTGGCGTGTCGGCAGTGATGTTGCTCAGTGCGGTGGCTGCAGTGCCTCAGCAAGGTGGATATCAGTACAACAGGAATCAGTACAATCAGCCGCTCGGAGTGCAGCCCCTCCTCGGCAATCCGGGTCAGCAATTCAACCAGCAGCAGGTTTGCAAAGGTCGCGCTGTGGGCGAGAGAGTGGGTTGCATTGTGTCTTGTCTTGCAGGGCTTCTCGCAGTCACGCAACAGCGTCCCAATCACTTCGTACACGAACGAAGTGGGTCACGACGGCTCCTTCACGTACGCCTACACCACGGGGGACGGCCAGGGCGCCCAGGCGCAGGGCTACCTCAAGAACGCCGGCAACAAGGACCTCGAAGCGCAGGTGGTGCAGGGCTCGTACTCCTACACGGCTCCCGACGGCACGCCCATCTCCGTGAAGTGGTTCGCCGACGAGAACGGCTTCCGGGCGGAGGGCCTGCACCTGCCCACGCCACCCCCGATCCCCGAGGCGATAGCCAAGTCGCTGCAGTTCATCGCCCGCGCGCAGAATTTGCCGCAGAGTGGCTACAATCAGTACCAGAACGATCAAGGTTTCAATAAATACGGCTGATGAGGCAACCACCGAGCGAATATGGGTCACAATTCATCCACTTCTTCGACTACCAAGACGGTGAGTTTTCCGCCTAGCCAGGCGCATAATTGAGATTCCTCCGGAGCATTATGCAAATCGATAGTGATCATCTCACTTGAATACAATGGTGACTTTATGGTTTCCTCTCTTGAACTCCAATCCGGAGAGCTCCATTGATGAGTCTATTAAAACATCATCTCACATGCTTTTTGCTCCGAGATAATTTTCGCAATGCCGAGAAGGTCACGCTATTGTTTGAAATTTCTTCTCCTTTTTTCTCTCTGTTCTTCTCTGCAGGATTTTTCTGCCAGCATGTGTAAATAGACACTCTCTTTTGGAATATTTCCTCATTCATCAGATCAACAAAATACCATCAACAGCCAAATTCCTCAGAAGAAAACCCGCCCTCGTGTTATGCAATGGATATTTGCTATGTAAAATACTTCCTCCTACCGTAGATCATTATTTAATCCCATGTAAATGTTGCGATAATAAATCAGAAAGGACTTTTTATCAAATTCTGTTCATTTTTCACCTCTCTCTTAACATTCACCGAGCGAGGAAAATCGCCCGCAGGTAGACAAAACGAGGTGATCGCGATCGCGCAAGATCACCTTGCCTTGTGAGACACATCAATTCAGCGGCATTTCAATTGAATGGCTCGTCAATTTCTTTCGCGCGACGCCTCAGAATGGAGTGTCATCGCTAGAGAAATTAATAAATAACACGTTTTATGCCACAAAGGTAGCGATCTTCACCATTTGATCAATATGTGAGCATAAATTAGAGTCAATTAACTCCTTTAAGCAGTAATTGACACTCTTAGAGACGCATTAATTTGTCCAAATGGTTCCAGCTATCATTTGATTGCTGTTGCATCATTGGATGGTGATCGCGATCCTCCTTCTGGGATCGTGCTCAAAAAATTAATTGATAATGAGCTTGAGAAGAGGAGTGCATGAGAAATGATCAAATTATTCAATAAGCTTGCGCAAGACGTTCAGGCACAAAGTGAGAAAACTGATCCGTGATACTTTTTTTCACCCAATATTTCTCTCCTTTGATTTAGGGCTTGTGCAGAAGTCGCTGCTATTGTAATCAAAGGAGATTGTAATAAAATATTGTCTCATTATCGGGGAAATTTGGATTAATATTTTCATAGCAAGAAAATTATGAGAACATATGTTTTGATGGATTCAAATTGATTGGATTGAAGGCGTAATATTACAAAATACGATAAAGCTCCCAGTAAATCCCACTTACCATAAAATCAAGCAGACTCATCTCGTGTTCTTTTCTTCTCTCAGACTTCTTTAGACACACCATTTGACATCAGAGGTCACAAAGAGAGATTTTGAAATCGCTCGTGCACAGCCTTAATACACCCAATTTGGATTTGTGTTTCTCCTTTTCATCTGCAAGTGCTTCGGTAAATAGAAGATTCTGCACTGCGATTGCGTGAGCTGATACGGTGAGAAGTGTGGGATATGCAGAAGAATGGTCGGGTAACTTCCATCTGTTTATTCACACAACTTCCATACATGAATTTCAATTTTGCTGCGGTTTCCAGCGATTTTCGCCGTACAGCACGAGATGCTGGATCTCCAGGATGGAGAGTGACCAGGTCTTGGGTATCCACTTGATGATCATCACGCAGAGGAGGGTGAGGATGACAATGAAGATGACAGTGCTGTGCCAGAAGCTGTCGAAGTGGGAGAATTTGGAGCACTTCATGGTGGCAATGGTGATCAGGTGAGGAATGGTTTCAGCCATGTAACCCAGAGCCAGACTCGCTTCAGTGCACTTAATATTCGCCATTTCCATGATTGCGCAGTCGGGGATGAAGTAGGACAATCCCAGGTGGAAGTACATCAGGATTATCGGGAGGGAGTAGAGTCCGAAGAGAATCACGGCGGTCAGCTTGAAGATCATCAGGATCAGGACGCAGATGGAGACGCAGATGGCCGAGACGATGTAAATGGTCTTCGTGTTGAGCTTCAAGGAGATGCAAAGGCCTGTGATGGCTCCGAGGAGCACCAAATAGTGCATGGCGAAGTAGGAGCGCGCTCTGAAGAAATCCTCCGAGAAGAAGACGAAGAAAGCCACAAAGACCGCATGGTAAGTCATGTAGTTCTTGATCTTGGAGAAAATCATCAGCAAAGTGAGGAAGGTCTGGCGTCTCTGATTGGGTTCTCTTGTATTGTCATGTGCAGGAGCATTCCCATCAGTTCTGGGAAAGGGAGAAAATGCCAGCGCCGATTGAAATAAGTCTCCTTTCTCATTGGCAGCATTCAATTCCTCATCGCGACACATCTTGTAGTCAAAGAGTCCACCGGCGTGCAGTGTTTCATTGATGAGGAGGAGCATAAAGCCAATTGTGGCGCTGCTGAGGATCATATGACGGACTTTTGTGAAGATCTTCTCGAGATCTACAGAAATGAGCTCAACTCCGTGCACAGTGGACACAATTCCGATGAGGTAGACAATGTGACAGAGGCCAATCTTGAAGATCCTGAACTCATTGCTGGCCAGACGGAAGTGCATGTAAGATAGGCCGGTTGTGTAGATTATACCATGGCCCACTCCTCCGAAGTACAAGCCCTTGACGCTCTCCAAGTACTCACTCCAGTAGAAGTACACTGCATTGGCGATGAAGAAGATGTCCCCGAGCGCCAAGAGATAGAAATGCACAAATCTCACTTTCTTGCTGTGGATCTTGAAGCTGAAGAACACCACTGCCACGCCAAGACAGGCAATAATGCCCAGGATTTGAGGCATGAACTGATTAATTCCGAACAGCTGGGACGGAATGTAGATGATCAGAGACTGCCAAACTCCGCACTGGTAAAAGTGCAGAAGAACTACCAAGAGAAGAGATAAGAAGCAATGAATTCAGCTAGAAAAGACAATAAGTGTGTAAACTCACTTATCAATTCCGGAATGAAATCTCTAATGCTCATTTTCCTGGTCGATTTATCCTCTCAAATGCACAGTTACAACTGAAAAGCTCTCGCTCAGGGGCAGATTTGCATATTGTTGTGCGACATGTGAGTTATCTAATCAGGATTAATCGAGAATATTTGCAGATAACAATGAATGTCATTAACATCAGTGACAAACAATAAAATACCCAATATCTGTATTATTTGTTTTTGTCATACTAGAGGCCATAATCTGGCGCGACATGACAATTTTCCCTCGATTTGGTCACAACCCATTGGCATTCGCGCCATCGAGACGTGCTTCAAGACAGGGTGGGAAGAGAAATTCGCATCTGACCCACATTTCGCTGGAGATGGTGTGATATATGAGTGAGATAATTTGAACACAAGAAGACACAATGAAAGAGAATCAATTTGTCATGTTATGTGTGACTTCTTTCCCTGCCGATCGATACGAATCAATGACATGTTGGCGGCTTCCATGTGCACAGAAGAGAGGGAGAGACAGCTGAGACAAGGTAGAATGCCAGAGAGGTAAATTGATTGAAAAAGCGAAGTTAATAATTTATAGCTGAGCACAAGAAATCCATTTTGCCAATGATTGTAATCTCTGGGTTATTAAAAGTATGTGACGATGTTCGCTGGCAGATGATCTAGATTTGACTTGGAGAGACGCACGGTTGGCGACAAATACAGAGAGGAGCTTTGCCTTGAAAAATCTGCAATATTTGCTTGGAAATAGAGTGGCAGAAAGGCAAAGTGCAGCATCATGATGCCTCTTGCTGTGCATCCATGGGAATTTGGAGTGGCTTCACGCTACTCTTGGCAGGTGCAAAAGTGAATTAGAGATGGCAAAAAAGCACCATTACAGCCAATGACAATTTTATCAATCATTTGCTATTCTGCATCGTGAAATAAATAATCAATTTCCTTTCTTTATTTCACATTTGCTGGGCTCTTACATAAATTTTTCGTACACTGACTCGCGATGAGGCAACTCAGCGCGTCACTGTAATTTGCAGCAAGTTGAAGGTGTGATTGGGAAATCAAATTCCTATCGTCCCTACACATATTGCTCTGCGGCAAGGCATTTCCTCTCTCGGCGCTCATCTTCAGTTCAATCAACTTCTAATTGATCCACAGAAAGAAAGGCCTTCTTGACCCTCAACCTTTTCACAGCTTCTATTTGGCCACTTTCGCTTTCTTCTTGAAAAATAATTATCTAATTAACACAACATATAATGGTTTCGCAACTTAATACGATGTCCATCTTTGCCCTGAATATTTTTGAGCTTCGGAGTGCAGTCGATGCAATTGCCTTTTGCAATGAGAGCTTTCAAGAGCGCAAAGCACGACAGAAAACTTGAAATGTTGATGGATCTTTTCAGAGTTAAAGGTCGTTTCGGTGTGGTTTACAATCAGAGCACAAATATGGATTAACATTGATGACCACGGGGTCAATTCTGAAGTCTCGTGTAATTAATTGTGATTGTTTTGACTGTGTCAATTCGTGAAGTTCAAATGGCTGTTCATTGCAGGCAAAACGAGCTGTTAAGAGGATGGGCAAAAGGACAGAAATTAATTATCCAAATCCATTTGCACTGGAGTGGAAAAGCTGCTGATTGCAAGATTAAGAACTCTCGCAGAGGTTCTTATGTTACTCCATGACACTGTGTACTTTCGAACACATATTTTATGAAGATGTTTCCAGAGGTGAGATGATGGTAAAAGTGCGTCTGTGGTAAATCTCCCGTCGCGGCAGCGCGTCTAACATCTTCTGACCCAGTAAAGTGAGGCGGTGAAAGAGATGAGATAATAACCTCTGGTGTCCACTCGCGATCGTGTCCAGCAATTATGAGCTATGATCCGCGATGATGAAACATCCAGCCACCATTTCTGCTCATCAATTAATTAGGCGCACTCTGCAAAATTCCTCTAGGGTGCATCTTCGAGTCGGGCGCGAATAATTGATCTTGACGATGATAAATTCCATATCCAGAGTGGTGACACGCCGTGATAAATCGAGTTCAAGGGATTCACTCTCAATTGCACATCTTTCGATGTGTGCTTAATTGATACAAAAGTCATGTTTGAGCTGGCAAGTGAAAAAGCTCATGTTGTGAGGCAACTCGAAAATTCCAACACTCTCATCGCTGGAGATCCACTGAAAGGGGATCGATGAGAGGCTCATAATTGATAATTTGCACTGATGGCTCCCAATTACATAATCACCCCCGCGGAATTAATACAAATAGCATCGTAAAAAAGACGCATAGGTGAGAGCCAAAACCCGTTACAACTCCACTGCAATCCAATTAATGGACCTGGCGAGGCTGCGCTGATCACTTGTGAGTATGTTTCGTGGGAATAGTCGTTTGTCATCTGGATCGCAGAATTTGCAATTGAGGCACAACTACTTGTCACTTCCTCTGCTCGTGATGAGTGTAATGAGAAACTTGACCTATAATGTGGAAAGCTTTCCGACAGCGAAATTCCTGCACTAGAACTATTAATCTCGGCGAGAGGTTGCTTGATGCATTTTTGAAATTGTAACTTTCTATGTTCTCATCCTTGAAGAGGCGCCCAATGATCGCCATGAGTGCGTAAGTTCTAGTTTAATGTAAATTGCATGCGCGTGTTCACTTTCAAATTAAACTCAGAGGTGACATCTCCCCATCGCCTAACAAATGGGACCACTTAAATCCCCTCGAGAATGTTGCGCAGGAGATGTGCAAATTCGCAATTATGACTCTATTAATCCATTTCATCGCAATGAAGTGGACAAGTCGAATTCGGTGTCGATGAGTGGAATTTCAGAGCCCCTCTCCAAAGCTCGAGTGTGAATTCCTGATGGTACAGCTTTGCAGAGTGGCGGGAAGAAAAAAGAAGATCTCGTCTCATCGTAATGCCCCGTAGCAACTGAATCAATTCATTCACCAGGCAATTGTGTTCCAATATGTCGATCCGGCATACACAATTTTCGTGGTAAACTATATAAAGGAGTTCTCGTGTCTTCGAGTGCCATCAGTGCATCTTGTGATTTCGACCTGTTCAATTAAAAAGCTCCGACTGAGCTTTCGAGGATTGCTGACTCGCTGTCTCAGTTTCTTTGTGATTTTTCCACATAACCGAAAGTTTTGTGCGACACCATGAAAGTGGTAAGTGAACACGAGAAGACACTTTCTTCCACCCAACAGAGTTCTCTGCCTTTGTGATAAGAAAACGTGATGATGGTGTTGCAATTTGAGGAAATAATTTTGCATAAATCATGTGGAATTGCATGGAGATCACATAGTTTTCGATCTGATATTCCACCTGCCTTGATGGTTCATTTGCGCAGACAAAGAACAAGAGTTGATGAACGCTCGTGTTCTTATGCAAATCAATTTTTTGATATGGCACAAATCACAGACTTTTATGCAACAGTCCTCGCAACATGAGTCATACAAATCAAGGAGTGAAGAAGATGCAAAGTATAACAATGGAATCGTCGTGACAACTCCCCTGGAGTGATTTTCTCCCATGGCAAATGATCGTGCTGAGTGTGGTGCTATTTTCTCTGATACCCAGAGACTTGTTCTATCACCTGTTAACACACGATGGCCCCTTGTAGTGCCAGCCTTAAATGGGAGGCATTGCACACGCTGATATTACAAAATGATTCACAAGATGTTTGTCTTTTGCAATTGATCTTCACTCGCCATTGTGGAAGGAATGCCGTGTTAGACAAACTTCTGGTGCATATTCTCGAAATGCAAAGTAGCAAAGAAACTCGATCACTTTCAGCCTCCCCTCGCGCGTTGATCTTCAATCCCTGCGCGATTGCTCAATTGAGCGTGACTATTTGTGGATCAGTGAATTGTCATTACAATTATACACCATTTATGTGATCTTTTTCCCATATCAAATCCAATGTGTGTTCAATCTGTCGCCTCTGTGCTGAGAAACTGACAAGATCCGCAACTCGCGCTGCTTTCGTGATCCGTAAAAGTGTGAGGAGACTTTTTGGACGGATGGCTTTTCTCAAAATAATCAATGCGCAGATCAAGATCATGCCTTATTCATGGCGATTTCATTTCCAGTTTATTTTCGCCACTCTGATGACGGTTTGTGCATGCGCGAGGCTGGATAACACTTACCTGCCTCCGCCAGGAGCTGCGCAATCCGGAGGAGGTCCTGGCCTCTCCGCGCCTGGCTTCGGAGGCACTCGTCCTGCCCCTCGGCCTGGAGCTCCCGCTGCACGTCCTAACGGAGGATTTGGCGGCGGCGCAGCTCCCAGTGCTCCTCAGGAGCCTCCGATCGCCATCATTTCCTACGAGAACGAGAACAACGGCGATGGCTCTTATCGCTACAGCTACGAGACCGCGAATGGCATCAAAGTGGAGGAAGAGGGCGAAATCAAGAACAAGGGCACGGAGAATGAGATCCTGAGCGTGAGAGGATCCTACTCCTACACGGCTCCCGACGGCACTCCCATCACAGTCACGTACATCGCGGATGAGAACGGCTTCCAGCCGCAAGGTGACCACCTGCCCACTCCCCCACCAGCCCCTCAAGCATCGGGTGAGTGAAGACGATTGAGTGATGCACGGAGATTGCATCGAAATGCATTAACATGAGTTGTAATATTGCAAACACGCAAGTGCACAGCTAAAGAGACACTAAACCCGATTCGTTTTATGAGTGTTTCGGCGCTTTATTGAAATCCCACTCACTTTTCAGCGAGTGCATGAGAATTTAGAGCAGGTTTTGTCATAAAATGCATAAATTGATAAACAATTTAGTGATTTTTTTTTCAATTGGATTGAATAATTTAATGAAATTGACGATAAAACGTCAATTAAACGCTGTGCAACATGTCTGCCAACAGATCATAAACTGTAATTTACTATCAATTAGGCGGCGGCGGCGGCGGATACCCAAGCG